CTATTAAGAAATTTTATTTACTTGAATCTAGATTACTCAATAAATAAAATTTCTTAATAGTTGTGCAAACTCCACACAGTCGATCAAGGGTGGAATCAAACCCGGGGTCCCTGGTGCTACGAGGCAATAGTGCTACCAGCTGAGCCACTGTGCTCTCCCTGCCCTGCCCCGAACCTGAATCTTCTCGCTCAGAGGTAGGGGCACCACAACTGTGCCGTAAGATCCTCTTAAATGAAGGTAGGGGCACCACTGAGATTATAAACTCAGGATCTCCTATTTACTAGGCAAGCAGTTTAACCCACTCGGCTATGGTGCCCAGCAAGAGTTTTTTTTAATCAATCTGTTTGGACATGTTGTGACATGTCAGGATACAATAGGAATAGAATCAAAACCTTCTGGCCCAGATACAACAACACTATCACTACAGCACAAGACCCTAATGGAAACAACTAGATAGAGACATAATACTTTGTTGTTTTTGCTGTCTTTCTTTCTAGCTTGCAGTTGTTTCAACTGTACGCTTTTATACTTGACCACCTTTTCATTTCTACCCATATATACAATAATGGGTTGGCAGAGTTGAGGGTATTTGCGTGCTAGTGCATTTAAAAAAAAAAAAAAAAAAAATCACAATCCGTCCCTCAGCTGCATGCTTCCATGCTTGATTGAAAAGCACTTGCTGAACTTTCATTTGGCTGCTCTGGAGCTTATTTATGTGCAAGCTTGCTGATTTTTCATTTTAATGTTGTTCCATAGCTTATCTTGTCAGATACAGTTGTTGACGACAAATACAGCGCTGCACTAAAAACTCATCTAACTTATGGAGGTGGTTTATTGTAGGCTGTGACATTAATTGCTAGCATTTCCTTTTGAGACTTCTGTTAGAGAGAAACCTTTGCTGCTTTCACTTCATAACTTGCATTTCTGCTAACTTGACAAGGCAATAAATATTCCTCCATAATTAGTACCAACTGCAGTCGGTACAAAACTAGCTTTCAAGGAGTAGTGGCATAAAATGTTCTCGTGCTGATTTAAATCCACAATAATTCGATGTTGGGAATGCTGTAAATACTGGTTTGGCATTTCATACCATTTTATTAGGTTTCACATTGTTTTCTCAGTGTACATGGTAGTAGAGAGAAGATTATTGAGGACATGTAGCTGCTGAATGCAGGTTTGTATTTTCTTACAACAGTGTCTAAACAAAAGCACTTGCAGTAAATACATCGGCATAGTGACCTATCAGTAACAGCCTCCTAGCAACCCTTTAACTGCACTGTTTGGCACTAAAGCCACTGTCCAAGTCATGGAACAGTTTTGAGTAAACAGAAGCCTATATATTTTCAATCCTATTTTAAAAAGTCAGAAGGTGGATTCAAGGAGTGTAAGCTTCCTTTGTATGTCTCTTGAAATATTATTCCATTTCATGCCTAGCTTGTGTAGAACATTTAAATTTGCATTCTTATTACAGTGTATAATTATCTACTTACAACAATAATGCTGTAAGCCTGTCAGGTAGAATTTGGGACAAAAATAAACACTCATTAATTAAAAAGAGGTTGGTTTATTCCTTTTGTGCACAGGGTTTGATAAGCATCTATAAAATCTCTAGCTGATTTAATTTTTTTTTTCTATATAAACGAGCTCCTTAAAATGGCTCATGTAATGCACTTAAAGTAGCTAATGAAGGTTAAAATGCTAACTGCACTGAGCGATTTGATGTTCACAATTTATTGCTGAATTATGAGTCAAGTGATGTCTGAGAGTTTTTTTTTAAATGGATGCAGGAAGGATGAATATTTTTCTCATCTGTGCTGAAATTTTATGCAAACTATTAAAAATGAAATTTAATTCAGTAGTTCCAATGTAGCATTAGATTTGACATAATTATCATAGTTGAGTGTTTAGCTTCTGTGAAAGTTTTTTTTGTTTCTGTCACATAGCTTGTTTATCTGTTTCTGTAAACACTGGATATTATATATTAATGAAATGTCTGTTTACTACTGTAATGCTGTGGGCATAATCATCCTCTTGGAGTCAGTGGCTGTATTTACCCTGGGTATCAGTCTCATCGACTTTCTAACTTGCCCTCAAGCTAACATTGATTAGCAGTGTTTTTCATAGACCTAAAATAGTGTAAGATACTTTGTGGTCCCAAGCATGTTTCAAAAGTGCTTTCAACTCTGAAGTGAACTATAAACTTCTTGCTCAGGTATAATCGTTACTACTGAACCAAGGCTGCTGATTCTAATAAAGTATGGATGGAATAAAGCAAGGAAGCTTGAGACAAATAATTGTTTGGTAGCACTGAATTTGAGTATTGCTGAAAAGGGAGACATTGTCAGATTTTTTTACCTTGTATGCATTGGACACATTGCAAGAATGTCAAATTTCAAACGGTGCAACAATTTGTATTGCATGAAAAAAGGCTGCTGATTGTTTGGAAAATTGTCTCTGATCAAGATGTTACCGTTGAGAGTGCATTGGTCTTATTTCATGCTTTTTTTAAAAATAATACCTGGAAACGTTGCCTCTTCCTGTGAGGGATAGGTCCTTGTATAAGAATATGTAACTTCTAACAAATGCAAGTGAGCCACATTGCAAGCCTGACAAATCATCATCTTTAAATTTGTTGTGGTGTAATTCTAATGCCAATCTTGGATGTGATTCCACAATTGTATAGCATTTGCTGTACGATCGTGAGTATTACGAATGGTACACCTCCTGTTTTGCAATTACTGCATTCCAGAAACATCACTGGGTTTGAATGGGACCAACCACATGGGAATTTTAATGGCCTGCACATGTTCATTTGTGGATTTTGATTGATAAATAGTTGCCAATAGGAAATCCAGATGAAATTTATAATATGGCCTCTCTGCATTTTAGTAAAAAAAATTGATTAACAAATGTTGAGCCACCTGATTCATTGCCAAAACTAAGCTGGTCAAATCTACTCCGATTCAGATCAAAGTGGCTATTGATTGTAAGATTGGGCTGCAAACCATCTTATCCCCAAGCAGATCGATACTTCAAGCTGATTTATTTTCTGTTGTTGCTTTATTCCTACCAAAACTACCAATACCAGTCTGAGATTTTGTAAGCTTTTTAACGAATGACATTGACATTGGTCTTTACTGGGAAAAGAAGCAAGTGCTGGTTTGATGAATGTGTGGTATTTTGTCATTAGAGTGCCACCTGGTGGTTTAATTGTGATTAATTTCGATTGGGTTATTTTTAAAATGTTTCTGTGCTCAGTCTTCTACAGATTGTTAATTAACAATGTTGCAGACTTGCTGTTAATGTTTGAGTAAACTTGCCATTCTTAATCAACTGCAAGATGAAATTGTTTTGTGAAATATATTGCAAGTGCTTCACCTTTGCAGATAGGTACCCTGTAGTTACAGCATAGGTTTCCCTTCTTCCACCTAGTGATATGAGGTGGACAAAGCATGTTTGCATCTGTTTCTGTAACTAGACTTTGCCTGAAACAGGTTGTGAGCCTGTCATCAGAAGCTATAGCTTGGTGGGGTGGGGTGCCACTTGCATTAAGAAAGGCTGACCAGGAAACTGTCCTGTTCTTAGTACCTGATATAAGTTTGTGTGAGCATGGAGCTGGTCTCTGACTGGAACCTGGAATTTGTGGCTACACAATCTCCCAACGTCACTGGCATCAGTTGTATCTAATTGTAGCATTTTAATTTTAAATTTCATAACTTCAATCAGCCTTCAATTTTAATAATGTTACAAGAGCCACAAACCACAACTTGGACACCCAGCCTTTCTTCATTTCCTCACTATATCCATGACGAGTCTTTTCAGCCTTTGCACCATGGAATACTTTGTTATTTAAAGTCCCCTGGCCTCCTCCATATGACCTAGCTTCTCTTTTTTTTTTTTCCCCAGCCCCACTTGGCCACCACCGCCAACTGCATTTCTTTTCTCTCCAATTCTGAAGAAAGGTTATTGAACTGCAACATTAATTCTGTTTGTCTCCACAGGGGTTGCTTAACCTCCAAGTCTTTCTAGACATTTTTTATTATTATTATTATTATTATTTCAAAACAATGATACCCTTTTTTAAGTTTTTTTTTCTTTCTACCATTGAAATCCAAGTTGGATCTTGTCTCACTGAGTTCCAGATTTACTGAATATTCTAGTTTTTTTTTCCAAATGTGTCCTCCATTATAGATTGTCCTGATATATAAAGAAGAGTACAGTAAAAACTGTTATGCCATACACAGCTTCCCAGTGGAAAATATGACACAAAACGAAGGGAACCTGAAAAGCAGCCTGCCTCTAAAGATCTGAGCCTCTATACCCTTCCGAAACAAAGGACACCTGCAAGAGATTGTAGGCTACAGGAGACAATGGCAATTTGGCTCAGAAGTCCAAGCAACTTCATCCTTATTTGTGCTTATTTCTTAATGTTTAATCCTGTTTGAAGTTTGCAAACCTGCAAAATTGCAACAATATTGAACCAGGGCATCAAAAATGCATTGACATCTGAGGTATAAGTAGTTCATGGAGCATGAATTCCATGTACCCTCTTAGATTCCGTTAGTATGCAGGTAAATAGCTTCTGAAGCCAAATAGTTTTGATACTCTACTTCAAATGACAGTACATGTTTCGATCAAGAAATTTTGCTTTGCAGTAGACTGTTTTGAAATAAAAACTAAATTGTACAGTGAGGAGATAACTGCTATAGTTAATCTTTTTAAAGGTGGAGTGGGGAAATTACTGTTCCCTTACAGGTTGTAGTTGAAATTCCACTATTTCTGTTTGTAGCATCTCCTAGGGAGCAGTGACCCAGTGACAGTACAGTTATGGGTCTCATACAATCGGAAACCCATGAAACGAGCACACTTCCTCACAAGATATCATATAGAGGTGAGTGTTGAGAATTATGAACATCTAATGTAATAATCAAAGAGTTAATATACATCCTTTGATGAAATGTGTTTTAGACTAGAGAAACATAATTTCCTGGAAACATAAGGCCATCCTAAAAATACAAGATTATGCACACGCTGGTTAACTCTGATACACATGGGTACACTAATGTCCTGAGTTACTAGTATTTTTTTTTTCTTATTGTTGAGTACATCGCTACCAGTTGTGAATAGATCAGTAAAAGTTTCATAACTGAAGCACCAGCTTAAATATGTTAGCAGAATGTTCTAAAATGAGGGAAGAAGGTGTGAAACTGAACAAGATTGTTTTTGTTAAGAAGTTGAATTACATTCTCCAGTTTTATTTCATTTATTTTCTCACCTCTTTCTTCCTTCTATTTGTGTTTATCAATATGTGAGGGCTTAATCTCTGTCCTTATCCCTTGGGGAAATGTTTATCAGCATCATATTAATTAGCTCCACTATTATAACCTGCTGTTGTATGTTTCTAGCAATAAATAAATGAATGAAACCTTTTGTAGGTTAATGCAGTATAAATTATAAAATATAAATATTACTTTGTTTTTACAAACCAACGTCAAACACTTGATCTAATTTTTATTTTGCACGTTCTTCAGGAGTATTATGTGGCTGATGCATCGGAAGATCAGGTGTTTGTTTGTGTCAATGTCAACAGTAATGTGACCAATCTCTATATCTCTGAAGCAGAGGGCCTGAAATTTTCCCTTTCTCTGGCAAATGTACTGTATTACAGTCCAGAAGGTGCCGGAAGTACAACTCTCGTGAGGTATGTACATAAACCTTTGTGCTTGCAAGAATAAAACCAAAACATGTATTACGTATGCACATTTTCACTGAAAAATATTATTGATTTGATGCTGTCGGTGTGCAACCAATCTGAGAACCTAGCACAAATTAGGAAGGAAGTTACACTTTGTTGGATGTTACTGAGCAATGCACCTTCCTCTAAAATGTAAGAGTTTTATTTCATAGATTTTGTATTGGTTGTCCAGTTCGCACTGTGGGCTTGATGTTGCTTGCAAAGACCTGCATTCAGATTGCCCAGATTCCATGTGATTTACCCTATCGTTGTCCAGATTTGAATATGAAACCCAGAATGGTATTCTTCCTCGTGTCACCCTATCTCCGTCATCTAAGAACCTTTGGTTAAAATTGCATTACCACAGTTGCTGTACTGTGATTGCTCAATGTGCTATCAGCAATTTTGGAATACTGAGCAGTTATCTTGTTTATATTACTAGTAACCTTTTGTTTTGTAGTTTGTGTATAACAGGGGAAAATGTGACGTATATTTGAATTTAGTTGCCCAAATATTAACAGACAAATGCTTATAATGTCTTTTTATGCTGTTTTGACTGAGGGACTGACCTATAATTCAGATGTGTTATGCTGGTTAAAATAGCAATGTTTTATCATATTTCAATCTTGTTTTAATATAGTTTGACAGCCTACTTTCAAGGTGATGAAAATATAGCTAATTAATTGAATTCAGATTGATAGTATCACAATATAGGAGAGTTGTCTCTTGCACAACCCACTTCAAACAATGGTTTAACAAATTACATTGAATACTGTTTTTATCATTTGATTCATTTTGTTGGCAGCATCTACTTTATCTAATACTATACAATTAAAATTCCATTTCTGAGAGGTGTTTCTCCCAAACTAAAATCAGTTGCAGCACAATAATTCCACTGTGGACTCCACAGAAGATGTTACTGTAGATCTTGTGGTAGCATGCTCACTCCTGAATTGGTTTTTGCTTGGAAACATCTAATTCACTCAAAGTTTCAGCATGCAATTTAGGCTGAAACATCAGGGGTCCACTGTTGGAGATGCATTGTTGTGTGAGAAACAACACCTCTTCCTTCTCCCCCAACCCACCCCCATGTTTCCCAGCATCACAACAGTGACTGCACTTCAAATGCACTTTATTGGCTGTGAAGCCAGTTTTAAGATGTTGTGAAAGTTTGGTTGCTGATGTTGACTTGTGACTTGAGTTTGACCACATACACATGCTAAAATGATCTAGCTTAGTCCAGGTGAATTTTGACTTTGATTATATGAATCGGTGAAACCACTTGCAATATAATATCGAAGGAATTTTAAGAAGTTAAAGTACAAGGTTTTTTGGTTAAAATGGTAGATAATACAATTTTACATCAGTCTAGTAAACACTTAATATGCCAACACACAGATTTTGTTTTATAATTTTGGCTCCATTCATGGAATTTGCAATGTAAACTTGCACGTTTTTGAATGAGCCTCTGATAATTTTAAAGTTTAAGCCTTGCTTTAAAGAAGGAAATTACAAAATTAGATGTGTGAAGAGACTATGAACCAATTGAGTTTCAGTAAGCTAATTGGTCTGACCAAATCATATGACGGAGGTATACTGTGGATATTGGATATTTTCTCAGGAAAAGGGTTAAGGAGCTAGTAAACATTCTTATGAAACCTTGCAGTTAGTTCACCTTTAGAATAGCAATAACTTGTGCTTATTCAGTGTGATGAAATGTTCCAAGGTGCTTCACAGGAGCATTATAAAACCAAGTATGGAACTGAGCCAATTAAGGAGATAGTCCGATGACCAAAAGTTAGGTCAGAGGTAGATTCCAAACAGTATGTTACAGGGTGAAAGTGAGACAAAGATGTTTAGAGATGGAATTCCAGGGCCTCAGCCCTTGCAGTTGGAAACATAGCCATCAATGGTGATTAAACGTGGATATCGTTAAGGGGAATTCTTCACAGTTCAGGACTCCAGCGTGGTGCAAGTGCAGCTTAATGGGAAAATTTATGCAAATAAAATGCAACTTGAGTCAATGTTCTCTGCAGTGCAGGAGTTTGTTAGAAACATAAAATGTAATAAATGCTAAACAAAAAAAATACAAAGAACTGCAGATGCTGGAAATCAAAAACAAAAACAAAAATTACTGGAAAATTTCTGGCAGCATCTGTGGAGAGAAAGCATAGTTAATGTTCCGGGTCCAGTGACCCTTAATCAGAAGAATGTTCTGAAGAAGGGTCATCGGATCCAAAACGTTAACTCTGTTTTCTCTCCATAGATGCTGCCAGACCTGTTGAGATTTTCCACTGATTTCTGTTTCTTGTAAAATAAAGTAAAATTTAAATTCTGGGTAATAAAAGGTTTGACAATGACATTTGATTTTCAACTCCATTTGCTGAGATTTAGTTTAATGGTTGGAAGTTTATCTGTTGGGTAGGTTGATGTGTAATAGACAGATTTTGATAAAGTAAATTTATAGATGGTCATAAGATGCTCTTTTTTCGTTCTTTTTGTTCTGTATACCTATCCTGCAGGGATTGGTTTCTATAAAGTATGGATCTGGAAGCACTAGCTACCCTTGATCTTGACAAGGTGGTTATTTCTCACTTTGTGGCACGTGAATACTGACATACTGTTGTATGGTGAGCAAGCCCCCAATCTTAGCCCATCTCTATGCAAGCACAGTCATAATAACGCTGGATAATCAGGATCTTTTGGCTCAAATAATTTTCCTTTCCTCCAACCAGGAAGCAGTCAGGACAATGTAGTACCCTGTACCTCTGTTTATTTTAGCCTGGACCTAGACAATTATATCATAGAATCCTTACAGTATGGAAGCAGGCCATTCAGCCCATCAAGTCAACACCGACCCTCCAAAGAACATCCCAACCATACCCATCCCCCTCCCCTATCCCTGTAATTCTACATTTCTCATGGCTAATCCAGCTAGCCTGCGCATCTCTGGACACTGTGGATAATATAGCGTGACCAATCCGCCTAACCTGCATACCTTTGGACTGTGGGAGGAAACCAGAGCACTCGAGGAAACCCACGCAGACATGGGGAGAATGTGCAAACTCCACACAGACAGCTGCCTGGGGCTGAGGTTGCACCCGTGTCCCTGGTGCTGTGAGGCAGCAGTGCTAACCACTGCACCACCTATATAGGCAGTACAGCACAAACAGTCCATTTGATCCACCTGTTCCATGTCTGTATTTATGCTTGACTCCTGCCTCCTCCCACCTGTTTTCATCCTGCCCCGTTATTATATCATTTGATTCCTCCTTAGTGTAATTGTCTAGCTTCCTCCTTTAAATGCCTCATTGCTATTTATCTCGTTTTGGATAGCAAGTTCAAAATATTAAACTACTCTTCTTAACAAGGTTCTCCTAAATTCCACACTGAATTTATCAAGAACTATTTTTTAGTTATGGTCCCTAGGTTTGTTTTTCATCTCCAACCCTCTCCGCTTTTAGAACTACCTTTTGTCTGCCTACCTTATAGAATCCATTTATAATCACTAAAAGACCCCTATTTGGTCAACCCCAGGCTTCACTGTTCTAGAAGAAAGTACCCCAGCTTTGTACAGCCTTTCCTGTTGATTATAATCTGAATGCTGATATCATCCATCGCACCCTCTCAAGTATCCCTTTCCTTTCTAAAAAATAGCGAGACCAGAAATGTATAAAATACTCGGTGGAGCCTAGCCAAGGTCCCTATTGAAATTGAACATCTCTGCTTTACAATTCTCATTCTGTATAAGTAGACTCCAATGCTTTGTGAATTCTTTAAAATCACCTTGTCAGCCTGTCTGTCTCCTTTTTAACACGTGTGCGTTTGTATTCCTAGCTCCCTTTGTATCTCATTTAGATTTATTTTAGGAGCATCTGACCTCCTTCATTCTTCCACTAAAGTTTCCTTTGTCTACCAAAGTTTATAGCTGTATGTAGATCATATTAAAATGCAGTCTTGATCTTGTTCTGTATCCAAGCATAACATTTTTTGACAAGCTGGCTTTTGGGGTCACTTGAATTCTGATGTAGTTGGCTGCAACTGAGTATACTACAGGTCCCCTAAGAGCTTTAGTAAAGCTGTTTTAGCAGTGAGGCACAAACTGAGCAAATAGTAAAGGTGTATATTTTATTGATGAGTTCAGAATTCCCAAAGTCAACAAACATCATCAAATGACCCACTGTTATTTTATTTCACTTTCAGATGGTTGGTTGTGCACCGCACTCCTACTCCCAGTCGAACGTTTTCAAAATCTCAGGAAGTGAAATCTGCTTTATTTGTGTAATGCAGCTACAGTTTGTGATGCAGTGGGGAAATAGTCATTGTGGTAGAGCTGTGAATTACTGCAAGATGTAATCATGCCACTTACTTAAACAAAGTCTCCTTTGTCTGCCCAAATTGAAAACTGCCCATTTGCCCTGAATAAGCCATGTTAAATATGCTCTTAATCTTGTTCTATTGTTTATGCTCTGAAAAGAAAGAGAGGTTTTAATGCAGTACTTAACATCAGCTGCATAACCAGGCTATTTATTTTCCTTCCTTTCAACAGATTGGAATTGGTAAGAGATTTCATTTCCCCCCGGCACACAAATTAAGTACTGAATGGTATCAGTGTGACCTTTCAAGATGGTCTGTGCTAGTTTTCGTGAAAATATTTGTTGGATAAAATTGCAGTGAATCATTGGCATTTTATTAAGAAAAAAATGAAACTTATGCAGCCTTTTTATCTGTCAACAGAAATCTACCTGATTTCTCTGGTAAATATTAAGATTGTATTGACAACAAGAGATCAGATGAGCTGAAGATTTGTCATCATCAAAACCCCTTCATGAGATCAGCCCATCTTGATTTATCCAACCAGAAAGATGCCACACATTACAATTTTTTCAGTGTCTTTTATATAGAAAAATATCCCCAAGGAACTTGCGATATGATTGGACCAAATAGGCACTGCACCAAAGGAGGAAGTGGGATGGCGAAAACCTTTGTGTTTCAAAAGGCGTGAGAGAAGAAAGGGTTAGGGAAAGATTTTCAGTGCAAAGCAAAGGGAGAAGGGGCGTGCAAAAGGCTGGAATCTGAGAAATAGTGTTCGGAAAGGAATATAGGGCTGAAAAGTGGTTTAAGCGTTTTTCTTTCTTTCTTTCTTTCTTTCTTTCTTTCTTGGATTTGAATGTCACTGGCGAGGCAAGCATTTGGTGCTCATTCCTATTTGCCTTTGAACTGAGTGCCTTGCAAAGCCATTTCGGATATGAGTTCAAAGTTGACCACTTTGTGCTAGATCTGAAGTCTAAGGATAACCGATTTGTTCACTAAAAAACATTGGTGTACCACTTGGGCTTTTACAGCAAATGATGCTGGTTGACCTCGTCATAATGACTAGCTTTTATGTTCCAGATTAATTAAATTTAAAATCCACCAGCTGCTATGGTGGGATTTGTGACCATGTTTCCAGAATGTTAGAAACGTAGGAACAAAAGTAGGCCATTCAGGGTGTCAAGTCTCCTTATTCATTTTATACAGTCATGGCTGATTGAACATGTCAATGCTTTTTAACCCACTTTATTCTGTGATGAAACAATGGCTTTAAGAGATATGTTTGTCCTTTGTTTTTAATGAAGAAAGGTTGTGACAGAGGTACTGGTCAGTCTGCTCCAAAGCCAATAAAATAAATAACGTGTGAGGCCTTGGTTTTTTTTTAAAAAATTGTTGGAACAATAGAAGCAGCTTGAATGGGTGGGGTCAAGCTCCCACCAAACCAGGATTTTTAGTTTGTTTTTCAGTGGCAGTTGCTGGGGTCTTGAAGCTGGTTTGGATGCTGCAGTATATCTTTCCTTGCTACTCTGAGTTTTCTCTTGATGTGTTTCCTCCTGGACTGGAGAACTGCCTCTGAGACAATCTATTTTATTGAATTTGTCTTTGCCAAGGGTGTGTTTATGGGATGTTACTATCTTGGAACAGTTACTGTCTAATAGTTAAATAATCTATTGTTTTGGTAAGTTTTCCAATAGAATTAAGTTATTCCAATTTCTTCTTTCTTTTGTTGTATTTTAACTATAGTGGATGAATAATGTGTTTTGCTTTAAGACTGGTAGTTCAACCAATGGAATTACATCTGGAATGCAACACCTGATAGTTGCCTTTAAAATAAGAAAAAGTTAAGGTCTTAATATTCCTAATATATTTTGAGGGGCTTTGTTTGGTCCATAACAATTCCCATAACCCGTTATGCCATTGTTAATCAAAAATGTATCTGCTTCTACTGAACTTTCAGAGCTCCTTTGGGTAGAGAATTCTAAAGATTCACATCCCTCTGAGTAAAAGAATTTCTCCTCATCTTGGGCTCAAATGACAATACCTTATTTTTAGAGTTGTGCCCCCTGATTCTAGATTCCCCAAGCAGGGGAAGTATCTTGTCTGCATCTACCCTGTCCATTCCTTTTAAAATATTTTTTGTAGGTTTCAATGTTTTATCTCTCATTCTTTGAAATTCAGAAGAATACAGGCCCAGTTGCCCAAACTCTCTGCAAAGGACAATCCCAACAACCTGGGAACAAGGCTGTTGACCTTTGTTGCACTCACTCTGTGACAATAATAACTTTTCTGAGATAAGGAAACTAACTGTCTGTGCCTTTTGGATTGCAAGTTCAGTGATGTTAACAGTGCACCCTTCATTAATGAAGAATGTTAATGTGTGAATAAGAATTTTAAGTTAGAAGTTTTGAAGTCCTGGAAGAGACCTGGAAGCCAATGCAAGGGTATGGATAATAAATAGACAACTGGAGTCTAGGTGGAGATAAAGGATGCTGCTTGGCCTGCTGTGTTCATCCAGCTGTACACCTTGTTATCTTGGAGTCTAGGTGGGATTGGTTGTGTAGCAAGGTTTTAGAAGACCTGAAGTTTAGGGAGTGAAGCCTTTGGAACATTGCGCTAGCTGAGTCTAGAAGTGGGAAAGTAAGATTTTAATCAGGTGAGAAGAGTAGGCCAGAGACTGGTAATGCAATGATAGAAGTGTAGTGATGGAGAGGATATGATTGGTAGAAGGGTCTTTGGTTAAACAGTTCCCCTTCTTGCAGCAGCTAATGGTTTTTAATGATTTCAGGGTTTTCACATTCACCACTCTGTCTGGAAAGGTATTCCATGATCATCTTTACATGAAAGCTGAACGTCTGATATCAGGCATAATATTTCCCACACACCTCCCCCACCTTTTAATTAATATTAATCTGTGTTCCCTTTGCCTTGGTCACATCAAAGTAAAATGAGACTGCAGACTGACTGACTGACTGACTGATTTATTTTTCCTTCCCGTTCCCATGATGTAACTCGTATGATCTCTGTTCAAAATTAAAAGTAGCTGAAATGAGTGTTGTCGCAGTTACTTCTCTTCTCCATATGTTATTCCTTTTTCCATCTTGTTATAAAACTCAGAAATTCTGGTAATAGACAATAATTTATTGGCATGCATAGGGCTAAGTTAATTCGTCAAAAAGCTCCACTGCCTGCTAAGGAATCTTTTTTTTTCCCCTTAAATTCTCAGATACTTTGCAAATGAGCCATTTGCAGATATTCATCGTGTAGAAGGACTACGGGGCGTCTACATTGCCACCCAGATGAACGGGTCTTACACTGAGGAGAACATGAGATCAGTGATAACTTTTGATAAAGGTGGAACCTGGGAACTGTTGCAGGCACCAGCCTTTGGTAGTGATGGTGTTAAAATCAACTGTGAGGTAAGGAAGTCTCGGGTACCATTTTCACAGTTTTTTTTTTTAAAGAACTTTAATCTATTGTGGGATGTGGCTGTTGCTGACAAGACCAGCATTGTTGCTTGTCACTCATTGCCTTTGACCTGGGTGCATTGCTAGGAGGCATTTAAGAGTTAATCCTATTCTGTGGCTTCAGATGCACACCCTCGGCTCAGACTGAATAAGAATGGCAGATTTCCTTCCCAAAAGAACATTAGGTAACCGGAGGGGTTTTTGTGACAATCATTGATAGCTGCCTTGGTCACCATCACTGGGACTAGCTTTCAATTCTAGATTTTTATGAATTGAATTTTAAATTCCAACAACTACCGTGATAGGATTGGAGCCCATGCAACCAGAGTATGAGTCAGTGCCGCTATGCTACTATCTCACCATGATGTTATAATGTTGTTGCCTTTTCTCTTTTGAGGTGCAAAGTTCTTCGGTCATGGTTCCATCTGTGCTAGTTTCTCACTCTTGTCACTCATATTGCCTTGTTGGCGAACGTTGGCCTGTTGGTAGAGATTGATGACAGCAGAGGAATTTTAAATAAGGTTTTATCTCCATAGAAATATTTTGGAGCATGTCAGTGGATAGCTGCCATGAACTGATTTTTCTTTTTCATACTTTTTTTTCCTGTTCAAACTCGGAGGTGCTCTGACCCTAATGGTGTTGTATCAGGTTAATAAACTGGAGTAAATGGAACCAATAAGAACTCACGTTACATTGCACCTTTTAAAATAATGAATGTCCCATGTAATAAACAATCAGGGCACTGAGAACCCAAGGTTTTAATTTCTGAATGTATAAGTTCATCTTTTTATTTAAACTAGAAATTGGGATTACTAGAAGTGGATGGGACCTACAACAGCTTGCATTATAAAAGTCCCTTTAAAGTAATGAATGTCCCAATGTGCTAAATGATCCCCACCCCAAAAAAAATCTAGGTGGCTTAATTACTTAGTGCAATTAACAGTCAGTGCTTTGAGGACCCAAGGTTTAATTTCTGACCATAATGATTCAGGTTTTTTTAAAACTATAAGTTAGAATTATTAGAAAATTTATATTTTTCCTCTTTACAGTTAAACCAAGGATGTTCACTCCATCTGGCACAGCGTTACAGTCAATTGCTGAACTTCCAGCTTCGCAGAATGCCCATTCTTTCCAAAGAGTCAGCACCAGGCCTGATTATTGCTACAGGTAAAGCTTTTTATTTGCTAAAAGAAATCTTATATTTTTTTTTTATTAATTCATGGGAAGGTGGTGCTGAGCTGCCCTCTTGAACTCGGGGGATGTGATGGCCTAGTGGTATTATCGCTAAATTGGTATTCCGGCGACCCGGGTAATATTCTGGGGATCTGGGTTCAAATCCTGCCATGGCAGATGGTGAAATTTGAATTCCATTTAAAAAAAAAAAAATCTGGAATGAAGAGTCTAATGATGACCATGAAACTATTGTTAATTGTCAGAAAAACACAACTGGTTCGTTAATGCCCTTTAGGGAAGGAAACTGCCACTCTTACCTGATCTGGCCTGCATGTGACTCCAGACAAACAGCAATGCGGTTGACTCTTAACTGCCCTCTGGGCAATTAGGAATGGGCAATAAATGCTGGTACAGCTAGTGAGGCCCTCATCCTGTGAATGAATTTCAAAAAAACTGTTGCAGTCCCTTTCACAAAACTATGTTGACTCTGCCAATTACCATAAACTGATCAGAGTGCCCTGCTGTAACATATTTAATAACATTTTCTCTTTGACAAATATTAAGTTAACTGACCTGTAGTTTCCTATTTTCTGAGTCCCTGCCATGTTGAATTAAAAAATTTACATTCACTATCTTCCAATTTAATGGTACTATCCCAAATAAACTGAAGTTTGAAAATTCAAACCAATGCATCGTGTAATTCATTAGCTATTTCTTGTAAGACACTATATATGATAAAGTCTTTCAAAACCTTGGCACTTGTCAGCCACAGCTCTAACAATTTACTCCTACCACTTTTCTGATTGTGATTTTCCTGAATTCCTCCCCGCCTTCCATTTCCTGACTTGTCGCTGTTTTCAAGATGTCACTATAGTGAAGACTAACGTAAAATACCTATTCAATTTATCTCCCATTTCTTTATTTTCCAGTTTTAATTCTCTTCACTTTTTATTCAACCAGCACTCACTTTGTTAACTTGGTTGATTTTATGATGTAAAGGTGCTAGTGTTAGACTGGGGTGGGCAAAGTCAGAAGTCATATGACATCAGATTATAGTCCACAGGCTTATTTGAAATCCCCAGTTTTCGGAGCATAGCCCCTTCGTCAGGTGAAGTGAGATATTAGCACACAGACACAGAATTTATAGACATAGTGATCAAGGACAGAGCGATCAAGAGATCATACAAATGGTGTGAGTGGAGTGTCGAATAATAAGTCTCTGCAGGTAACCAAAAATATCAGATGGTGTGAGTAAAGTGTCAACAGCTGAATAACAAGAGAAGGGATGACCAAAATCCGTTTTAAATGTGGCAGAGAGATAATTACAAAAGATTAAAAATAAGGTGTCGCCAGCAACACACCAGATGGCTGGAATAACGTGATAGGTATAAGAGTTGCATGCCGAAGGTCTAACTAAAGTAATAAGTCATCCAAAACTACAAACTGATTAAGGCACAGAGATCATAACAATTTATCAAGGTGATGGTGTCAAAACAGGACAGTAAGGAAGATTTTACAGATACAGAATAGTGTGGTGCCATATACCATTTGTATGGTTATTTTTGATCTCTCTGCCTATAAATTGTGTTTGCGTTCTTCTCTCGCACTTCACCTGACGAAGGGCCTATGCTGTGAAAGCTTGTGATTTCAAATAAACCTGTTGGACTGTAACCTGGTGTCATGTGACTACTGACCTGATTGTTTATAGATAGTGAGACTTACTGTAAATATCTGTTTACACATTTCTGGCTCGCTTTCTCAAGTACATTTTCCTCCCCCGTTACTTTTTCCTTCACATTTTCTGTATTTTATTCAATCTCCTGAGCTGTCACCTGTCTTTGTACAATTGTAGATAATTTCGAAGCAACCTGTTCAGTGATGTCATTACCTACCTTTTGGTGCAGGTGAGACCTGAACCTGGGCCTCCTGGCTCAGAGGTAGGGATGTTACTATGTGCCACAAGACCCTCTTTGCACATTTATGCTTTTTCTTTGAGTCGGCTGCTGACTTTAACATTTCTTCTCTTTGTCCACAGATAGTAGAGCCATCTCTTGCTATTTTTCTCACATGTTGGAATGTATCCATTTTGTGTATTCTGCCCTTTTATGTAAGGTAGAAGTCTCAGACCTACATTTTTTTCTGTCCAGTCAAACCAATGATAAAATTTTAATCATCTGATTGCTGATTCATTACGAGTTCGTTAATTCTATTTTGTGTTTGGTAGTACAGAACTTAAACAATGCTTTAGGGAGACAAGAAGTTGATGGTTTTCACTTTGCATTTGTTAGAACTAGGCTTCAAGAAACAGACCTCAAAAAAGTCAACATGTAAAACAGCATGAGAAGAGGGTGCCGATCGCTTAGTGCATTACAAGCTTGGAGATGCAGCAAGAACAGTTGCCTGTCAATCATATAACCTTTTGCAGAAATAAAACATGACCCTGAGTCTGACTGTGCTAGATTGGCTATGTTAAAGTACTCATAGTGTCCAGCAATGAGCAGACTAGGTGGATTACCCATGGGAAAGACAGGGTTACAGGGATAGGGCAGGGGAGTGGGTCTGGGCAGGATGCTTTTTGGAGGGTTGGTGTGGACTTAATGGGCTGAATGGCCTGCTTCCACACTGCAGGTTGCACGATGATTCTATGATGACCTTTAATCGGTTGCCAGTATAACCCATGGTGTAGTCCAGATTACTTAATAAATAGTAGATTCAAATCTACTCACCATATAGGTTTGACATGACAGTGTATCAAAATTATCCTGCATGATACAACGATCAAACTGTTACTTGCTGTATATCGTGAAAACTCTCAAAAGGGCTTATATCCACCACTCTTAGCCCTGATCTATCTCCAATTATTCTAGAATGGGGATATTTCTCAAAAGGTTGAACAACAGGTGAAACTAGCTATTTTGTGGTGCTACGACGCTGTAAGACCACAAGAACTAGTTTTCTACACCAACAGGATGCTATTGTCAAGGCAAAACCATGTCCTACCTACCATTCAAGTGAGTAATGTGATATGGGTTTCAGTGCTAGTATGATACCAGGTAAGTAAAAGATAAATTTGCTGAAGTCCTACCGGACCATAGGGCTGCTGTCTCTCATTAGACAGAGACGATGAGTGGTACGTTCAACCGCAGGATCAGCACACCTTGTGTAAGGGGAGAGGTTGAGAAGGAGAATCCTTCGTGGTAACCTCAGCTAGTGCGAGGAGAAGAACCCATGCTATTGGCGTCACTCTGCATGGCTAACTGGCCATTCAGCTAACTGCGCTAACTGACCACCTCCTTGCATTTATCATTTCTCATTATTTATCATCTCTCCCAAAATTGTTTCCACAGCCTGGTTTCCTGAACTTGGGTCATCTCTCTCTGTTGTACTAATAACATTATTGACTAACACAGCCAATGTGTGCCTTTTCCTAGCGTCCTGTCCTTCCTAAATTTCCTTCGAGATTCAGGCCCGAAATGTGTCACTGTTATGGCTGTCATTTCTGAAGCCACACTGGATTTGAAACATACTGTGTTTCTCTCTCCACAGATGCTGCTAGACCTGCTGAGTTTCTTCAGCATTTCCTGATTTTTATCAGGTCATAGATATTTATTTCAATGTGCATTTTCTCTCTGTTTTGTTTTGAATGCTATCTGCATTCAGATACGGAGCTTTTAGTTTTAGCCTTTTGTTCTTTGTGAATGCAAGTTGAATCAGTTGGCTTACCCTCAGATTTGTATTCGCTGTTCTTCACGTCACAGTCTGTATCATTTCCTGTGTTAATACCTTTCTCATTGGCCTTGACTCCTGGATATACCACATCTTCCCAAATTTGATACCGTGACCTGCTATTTACTTAAATTCTCTACTCCCCTAGTCGTTTGATTGGCAACAACACTGATCGTGCCATAAAGATGATCCTATCAGCTCATATGCCTCTTCAACAGTATTGGTGTCAATGCTTCATGAACCAGAACCCACTTCTCCCACACTTTTTTTTTTGTTGCAATGCTTTTTGCTCTCTCCTCTGATTTGACCTATGCCATGTGCATGCAGAGATTATGACTTTGAGTTTCTGTTTATCTTGGCGCTTAGCTCTTCATACTGGCTTTAGTCCTGCCTGTATCTTTAGTATCTACATGGGTCACAATGACTGAACCTACGCTTCCCATTGCATGTTCCTCCCTAGCCCTGTACAGATGTCCCAAGCCCTAGCACTGGGTTGGTGACATAACCATCTGAATGTGTGCTTTGCTGAGAATAGTGACAACCCACCTCACAATACTGTCCTTTATTACCACTGTGTTCCTTGGTATTCTGTAGATGACAAGTGAGAAGGTAATTAATATTTTGCTGCTATCAATATTGATTTAGCAACTTAATGTTGATGAAATGCTTTGAATTCTAAAGCAAAGCAAGTTGCCATTTTTAATAATTGAGGAACCAGGTCCATTGCCTCCAACCTGCTGTTTTCCCGTTCAAGTTATCTTGCTGTTTAGATGAGGTAATTATAAACTTAATGTATTATTATAAGTATAACCTTCGCAGCATTCTGCAGATTTACAGATATGCTATTCCTAGATTAATTGTTTGATCAGTACTTGTTTGATTCATGTACTGATCCTAAACATGTAGTAGGCCATCTTGGAGGAAAGTGTACATAACAATACGTGGATTTCAATACATCTATAACCAGGTATTTTGTTTTGGACTGAGCTGTCATTTATCAAAGGATGCAGCAGTGATTTCATGCCTGTTTCCCTAACTTCTGTGTCCCACAGGTTCCATTGGGAAGAACTTGGCAAACAAACCAAATGTTTATGTCTCAAGTAGTGCTGGAGCTCGATGGCGTGAGGTAATGTGCTTTTGTAAAACTAGTTTTGTTATGTAAAGCTAGCTGCAATGAAAAGAAAACGCTGTTTCAAATTATATCATTCAAAAATTTGCAGAAGTGTTACTTTTAGAATGGGCAAGTAACGGATTATAACAAGAGTGGTTTAATTTTGTATTATTTGATACTAGAGAAGGCATTGCAGTAAAATGCTCCTAATCCTAAATTTGATACTAATTCCACAAAGCAAGATATGGGATCAGAATTAGGCCATTCGGCCCATCAAGTCTGCTTTACCATTTGATCATGGCTGATAGTGGGAAAATCATAAATAGAAAGGATGAAATAAAATAGCTGCTGAAGAATCTGAGAAAGAAGTGTGGGCCAAAAATTGCAGCTTTTAATGTGAGGAAAATGGAAAAGGATGAACTGAACAATAGGTGAAAAGAACAAAGGAAGAGGGGATCGTCTAGAGGAGATACAGAGGATGAAGAAATATCTTGCCTTTTCAATGGAAAATACTTTGAAATCATGTCTGCTGCTGGAAAAAAGGGCAAATGAGATCTTAAAATATATAGTTCCAGAAGGAGAGGCTATATAGAGTATTGTATTGTCCAAATACATCGAGGAGGGCAGCATAGCAAAGAACTTGGAAAACGTACCAGTACATTAATCAGTTTTTGTATTGTTGCAATTAAAGATTGAAGTAATGTAGGTTATTATTTTTTATGGTTTATCTATACATTGGGGGATTAACCCTGTTACTGATTCTAACCTCGAGCTATCTGTGGTAACAATCACGGAAACTGGTGTCTGGATTACTAAGCATTTCACTTTATTACGAAACAACCAATACGCAACCAGTCTAGACAATATCTGCAAATGGTTCTGAATACCACACTGTATTGTTCTCAAAGACAACTGTGTTCATGACCTTTCAAAGAAGAGGAGCAAAGTCCTCCTCCTGGGTAATGTTTAGGCCTTGACCAGTACCATAGGAAAAAGTGGTATCTGATCGTGATCTCATCTCAAGGGAATTTATGAATGTGTGATAAATGTTAGCCTTACAATGCCTCATATTATGAATAAGTAATGTAAATTGTTGTTTGTGGGGAATTGCTGTATGAAAAATGACTTCTGCATTTTCCACATTACAACAGTGGCTACACTGGATGTCCAACACTATATTATTTGACTTACCAAAATATTTTCTTATAGCACAGGAGTCTTGTAGTTCCCAAAATAGGTAAATATTTGTTTAAATCTTCATTTTGTTACCTTAAAAAAAAAAAAAAATAGTTTTGTTGCTAAGCAGTTTTCTGTTTTGGATGATAACAGACTTTCACTGTGCTCAAAAAAGACTTGATTAAAAACCGGAAGAACTGCGGATGCTGTAAATCAGGAAGAAAAACAAAGTTGCTGGAAGAGCTCAGCAGGTCTGGCAGCATCTGTGACGGAAAAAACAGAGTTAACGTTTCGGGTCCGGTGACCCTTCCTCAGAATGTCACCGGAACCGAAACGTTAACTCTGTTTTTTCCTTCACTGATGCTGCCAGACCTGACCTTTTCCAAAGGCGTGGTTAGTTGTACCTACCTTGAGACATCCTGAAGGCTTGAGTATTGCTATAGAAATAAAGGTTCTTCCCTTTACTTTTGCTTTGGCAATTCCAAGCAATAATAATTTCCCAAAACCTAGTGATTTTCTTTTCCTATTCCAAACCCAGACCTAAGAAAGATGATACTAAACTGATGTTTATCATTTAGAGTATTGTTGCAAAGTTTACAGGCTCCTTATTTTATTATCAGTTCACACAGATAATGCTAGTTGAAATGGATTGAAGAGAGGTTGTTCTTTTTACCTTAATCACATACTGTGTCTCCATGGTACTGGAATTCTCTGCTCTGTCAAATTATTCGACTCAGGTTCTAAAAATATGAGTTGCCATAAACCTATTACAGGAAACATTACTGTGCTAGAACAAGGTTTGAGTTTTCCCTGAAAAACAGGTATTTTTCCATTGTTCCTGTGCAGAAGTTAGACTGGAAAAGTTCCTTGGTCTGCCTGATTCACCTTTTTGAAGTGAATGATTTAAAGTGGTGAATGTTTGAGTTGTCAATCCAGTTGCCTGTGTGAGGTGTTCTACTCAAATGCATTTGAAGAGTAATGGGAAAAGTGTATCCAAGTGAAATGGGGCAAAAAAACTAGCATTGTGAAGATGATTTGACTGCATTCTGTCTTTTGTTGTATTTGTTCAGGCCCTTGAAGGTCCCCACTATTATTCTTGGGCTGACCATGGAGGAATCCTGTTAGCAATTCCTCAGGGCTCCCCTACCACTCAACTGAAGTGAGTAAACCAAAGATTGTGTATTTTTTTTCAACTTTTAAGAAAATTACTAGTATTATCTCTTTTGAAAATCTTTATTTTTGATTACTTTTATAATGTCTTTTTTTTTAATTCTTCCCCCTTCCTTTATTGTAGTATTTTTGTATTTTACAATCTGGTATGAAGTTAACGTACAGTAGAGATGTGTCGATATGAAAATGTTTCAGCTGTTTGTAAATAACCAAATGCAACATTGTTTTACTTGTGCAACCACTTTCAACAAAAAGGTACAGTACCAATGAGGGAGAGACATGGAAGATTTTTAACTTCACTGAAAAGACTGTTGTGGTATATGGATTACTTACTGAGCCTGGAGAGAAAAGCACTGTCTTCACAATATTTGGCTCATACGCCCAACAGTCCCATAGTTGGCTAATACTGCAGATCAATACAACATTAGCATTGGGTAAGTTCGTGTTGATCTTTCACTACTTTTTAATGAAATTTCACCCTCTCCTGTTTTTTAAACAGAAAGTTTGGGAAGGAGTATACAGCTTTAAGTACTTGCTAATCCCACATAAAGCATTAATCAAACTTTTCTAATGACTGTGTGTTATTTTTATTTGCTGTTTTTCAGAGTCTATTACACAACCACATGATAGATATTCAAAACAGTGGAATATTCTGTGTTTTATCTTGATGTCCTCGATTGAAGTGGTTTATTGCTTTCTCGCAATGGTTTCAGGCATTAAGTGACTCTGTTATGAAATATTGGGAATGAAAAATACATACAAAACAGGGCTACTGTTGTCGTGATTACCTGGGACTGTCAGTGTGGGTAGGAGCAACAATTAGCAACTTTAGTATTGGCCAAATTTCACCAAGTGCTATAACAAATGTCACTGCTTCATTGTGATATCACTTAAAATGACCGAAGAGAGATGGGGCCAGCAGGAATGGAATGGTAGAAGAAGCTGACAAAAACTGAAGAAAACTCAAGGAGGGCACAGTTTGTTATCTCACCCATCAAACAGTTCCTAGAACAATGAATAAATATTGAAATTGTTGCTGGGAATGGAGGGTTTGAGTTCTAAGGAGAGGCTGGATAGGATGGGACTTTTTTCACTGGAGCATAGGAGGTTGAGGGGTGACCTTCATAGAGGTTTATGAAATTGAGTGATATAGTTAAGGTGAATAGCAGGTATCTTTTCCCTAGGGTGGGGAATTTCTAGCCTGGGGGCAATATTTTTCAGGTGAGAGGAGAAAGATTTAGAAAAGACATGAGGAGCAGTTTTATTTACAGTGGTTTGTGTAGAATGAATTTTCAGAAAAAATGATTGATAAAGTCCAGTTACAACGTTTAAAAGACATTTGGATAAGTACATGCAAAATAAATTATATTCCTACCTTGTATTTTAATGATTTAAGTATTTCTTCTGTATCCATCCAAAAATAAAAGATCTGTTTTTGAAGATTGCACTTAAAAACAGGAATAGGATGGCCAACTCCCTAATTATCTTTAAGTAGATAAACCTTTTTCTCGAATTCAGTGTTAGAATCTACCCTTTAATCTTCTAATTAATGTTTTTTTGCTGACAGGTCCCTGAATAAGAGGAATTGTTTGCGTGTGAATTTAATTCACCCACCCCCTCAACCTGGATCATGAAATCTGTAAAATGAATCTCTCTCCACGTTTTTTTTTGTATTCTTAGAAAATGGCCTGCATATGAGAGTCTGTAGTGCATCTATACAGGAGGAGGCTGACTACCAATTCATATTTATCTACTGTGTCTAAAATTGCCTGTCTTATAGGCTCCATTGGGGACCAGTGTACTCCATAAATAATGTATCAATTCAATCCAGTAACAAAGCCTGTAATCAATTCAACGCCACAGAATTGTGTATCTAGAAGGTGGTTCACAATTGTAAATCCTCTAAAGTACAATACATTATAAGTTTTTAAAATAAAAAATAAGTTCTCTCTTTGTCCCTCCCTGTTAAGGAGTACCTTGTTCTGAGACGGATTACAAACTGTGGTCTCCCTCTGACGAGCATGGGAATGAATGTTTGCTTGGTCGGAAAGTTGTGTACAAGCGAAGAACTCCACATGCCACCTGTTTTAATGGTGAAGACTTTGACAGACCAATTACAGTTAACAACTGCTCCTGTACAAGGGAAGACTATGAATGGTAACTAATTAAATCAAGTTTTTTTTTTTTTTCTTTTTTTAAAAATAAGACTGCCATGACTAGTGATGTAACTACATCAGGCTGCAACTCTGAGTTACTATTTGTCTAGGTTACCAACGTCATTTACATTGAGATACGCCCTATCAGTTCATCCATGACTATTATATTTATTCACTTCAATAATTTGTTGCTCAGTACCTGAGCATTGTTTACTTAATTTAATCAGTTATGTTGTGAATGAATCATGAAGTTGTTTTATTAGTCTGTTCTTGCAGAGGTTTGATGCAAGTCTGTGATATTATAATGCATATGAAATGAATCTCCTAGCTGAGGGAGGCAGACTACCTAATTGTGGTCTTTGCTAGTCTTGAAGGAGGTTGCTTTCTGCAAAGAACCAATTTAAGTGACCCATTTTATATTTTAGATGTTATGGCAAATCATGCATTACTCTTGTTGGCAGACTGCATTATTTGAATGTGTCATGTATTAGAATGCATCACACGCTCTTTCAGGATGCCCATGCAGGTTTAAAAATTCCTGACAACTATTAAGAAATTTTATTTACTTGAATCTAGATTGCTCAATAGTGATAGATCATCCTTTCCGGTGGCTCAGTGGTTAGCACTGCTGCCTCACAGCGCCAGGGACCCGGGTTCAGTTCCACCCTTGGTCGATTGTCTGTGTGGAGTTTGTATGTTCTCCCCGTGTCTGCATGGGTTTCCTCTGGGTGCTCCGGTTTCCTCCCACAGTCCAAAGATGTGCAGGTTAGGCGGATTGGCCATGCTAAATTGCCTGTAGTGTCCAGGGGTGTGTAAATTAGATGGATTAAACATGGGAAATGCCAGGTTACAGGGAATGGGTCTCAGTGGGATGCTGTTCAGAGGGGTGGTGTGGACTTGTTGGGCCGAATGGCCTGTTTCCACACTGTAGGGATTCTATGATAGTTAAGCCAGGAGGATGATAAAGGCTCCAGGTTTGATCTCTGGTATGTCTTGATGGAGCTGATCTCAGCAGGTGATGGTAAGGGTGTTGCAGATGGTCAGGACAGAAAATTGGGTTGGATTTCCCCTAATGGGATTATCACTGACCTGTTAGAATTCTGTACTCCCATACATTGAGGTTATGAAAGAGTTGGATTTGCCAATAATGTCCATAATCGGGGAGGATTGCTGATGTTTGCTGTTTAGGATAATGGAAAAATTGATGTTTCGTTGAAATACCAGAGTAGGCATTATCTGCAGAACTGTATCTGGCGTGCATTGGCTCCTTCATTAGGGCAGAGAGAAATATGGGCAGGAAGAGAATTTAATGAAGTGCTCATTTTGGATTTTAGCAAACGCTTTTTTTTCTTGAAATGCCTGGTTGCATATCAGTATAAATATGACATATAAATTGATGACCATCAATACTGAAAATTAGTAATGTGCTGCCAAGAACTTTTGTGAAACAAGATACTTGTTGAATTTGAAATGACTTGGGAATGTTGAACTCATTATCTAATTGGGAGCAACAGAAGACCATTTGACTCATTGCACCAACTCTTTCATTTGATACGATCATGGCTGATCTGATTTGTGCCCTCTATTCCACTTCCTTGCCTACATGCTTGATTCCTTGTTCATTACAAATTCGATCTACCTTTGCCTCAAAAGCATTTAGTGGCCCAGCCTCCACTGACTCTGAATCCTCTGAAAGAAAACCCACTGTAAGTGGTAAAGTCCCAATTTTTAACTTGTTTGCTCTAGTTCTAGTCTGTCCCACAATTGGAAATTTCCTTTCAGCTTTACCCTGTCAAGTCCATTCAAGGTCTGATTTCAATAAGATCACCTCTCATTACTAACATTGACACAGGCCCAACTAATCCAACTCTTACTCCTAAAATAATCCCATAATTCTACGAATCATTTGAGTGAGCATTGTTATGAACTGTTTCTAAAGTAGTTATTTTCTCCTTTAAATAAGGAGACCAAAACTGCACACTGTAAACTCGATGTGATCTCACCAATACTCTGGAAAACTACAATAAAACATCCCTGCAGTTCTATTGCATTCCCATTTGCAGCAAACACCAACATTCCATTTTCCTTCCTAATGACTTGTTGCACTGCATATTAGCTTTGTATGATATTCTGGACAAGAATACCAAAATCCAAGTATGCCAAATTGATAGGTTCCCTTTCATCTATGTTGGCTTGTTACTACTTCAAAGGACTCTTATGATTAAGTTCAATACGACTTCCTTTTATTGCAACCATGTTGACACTGCCTGTTTGCAATGAAATTATGTGCCCTGCCTGTAATATTCTGAATGATCAGTTCCAGCAATTTCTCTAGAATAGATGTTAAACTAATTGAAGGTGAGTGTAGAACAACAAGTTAGATTATCATAAAATTATTCACTTGTACATTCTATTTTGGAATGGAACCTGGAAGTACTCTTCTACATACACCAAGTAGTGTAAAAATTTGAAAGTCCCTCTTTCTTTTCTTTCTTAAAAAAAAACGTGAATGTTGTAGGCAAGTAGGGCTTTCAAAGGTTTAATTTTATTGTATAATGGTATGGAAGGATAGACGACTAAGGTAAGTAACTGGAATTGAGGTACAAATCATCCATGTTTTAATTGAGGGCAGCGTCTCGGGGTCTAAATTACCTACCACTGTTTTTAAATTGAACAAAATACCCTCTGTTTATTAAGCATTTATTCTACTGCAGACCGATAGGAAAGTAGTTTGTATCAAGTATGTATCTGTGAAACCCCCATTGGATTGCTTTTACTTAATTGTAGGACATAGTGTCTGTTTAGTATTGAGGAAAAGTGAAATGAAATCAGTGGTGGTGGGATTATTTGGGATTTGGAATTAATTTTTGTGCAAGATATGCTTGTATTACAGTGAGAGTTGGTGTTTACTCAAATTATACATATTTTCTGTCTGAAAGCCAAGTATTTCTACATGGTTTCTTGATTATTTTACGTAACAATCCTATATTTATAGCTTGTCTTGCCTGCCTTACTGTTTGCAAACGGTAATTTGTAAAAATGCTTTTAAATTTTCAGTGAATTAATTCATTTTAATGCTTATTTCCTTCTAGTGACTTTGGCTTCAAGCTGAGTGAGGACTTGTCGTCGGAGGTCTGCACCCCTGATCCAGAATTCACGGGCAGTGTGTACGCTCCCCCTGTCCTCTGCCCTGCTGGCTCCACGTACAAGCGAACAAAAGGGTAAATTTTCAGTGATTAGCTTATGATATGTAACTTGTAGAGGAAGGCTAAGGGCATCCTAAAGTGCAATGCATCCAATGAACTAGTTTTTAAAACCTTTGTTACTATTGTAATGTGGATAATTCTAGCCATGTTAAAACTTGACTGAAGATTAGTTTATTTTGGATTTAATGGTTTATTGGAAATGCCTTGTGATTTAATTTTAGTCAAAATGTGATGAGATGTGTATCTTTATTGTTTCTCCAGTTACCGAAAAATTTCAGGTGATACCTGTAGTGGAGGTGATGTTGAGGCTCGTTTAGAGGGTGAAGTGCTGCCCTGTCCTGTGGGAGGTAACTGTTTACTTTTTGTATCTAGGTTTTTTTAAAAAAGTTTATAGTAAGTAATAACCTAGTGCAACAATAATTATTGTTTGGTTTAATTAGCTTTGAATGGAATGTGTTTAGTGGCTGTTTACTGTTGTTGTGTTACCAAAATGTCAGTTGTCATATGTTACCTTTCTTTCTCAGACAAAAGTAATTGCTTAATCTCCTGGATATGACAATGAACTAAGAGTGGATTTGGTGGGAGGAGGGAAGTGGTTATGGTCGTTTGGAGTGGTTTAAGTATTTGTATTGTGCTTTAATTTCTTGATTGGAAGTTGGAGGGTGAGATGCATGAGTTGTCACCCATACAGAATGAATAGTAATTCTCCATTTAAAGGTGGTGAAATACTACATAGAATTGCAGCATGACCAACACAGAACTTCACCTTTTGTGGTCAGCTTTCCATGGAAAAACAGAAACCATTTACAAGACAAAAGTGACAGACTTTCTCCAATTGTTCAGGAGTCTGCAAATGCCCCAACAAAAACATTGAGCAAAAGAAAATTGTGGATTTGAGATCACATTGTAACAGTTGGCAAGATTTGTGTAATTACATGGGGAAGGGTAACGGTCTCACTGTCGTCATAACTAACTGGATCTCTGCAGAGTCGTGTTAATGTAGTTGAAAGAGAAGGCTTATCTATTTTTCTTATGAAATAGTGTGAATGAAAAGTGAGCTAAACAGAATTAAATGGCCAATGTAAAAACACAGCAACTTGCATTTGTGTAGCACCTTTCAATGCAGTATAACATCCCAGGACACTTTACAGGAGCATTATTTAAAAAAATTTAAAATACAACTGCAGAAAGAGATATTAAGGCAGGAGAGCTAAAGCATGGTCACAAAGTGTGCATTTAAAGGTTATGTTAAAGGACAGTAATGAGGTCAAGAGCCACCGAGTTTTAAAGGGGGGAATTCCGGAGCTTGTGGTCAAAGTACCAAATGGCATGGTCACCGGCACTATCCAAATTAAAATCGGAAGTGTACACAAGAAGCTAGGGTTGGAATAGCACAAAGTGATAGAGAAATTTACCAGGTCAAAGAGAGTTGTGACCATGAAGGGCTTTGTAAACTAGAGTGAAAATTTTAAAATCCATGTGTTGCTAGCTGGGAATCACGAAGCTCAGCACGCAGAGGAGTGATGTGTGAATGGGCCTTGATATACTTTAGAATATGGGCTGCAGAATTTTGGATTATCTCAAAGTGTGTGTGAAGATGGGAGACCACCCAATAAATCATTCAAAATGTTGAAGCCTAGAGGTAATAAAGATGTGGGTGAAGATTTTTAGCAGTAGGTGAGCTGACTCAATAGTTGAATTGGACAATTTACAGGGATGGAATTAGACAGCCTTAGTGGATATGTGATCAATACCAGTGTTGCAATGGATGGGGTTTAGCCTTCCACTGTAGTCAGACGAATAGAGTTGATGGCTTGGGAATAGACTTTATGGTGTCACTGAAGCTAGTGCCTATATTTAGTTGGATAAAATTTCTACTCGTGCATCATTAGATGTTGAACATGCAGTATGACAAATTCGGGGCAGTGGAAGAATCAATTGAAGGAGAGCTGATGTTATGATCAATGTTACCTGAAGAACCTGTTATTTTAGGATCATCTAGTTGAGGGGCAGCATATAGATGAGAATTAGGTGAGGTCTATGGAAAGACCATTTAGAGAGGGATAGAAGCAGGCAAACCAAAAGAGCAGGAAGCGAAGAACTTGCATGTGGGAATTAACTTAACAAGTTACAAACGTATTATCCTTAATGAAGCCTTTTTATAATTATTTATTACTGGAGAGTCTATATTCTCTCTCATTTGCATCATCTAAATAGTTAAGGCATTAAAATTTGTTTTTGCAGAGGAAAATGAGTTCCTACTTTATGCTCTCAGGAGCTCTATTCATCGCTATGATCTTTCCAAGGGCACAGATGAGGTACTGCCACTTCAGGGTCTACGAGGCACTGTATCTTTGGATTTTGATTATGAAAACAACTGCATTTATTGGGCAGATATTTCACAGGATATTATCCAGGTGAGCGCATACTGCTCTTAGTCTTAAGGTGAGAGGATAGCAGTATATAAAGTTTAAGGACTTTTTTGAAGTGTGATTTTCTCTATTACGGCCAGCATTTATTTTCTATCCTTAATTCTCCTTGAAGACAGTGGTGAGAAAACCTCTTGAACTGCTGCAGACCACATGGCATTAGTTCTTGGATTTTGACCCAGTGACCACAGATGAATGGTGCTGTGCCCAAGTTGGGATAATCCATGATTTGGAGGGGAGTTTACAGGATCTGGTGTTCCCATGCATCTGTTCCACTTCTCCATAATGATTTGAGAGTTTGGAAAGTATGGTTGAAGAGCTTTGGGAGTTACTGCAATGTATTTTGTGGATGGTACATGCTGATTTGCTTCAATGCAGCAAGTAAATTATATTTTGGTGAAATCTTTTCTAGTAGATTCCCTCTTTTGTAAGCTAGTTGATTTTTCTCACGGATTGTGAGTGCTGTTGGCAAAGGTAGCTTGTATTGCTCGTCCACATTGCCCTTGAAGGTGAGTCACCGCCTTTAATTGCTGCAGTCCATGTGGTATACTACTATCCAGAGGTGTTTGACACAATGGGGTAGTTTGCAGAGGGCAGTTGGAGTTCACCATATTGCTGTGGAACTGTAGACCTGTGGTCAGACGCAGTAAGGAAAGCAGATTTCTTTCCCTGAAAAACATTACATGGATATGAGGAATATTGGATCAGCCTGGATTTATTAAATGGTGAGTGGGCTGAAGGGACTGAATGGTCTACTTCTGTTCCTATTTCTTGTGGTTTTATTAGTGAACTAATTGGGTTTTTAATGTTGACAGGCTGGTATCTGCTTTGTTAATTTAGAGACTAACTTTTTATTTCAAATTTATTGAAATTATTTTAATTTAAAATTTTCCAGTTACTTGGTAGGATTTGAACTCATTTCTCCAGTATATTAGTATGGGTCTCTGGATTACTAATTCAGTAATTTCACCACTGTGCTATTGCACACCTTAATTTCTCTTTTATCCTGTTAATGATCACTTGTTAGATATCTTGCATAGATATTGAGGGAGTTTGAGGTAAAATATGGACAGTTGTTTATTTGGATTGTGAATGTTGCATACTTTGATTCATTTTGAATATTTTAATAAATATCTTGCATGTTCATGTTAGATAATTTCCAATATAATAAAAATGATCCTATTGCGGGTTTAAATAAATTAGACAAGGAAAATCTCCTCCCATTAGCTTTTGGTACAAGATTAGGGGATACAGATTTGAGATTTTGGACAAGGGAAGCGTGAAGAAAAATTTTTCACACCGTGAGTGATAATTACTTGGAAGTTGCTGCCCACCAAGGTGGTGGAAGTGAAAGCAGTCAGCAGCTTCCAGCGGAAGTTGGACGTGCATTTACAAGAAATGATCCCTGTAGTTTAAGTTTGAGTGGGGCAGTGGGACTGACTGGATTGTTCCTTTTGGGGGCTAGCATGAGCTTGTTAAGCTGAATGGCTTCTTCCTGTGGCCTAAAAGATTCCTTTGACTGGCATTTAGTGATCTGTGCATGAAGTGTGTGAAGGGCGGATAACTCCCCAACTCTACCTGCTTGAAAGCTTAACAGATCAAGCACCAATTAAAGACATAAACTGCTGTGCAGTAAACCTCTCATTTGTTCAGGAGTCACACCCCACATGAGGCTGCTGACCAGTCAACCCCTCTAGCCTGCTGGGTGGTCAAGTCATCCAGCCTGGGATGAGTTGAATCCTTTAGGCTGGCTGTCAGTTGCTCATTTACAGACCTTATTTGGTGGTGAGTTGAGAAGGTTTGCTCACGGACCTGCTTTTCCAGTACTTGATTGCTGAGGAAAAAGGAGGGGTCAAGTAACTCTGAGGCCAGTTTGTGCAATTATTTGCCCGTCTCATGACCTGTAGCAAAGACAAAATAATGCTCAAAACCCTGACTCTTAACATGCTATCTGGATCATGTTAACCCCAGATTTTCAGTAACCAGTTTTAATTCTTTTAATATTGTCGAAAACTTTGCATCAATAATTGTCTCATTTGGAGGCAAGACCTGTAACTCCCTTATGAGCGAAATTAGTTTGGCTATGTAAACTTCCATTTTACAAAACTGCATATGCTGAAGGTCGTAAAGGTTGCTGCTACAAAATTTTATTGAACTACTCTACATGCCTAATAACATGATATAAAAGGTCCCTTGATGTATGAGACTTCACAAGATCTGTAGTATTGCACTCTTGTGTTAACATGTGAGTAACTAGTCAAGAGTTGCACTGATGAAAGACAGTTGTAGTGATCTGAGAATGGAGGAAGATCCTGTAACATAGAGGTAGAGAGGCACACCCAGAGGAATGGGGAAAGCAAGGAAGGGAGGGGAAAAAAAGCACAAGTGGATGAACAGAATTTACATACAGAATTTTGTTGGCACGTTAACTGCATTGGTAGCTAATGTTTTGTCACCTTAATCAGGCGTATGGAATCTGACTAGATCTGGGCCGAGTTAGCTGCAGTCCAGCCACGAGTTGTGTTTTCAGAGATTGATACCAGCCATATTTGGAATGCCATATCCCTATTCAGGTTATAGACCATGCACAGATTAATGTCAAGCTTAAATTGGCTTTGAACCACAGATGTTGTGGCTGTTGCCTTGAATCTTGAAACCCCATTGTCACCAGGAAATGAAATTGAATATTTTAGAGGTTGTGTTTAGATGTATGGCACCACAGGTTTTTTGTAAAATCTTTTATTAGATGGATAGCCTGAATTGCAACTTATCATTTCACTTGCAGGGAATAAGCTTGTCTTTACAGTTTTGCTCTCTGGATCTGATGAAAATAATAAGTCCACATTTTCTTTTACTTGTGGGTACCAAAGCATAAGCTTCATCTCAGCATTAATAATGTGGTTTCATATAGGAGTTTACATTTTCAAGACTTGTTGCTGATGTGCAAAAGGGATTGAAAGCCATTTTATGGTAATCCAATAATGCACAGAAACATTCATGTATTTCTTTGTTATATTGTAGTTCTCAACATGTTGAGGTACCTAATCACATTCTTCTTCTCTACTCAGCGCTTGTGCTTAAATGGAAACACTACCCAGGATATAATAATCAAAGATGGTCTACAAACTGTGGAAGCATTGGCCTTTGATCCCATCAGCCAGCTTCTTTACTGGATAGATGCCGGAGCCAAGAAACTCGAGGCAAGTAATATACCGTTTTATTTCAATGTTTATTGCCCATGTCCTATTCAAGCATGGGTTAGAAGCTGAGATAGTAGGAACTGCAGATGCTGGAGAATCCGAGACAACAAGGTGCAGGGCTGGATGAACACAGCAGGCCAAGCAGCATCATAGGAGCAGAGAGGCTGACGTTTCAGGCCTAGACCCTTCATCAGAAAAGGGGGAGGGGAAGGGGATTCTGAAATAAATAGGGAGAGAGTGGGAGGCGGATAGAAGAGGGATAGAGGAGAGGATAGGTGGAGAGGAAACAAACAGGTCGAAGAGGCAGGGATGGAGCCAGTAAAGGTGAGTGTAGGTAGGGAGTTAGGAAGGGGATAGGTCAGTCCAGGGAGGACAGACAGGTCAAGGGGGCGGGATGAGGTTGGTCGGTAGGAGATGGAGGTGCGGCTTGAGGTGGGAGGAGGGGATAGGTGGGAGGAAGAACAGGTTAGGGAGGCAGGGACGAGCTGGACTGGTTTTGGGATGCGGTGGGGGGAGGGGAGATTTTGAAACTTGTGAAATCCACATTGATACCATTGGGCTGCTCCCAGGATGAGGCATTCCACTCCCGTACATCTCAGTTGTCCTCGTTTTTCAAGGACTGTAACTTCCCCACCTCGGTGGTCGAGAACGCCCTCAACCGTGTCTCCCACATCTCCCGCACCTCATCCCTCACACCCCGTCCACGCAATAAGAACCAAAAAAGAATCCCCCTCGTCCTCACGTACCACCCCACCAACCTCCGGATCCAACGCATCATCCTCCGACACTTCCGCCATCTGCAATCCGACCCCACCACCAAAGACATCTTTCCCTCCCCACCCTTATCTGCTTTCCGGAGGGACAACTCTCTCCGTGACTCCCTTGTCCGCTCCGCACTCCCCTCCAGCTCCACCACACCCGGCACTTTTCCCTGCAACCGCAGGAAGTGCTACACCTGCCCCCATACCTCCTCCCTCACCCCCATCCCAGGCCCCAAGAAGACTTTCCACATCAAGCAGATGTTCACCTGCACATCTGCCAATGTGGTATACTGCATCCACTGTACCCGGTGTGGCTTCCTCTACATCGGGGAAACCAAGCGGAGGCTCGGGGACCGCTTTGCAGAACACCTACGCTCGGTTCGCAATAAACAACTGCACCTCCCAGTCGCGAACCATTTCAACTCCCCCTCCCATTCCTCAGACGACATGTCCATCCTGGGCCTCCTGCAGTGCCACAACGATGCCACCTGAAGGTTGCAGGATCAGCAACTCATATTCCGCTTGGGAACTCTGCAGCCCAATGGTATCAATGTGGATTTCACAAGTTTCAAAATCTCCCCTCCCCCTACCGCATCCCAAAACCAGTCCAGCTCGTCCCTGCCTCCCTAACCTGTTCTTCCTCCCACCTATCCCCTCCTCCCACCTCAAGCCGCACCTCCATCTCCTACCGACCAACCTCATCCCGCCCCCTTGACCTGTCCGTCCTCCCTGGACTGACCTATCCCCTTCCTAACTCCCTACCTACACTCACCTTTACTGGCTCCATCCCTGCCTCTTCGACCTGTTTGTTTCCTCTCCTCTATCCATCTTCTATCCGCCTCCCACTCTCTCCCTATTTATTTCAGAACCCCGTTCCCCTCCCCCTTTTCTGATGAAGGATCTAGGCCTGAAACGTCAGCCTCTCTGCTCCTATGATGCTGCTTGGCCTGCTGTGTTCATCCAGCCCTGCACCTTGTTGTCTTGGTTAGAAGCTGAACTGGATTCATCCCCAGAAGGCAAAGTGATTGAATGGAATCTGTTCTTGCCCTGTGACTTCACATCTCAATAACTGGACCAAAAGTGTCAATGACAACAGCCTGGCATTGGATTAATCCACTGAGCTATAGCAAGTGATATGACTGGGTGTAATGGGAATGAAATGGCGAGGTAAAATCACTTCACAATATAATTTATAGTATTCCAGCAACTGGTATAATGTATGCTAGATTAATTGGCACTTCCTTAATGGATTAAGGTCCAATTGAAATAAGATCAATATAGCGACTGCTTTCTCGTACAAAATGTTGTTGTATGTATACTAGTAATTCTGTAAAATTGTTTGTAATTAAACAGACTGACTGCAATTTATTTGAAAACTGAATCTTAGCCTTTTTTAATTTGTTGCCTGATGAAAGGGTTCTGTAAAGCACGCATTAAATCTGTCCGAGAAACAAGTGGGGAGGTGGCTGCATAGTGGTAGTGTCACTGGGCTATTAATCTGTAAACCCAGAACAGTGTTCTGAGGACATAGGTTCGAGTCCCACCATGGCAGATGGTGAAATTTTGAATTGAATAAGAATCTGTAATTCAAAAATATTGCCCCTAATGGTGACCATGATTTGGCTGCTGATTTGTTGTAAAAACCTATCTGGTTCATTTAAGTCATTTAGGGATTGAAATCCGCTGTCTTTACTGGCCTATACACCATTTTAGACCCACAGCAATGAGGTTGACTCTTATCTGCTGCCTGGGCAATTAGGGATAGACAATAAAGGCTGACCATTGAATATTGCTGGTACATGAAGAAAAATTAGAATGAGGTAGCACATGATTCAGAAACTGAAATGACATATAACTGACTTCTTAAAAAGAAAAGGGCTTTTGTTCCTCTATTATTACGCTGTTCTGAAGTTTGTGATTCAAGGTGAACTAAAGTTTCTTCAGCCTAGCTAGTCAAACAGCACATTCCGTCCAGGTGGGCCTAACTTATTAGCAAAATACAAATCTGGTCCCATCCTCAGCTCCTCCAATTCAACAAAGAACTTTGGATAGTAATCAGCAGTGCAGACTCTGACTAACATGTTGTTTCACTGTCTTTAGTCCCCACCACTCTGCTGTTGGAAATGGACAACTTGGCATACACAAGGTTTCTCTGATTAGATAGCAGATTCTACTGTGCTGTTTTGTGGCCTTGAGTATGGCTTCTCTTTGGAAAAGTGATCATCTTCCTTTTATTAAACTGGAAAAAAAGCAAAACAATGTCATAGCTAAAAGTACAATTCCTCAACCTTTCACTAAGTGATCAGATTGCATTGGGATTGATTTTTTTCAGACTGCTAACAATACCGAGTGCAATATATTTGGTGTTTTTTTTTAAACCGTAGTCCTAAGTGGATATACTTCTGCAGCACACAATTTGAATTGTAATGCCAATATAACTTGATTTTTTTCCAGTTTTCCATAAAGTGGCTAGTTTGCAACATTAGAATCTTATGTATGGAACATCCTACTGCAAAGAAAAGTTGTTTCTTGTGTTGGGTGGAGGGACTTTTAAGTTGCTGTTAGCATGTTTCAGATGAAACAAAAATATTGACGAATGTTCCTCAATGTTCACTTGAACATAAAAGTCTGCAAAAAAACTAAGTCAGTGTATTCTGCTTTGATTTATCAATGTCAAACTTTGAACCTTGACTCTGGATGAACTAGTTATTGCCTAATTTCAGGCTTGAAGTTGAATGTCGTTGTTGTAGCTGACTTGTGTTATCCAGTGAGTTTATTTAAAAGAAATTCCAGTAAATCAGTTCAGTGCAATGCTTACCATATCAATCTGTTATAATAGCACTTACTGAGATGCTCTTAAAAATCTTCTTTGGCAGGGAATGATGTTTAGGTCCAAATAAAGATTATAAATTTTGTTTCTTTTTAAAATTTATTTTCTTAGGTTTCAAACCCTGATGGAGACCTTCGTCTTACTCTGCTGAATTCCACTGTATTAGACCATCCGCGGGCACTTGTGCTAGTTTCTAATGAAGGGTAAGCTTCTGGAAATGAGTTTAACCTTGTGTGTAATATTGCAGTTTGTCAGAAGAATTCAAGAGGACCGTTTTGAAATGCAATTTCTAATAAGAAACAGTGACTAGTAATAGTCATATACAGCTTCCAATCCATGATAGTATTGAGGAATATACAAACGTATGAATTAAGAGCTTTTCAGCCTCTTGAGCCTCCTCCGTCATTCAATAAAATTTACGGCCAATCCATTTGTCTTTTGAATTACACATTCCCACCACCTGCAACCCGCTCTCTTCTCCACTCCCCCGCCCCCTTATCTAGCCAGAATTTATCTACCTCCACCTTGAAAATTATTCAATGACCCCACGTCCATTGTCTTCTAAGGCAGAGTGTTCCCTCAAAATTTCTCCTTATCTCCATTCTAAAAGAGCAACCCCTAATGTTTAAACAGTAGGAGAGGCTGTACGAACTGTACAGAGAGGCTAGAAAAACTCGGGCTATTTTCTCTGGAGTGGCAGATTCTGAGGGGAGATGATAGAAGTCTATAAAATTGAGATGCGTAGATATGGTTGACAATCGGAATCTTTTTCCCCAGAGTTGAAATGCCTAATACTGGGGAGTATGCGTTTAAGGTTGGGGCAGGGGGAGTTCAAAGGAGATGTGAGGGGCAAGTTTTATATAGAGTGGTAGGAGTCTTGAGGCAGATACAAAAGGGGTGTTTAAGGGACTTTTAGATAAGCACATGAATATGCAAGGAATTGTTTGGCGTGGTCTGGTTGGGCCGAAAGATCTGTTTCCGTTTCATATGACTCTGAATGGAAGGATATGGACCAAGGGCAGGCAGAAATGATTAGTTTAATTTGGCGTCATGTTTGGCACAAAATCCTGGGCTGAAGGGGCTGTTCCTGTGCTGTACTGTTCTATGCTATAAAGCTCGACAGCAGCTAAAATAGATTAATAGTTTGAGAATTAAGCCTGAAGTTCAGCTTCCTCCTATTGGCTGTTATTGGGAAATGAATTTATAAATGTTGGCTATGGATTGACTGCTTTCAAATGCAGGGTTACAGGGCAAACGGTAGAGGGATGGGTCCAGGTGGGATGCTGTTCAGAGGGTCGGTGTGGACTTGTTGGGCTAAATGGCCTCTTTCCACATTGTAGGGATTCTATGATCCTGTGATTTTTTTTTTTAGCATCTGTAAATGTGGCTGATTTGAATCTGAGTGTCCCTAACACTAGAGGGAGCTGAGAAGCACTGACTTTTGAAACCAGATGTACCTCCGCCATCCAGTGGTACAAGACTGCGTTGCAGGAGCTTCAGTATATGCAGATCTCCTTACGCGAGAAAGTGCTGTTCCACTTGCCAAGACTTTTTCATGTAGAATTTCTACCTCATTGATCCATTTTTTTTCCCAGTAGGATCTACAGAAATTTCTAAATTCGCACTGATACATGAATTCTGCATTAAAATAAGTAGTCACTTTTCTGTCTTTGCATTTGTGCTAATCACTCTGTAATAATTACAGAGAACATAGAACATAGAACATAGAACATTACAGCGCAGTACAGGCCCTTCGGCCCTCGATGTTGCGCCGACCTGTGAAACCAATCTGAAGCCCATCTAACCTAAACTATTCCATTATCATCCATATGTTTATCCAATGACCATTTAAATGCCCTTAAAGTGGGCGAGTCTACTATTTTTGCAGGCAGGGCATTCCACGCCCTTACTACTCTCTGAGTAAAGAACCTACCTCTGACATCTGTCTTATATCTATCACCCCTCAAGGCTAGTAAGTTGGTCATATGCACGTACACAGATGGTCACAGTGATGGCAGTTACTGGCAACAAACGCCCATGGGCGAAATTAGATCCACGCATGCACAACCCGCATCACAACATTTCCCTATGTAATAATATCACACTGAATGCATGTGCACCAATGGTTCTACTGAGGCCAATGTTTTGGGAGCGGTGGCTGTGTAGCCTCCTGGCACTCAGCAGCCACAGTTTCACTGAACACCAAGAGGGCTAACTAAATAGATTAACCTTCAGGCTGGAGGGCAGGTTCATCAGTTGCTTGACACTGTCAGGTGGAGTTTCTGTGCCTGTATCTTCCTTGCGTCATCTGTACGTGGCATTCCTATGAAGCTCAGCCTAATTATTATTGAATGAACTTGTATCAATATGGAATAAAGCTCATTTCCTGCGCGCTGCCCTCTGTTTTGCCTTTTCACTTCTTTTATTTGGCTTTAGACTTGGCAAAAAACGGAGTTTTTTTTCCTGGAGCAATTTGTATTTAAACTGCATCTTTGATGCAGTCAGATAACCCAAAGCATTTCATTGGAGTGATTTACCAAACAAAATTTGTTACCACACCACATAAAGTGATATTAGGACTGAGCAAGCCTATAACACAATGAAACTGGATATTGTTTCAGTAAGACCTGTTATCCAGTTGGAATCTCCTCATATGAATAGTTTCTTCCTCCCTTTAAGCTGTGTAACTTTTTTTTTCTGAGCTCAGGAAACAGGCAGGGGCCTTCTTCCAGGTCTCAACCCACTGTCCTCTTCCATGCTAAGCAATGCAGGAGAGCATTTTTACATTTGATTAGAATATTTTTGATTAGGGCTTTAGATGCTGAAATAAAAAGCCAACCTACGCTGCACCCCTTTGTCATTTTAACCTTTCTTTCTACTACTGCTATAAATTACGACCAGTGCAGATGAGGAAAACATATTTGATGAAATGGTAGTGTGATCTGGCTCACCATCTTGTAAATAAATGGAGATTCTTGTTGCAGTGAGGAGAAGCTAAAAACATGTGCACCTGACTTGTCTTCTGGTGCCCATGGGTTCTGTGCGTCATATGAGAGACTGGCAGTGATCCCAGGAATACTGCATGTCTGCTGCTTTAGACTTTAGACAGACTCTAACCCCAGATTTATATCGCTGTCTGCAAGGAATCATGTCTCCCCTTGGTGCTATTTGATGACTTGATTTAGAGAATGTTATATGGTGGAAGTGGTGCTGATGTGTCCACTTGGTCTATAGGGTGCCGTCTTTTTTTTTTTTTTGGAAGTGTGTAGATTTATAGTTACTACAGTAAGTAGTCTAGGTTAAAAGTGCTCATTTTTGGATATTCACTGAAATTTGAATGTCATAGAAAACTAGAAGTACATATTGCTACCAAACTGTTGAGAGAAGACAATGGAAGAAAAATCATTTCATGTTTTTCCTTTTGTTAAAGCTGCATTGCAAGTAGCTTCCCTTTTCATTGTTTCTAAAGGACATTTGTTCTTAGCTGCAGAAAATGTTAATGCAGCTGGGTTTTTTTTGTAACACAGTGTAAGGCAATTAATTGTATCTGTTATGATATTTCTTCCATAGCCTGATGTTTTGGACAGATTGGGGTGATGATGCACCAGGCATTTACAGAAGTGGGATGGATGCATCTAATGTCACTCGAATCATCACTACCAGCATTAAATGGCCTAATGGAATTACAGTGGATGGTTCTTGGATCTACTGGACTGAAGCCTATGTTGACCGAATTGAACGAGCCGATTTCAATGGTCATCAGAGATCTGTAGTGATACAGAACCTTCCCCATCCGTATGCCATTAGTGTTTTCAAGGTATGTGACTTGGAGTGCTGGACCTATCATTATCACTTGCAAAAGACGGATTGAGGAAGTTTACGTATTTTTTTTGTAAATTTCGGGCCAAATGGAAGTATGAAAGTATTGTGAGCCTGACTAATGTTGATCGTCAGTGTATTTATTAGCATACTCTTGATCATTCGGAACGTGCTGTCTGATCACTGAATCATGTCTTTTGAGAAACGTTGCTTTTGCTGGAAACTATCTGTGTTCATATGCAGGGACCTATCCTCTGCAGGAAAAAGACAGCTATCCAGGCATTGTTCATTTTTAAATAAAAAAAATTAAACAGAAGCTTGGGACAGTAGCTCCCTGATACATTCATCATGACAACAAACAATCAGTGCCCTTTCCTCATGCAACGTTACTCCCTTTTGAAATTTGACTTTCTTATGTCTATCCTATTGAATGCAAGACGAAAAACGTTGATAGTTTTATTTCAAGCAAGTTCTGTACTGCCAAGTAGAATTCGTTCTCCATTCTGTCTAACAGTCTTTTTAACTTCTGTAAGTTGTCACAGACAAGTAAATCTATTATGGTGGAGACAGCTTTACATAAATGAAACATTTAAGCATATGCTGTCTAACTGCCATTAATTGTTCAAGCCCGTTACATTCGTAATTACAGGACATCAATGAAGGCTTTTAAATTTTTAAAATGAAATTCGGTGGGTAGGTGCAGGTAGATATTGTTAATGTTATATCTGCCTAATTAGTTCCCGGTTTGCCCCAATTTTTATTCTTAAGATGCTGTTCTGATTTAGCTTCATAAGTATCAGAATTTTCAAGGCAGCCTTTTGAAATTCCCAAGTGCAACGCTTTTAAGTAGATAACTCAAACTGCTATTTAGGTACATTGCACATGGAATCTTGCATTTTAGGAGCTGGCATCTTGTTTCTTTCACTCATTGGATATGGATGTCACTGGCAAGACCAGTATTTATTACCCTTGAGAAGGCAGTGATGAAGCATCACATTGAACTGCTGCTTTCCCTGTTGTGCATAGAACATAGAACAGTACAGCACAGTACAGGCCCTTCGGCCCATGATGTTGTGCTGACATATTATCCTACTAAGATCAATCTCCCCTGCATACCCTACGTCTTACTATCCTCCATGTGCCTGTCCAAGAGTTGCTTAAAAGTCTCTAAAGTATCTGACTCCACTACCACTGCTGGCAGCACATTCCACACACCCACCACTTGCGTTGTTGTTGTTACTACTTTAATGTACTTTTAGGAGGAGTTTCAGGATTTTGACCCACTGACTGAAGGAGCAGTGAGATGTTAGGACTGGGTTCCAATCTGGAGCACAAATTGAAGAAGAGCACAGAGTTCTCCCAGCATGCCAACCAACGTTCCTTGTTCAACCAATACCTACAAATAGATATTCCATTTTAAGGGTTATGGAACCCTGTTTTACGCATTTGGATCTCGTATTGCACAATGTATCAGTAATTCAGAAGTGATTCACAAAATCAAAGTGTACCTTGTGTTCTGAGACTGAGACCATGCTCAAAATAAATACAAGTTCATTCTTCTTGTTAAGCAGTATGAATGCCATGCTTCTACTAACTTGAGACTAAGAAAATAATTCTGCTGGTTTCAGAATCAGATCTACTGGGATGATTGGTCTGAAATGAGCATCTTCAGAGCAAATAAGTATGATGGCTCGGATGTGGAGCCCCTGGTTACTGGCTTAACTGGAGTCATGGATATGAAGGTTTTCTACAAAGACAGGACAACAGGTAGCTGCTCTTGTGTATTTTGCTGTGTTTCTGGTCTAGACAATTAGATTGTTACGTACATTTTTGCTCTCCAGTAGAATTTAAATATAGGCCAAGAATCTTTTGTCAGCACAAAAATTAGCGGGCTGGAAGAACTAGTAAGCTGCGCAAATTATCAGTAGACCACTTAATGTACTTTAAAATGGCATGGTTTTTATTTTGAGATGAATAGTGGGTTATGGAAAGAAATTACACACTTTTTGCAGGCTTCTAATAAGTGACTGTCCATGGCATTGGTGTTTATCTCTGGCAAATAAAACACTCTCTGCTGTAACATTACCTATGTCACTAAGTAGAGATGAGTGGTGAGATGAAACGCAAGACCAGAGGTGTAGAAATGCAGAATTTAGGGACAGTTTTTAGGGCTGACTTCCTGAAGAGGGTCAGTGGCTCTGTAACATTCAATTTAACACACAGATGACTGTTCTAGACATGGTCACCATGACACTTTGGAAGTATCTTTTTTTTAACTAATTGTTATTAATTGTTGTCTTTGTTTTTATTTCTGCTGCACCTAAGTTGTGTGGCATACCTGAATGTTACTACAGAGAAGGAATTTATATTGAAATAAACAAATTATATGTGCACAAGGAGAGAGAGGATTGGTGAATATTAAATTGACACCCTTCATCAATTGCTCATGCAACTGCTATGAAGTTTTTACTAACCACATATATTTATTTTAAAGGGGAGAATGCATGTACAGAGAAGACTTGCAGCTTGATCTGTCTTCCCAAACCCTTTGGTAAGAGATGTGTGTGCCCTGAGGGAGTGAAGAGCACAATTTTACCATCTGGAGATGTTCATTGTGAGTGCCCCCATGGTTACTCATTAAGAAATAACATCTGTGTGAGACAAGGTGAGAACTTATTGTGTGGTTAGTAATCTGAAAATGTTTCTTGATGGCTACACCAAATGGGCTGCATATTTTCACTTCCAAAGAGGAGTTGTATTGGACTCAATGTTAAGTCCATTTCTCACTCCACAGATGCTGCCAGACCTACTGAATTTCTTCACAACTCCTTTTGTTTTTATTTCTGCCTGACCTTAGTTGGTGTTTCCAGTATTTTCTGATCTTATGGAGTCTTAGAATGAATTTCAGTGAATGGTGTGTTTGAATCATGTCACCCATCACGTGCAAACAGTGGATAAAAATTTGAACCTTTGTGTAACATTTAGGGGAAGTGGTGGTATGGGGTACTGTCATTAGACCAGCAATCCAGAGACCCAAGTTAATAGTTCTGAGGTCTAAAGTTCAAATGGTGAGATTTGAATTCAATTTAAAAAAAATCTGGAATTAAAAGCCAGCCTAATGGTGACCACATAACCACTGCCAATTGTTGTAAAAACTGGTCTGGTTCACTAATTAGTTCATTTTAGGGAAGGAAATCTGCTGTCTTTACCTGGTCTGACCTCCATGTGACTCCACACCAATACCATTGACTCTTAACTGCCTTCTGAAATGGTCTAGAGAGTCAACTAGTTTAATGATATTTAGGGATGGGAGATAAATGCTGCATTGTCAGAGACACTAACATCCTATACAAGAATTTTAAAAAATCTACTTTTTGAATTATTCTGTCACTATCACCAGAAAACAGCAAATGTGAGGATGCAGTTAATACTTTAATTAGTGATCTCAGATCAGTAGTTATACTACCTGTTTGCAGCAGGCAATACCTTGTTCATATAGTTACGCTCTAATTTGCACTGTTATCTCGGAGCGAGAGGCATGTGGACAGATTTCAACTCACTGAGGTCACAGTTGAGACGGTCTTTTTTTAGTGTTTGGGAGGTCATCCAAAACCTGATTAAAGATGGCAGCAGAGCTGGTCCTTAAGTTGTGTCAGTATACGGCAGCATGGTGGCTCAGTGGTTAGCACCGCTGCCTCACAGCGCCAGGGACCCGGGTTCGATTCCAGCCTTGGGTGACTGTGGAATTTGCTCTTTCTCTCCATGTCTGCGTGGGTTTCCTCCGGGTGCTCTGGTTTCCTCCCACATTCCAAAGATGTGCAGGCTAGGTGGATTGGCCATGCTAAATTGCCTGTAGTGTTCAGGGATGTGTAGCTTAGGTGGGTTATAGGGGATGGGTCTGGGTGGGATGCTCCAAGGGTTGGTGTGGGCTTGTTGGACTGAAGGCCTGTTTCCAAACTGTAGGGATTCTATGATTCTATGAATACAACGTGCCATGAAGTGGCCTTGCTAAAGAATCTATTTTCCTTTATCCTGTCAGTTTTGCTTCTGTGCTAATTGGAAGCCACATAACAATGCAGATGTGACCGCATAAGTGCAACCTTAAAATACAGAATCCTATTACACTGAAGCCTCTCTAGTCTGGACTGTGTGAGACTAAGTCATTCCTGAACTTTGGAATTTTCTTAATTGTACAATGATCTTCAAATGCCTAACCACGAGTGTATGAACTAGAAAATTATAAATAAATGTTTACTTACCTGAAATGTACAATACTACTTTATTATATTTTCACAAGTAAAATTTGTTTTACTTGTCCAAACATGTAACTTCACATTTCTGCTCCCATAGTGCTATACTAAAATAATGCTAGTGTCAGTTAAGATCTACTCAAACAATTTCTGAGCAAGAGTTTCATATCCGAGAGGTTATAATGTATTTAACTCCAAGCTCACTTATTAGATTTAAAGTAGAATCTACAACTACCTTTACAGCACAATTGCAATGTTAGTTCATGGTAAAGCTACTTGCTGCCATTACTAAAGTTGTGAAAAGTGAAAGAACTGTGGATTGTATAAATCAGAAACAATAACAGAAATTGCTGGAAAAGCTCGAGTCTGTGGAGTGAAATCAGAGCTAATGTTTCGGGTTGAGTGATCCTTCTCAGGCACTCGATCTGAAATGTTGACTCTGATTTCTCTCCACAGATGCTGCCAGACCTGCTGAGCTTTTCTAGCAATTTCTGTTTTCATTACTGCAGTTGTACTGTAGATAGTGAGATAACTAAAGTTTGCTGGGAGGAAGGAAACTGTTTTGTGCGAAAATGATTCATCAGCTTGAAGATGTACAGATGTGAAGTGGCGCATCAAGCTGGACTGATCAAACTGTCCTTTCTTACTCACTGGCTGTCTCTCCTATCCCTTGAATGCACTCGCCTCATTCATTCAATGCTGCAATTTCCATTCCTCCTACTCCTCACTTCACCACGATAATTGCATACCAAGAGTACTTTGCAGAGAGAATTGTTTATTATTCACTTCTTTCACCAGGCCTGCTAGCAGCTTGAAATTACTTGATATCCATATTCCCTCTGCCTTCCACAGAACACTAAAACTTTTGCTTCAACCTACAACTATTCACCTGTTTCTTAACGTGTTTATTTTATTACAGAACATACTTGTCTGCCTAACCAGTACAGGTGCTCCAATGGCAAATGTATCAGCAGCATTTGGAAATGTGATAATGATAATGACTGTGGTGACTATAGTGACGAAAGAAATTGTCGTAAGTACTGTTTGAATTTCATGACTCTGCCAAGTGTTGTCCAGCTATCTACGTAGGATAATGCTACAATAACAAATTTCACAAGACTTCACTTTAATGTTTATTAGATGTGGGATTTAGTGAAATATCTCATCTGTTTAATTATTTTTTAAGATTATCTTTTCTCTCATTTAGGGTTAACCTTTATCTTGAACATGACTTCTGGTGTTAAGCAAGAATTTTTTAATACTTGCGTTTGGCTATCTTACTGGATTTTGTCTACTTACTGATACAGGATGTGCTATTATAGTGTTTATGACCTAAAAGAATACATTTTTAGTAAGCACGAGTATTTCCCCCTTTTTTTTTTTTAAAACTTCATAGCAACGGCTGCTTGTGATCCTGACTCTCAGTTTAAATGTCGGTCATCTGGGATGTGCATTCCACTTTCATACAGATGTGATCGTGAAGATGACTGTGGGGATGATAGCGATGAGGAACAGTGCTGTAAGTGACTCAAAGAGCCTTAACCTACTTTTACCTAATTGGCTATAGCATTGCATACATCCAGTTACTTCATTATGGTACTTTTTAATGACGTTCCATGTAAACCCTGAATCTATTGTTCGAGAGACTGGTAAATGACTTGCCATTTCATCTCCAGGAAAGGCAGACCCAGACTTCTGCCAAACTAACTAGAGGGAATTTGCACTAATTGAGTGAATTTATTTCCCTTGTCGTTGCACTCCAATTCCACTTTGGCCTCCAGTGGGGTCTGCTTAGATACCTGTGACTGGTCAAGCCTTTCCATTACCAATTCAATCTGTGTATCTAAAACTAGATGGCTGTCGTGTTCATACAGTTGAGGTGATATTATCCCTATTCAAGTCAGTGAGATTTGAATAACTAATAAAAGGTTTTACGGAGAAGTTCGAGTGCTCGACCATGTTCTTTTCTTGACCCTCATGCCTAGCCATTAAATATCTGGGTTGGTGTGTTTCTGGATCTGAAAGGCAACTAATTCTTTGCAGCATTTGATAGAGAGGCCTACAATTATTTGACCTACATTCTAAATTTTTAGGACATTTAACACTGGCTAACTCATGAAAACACCTTTTTTTTTTCTGCAAGTTCTTTTTGGTAATATCCTTGGCTGACCAGTTGTTTTTTCTATTTAGGAAATGTTCATCCAATTCCTCCAATTCCTCCTTTTATGTGAAATAAGTTTTTAGTTTCTGGTTAGATCGAAATGAGCCCATCTATTGTATGCTGCAAATAATTTGTTACTTTGAACGGAATTAATTCTTTAGAAACGTGACTCTCAAGACTTACAATGATTGATTTTGATTTTGGCATAGAAGATCTCCGAAGCAGTTAATTATTGGCAATGAATAGACTGTCTACAGATAAACTGTGTTTTCAGTATATGCATAAATTACTGTCCGCTAAATATGCTAAGAAAATTGCATTTGATAGTAAATTCGTTTGATGTAAAATATCCTTGGTATAAAGGAATTGAGTTACCTACGACACTAAAATGTTTTTGGTCTAGTCATGTTGTGACATCTGAATTTTTTTTCAAAGATCAGATTAGATTATGCAAACGTAATAAATGTGTTGTTTATATATAAATCTTATCTAATTGGCATTGTAATTCTTCTCACTTGAAATCCTTACAGCTGTGAACAACTGTAAGAGTGGTGAGTTTGTTTGTGCCACTGGCATGTGTATACGCTTGTCTTGGAGATGTGATGGGGACAATGACTGCCGAGATTGGTCAGATGAACTGAACTGTACCTGTAAGTAATCATTCATTTGTTGTTGCGAACTTCACTGAGATTTAATTTGTTCTTGGTTGTTTCTTAGATTTTTTTTGTGCTTTTGAAAAATGTGATGTCTCACTTCTGGTAAATATTTAGCTGAATGAATAATGTTAAAAATGAGCAAAGTACCAGAGACCATTGTCAGTGCTATACGTTGGCAACACTTGTAGCATCCAAAATGAACCAGGAAAGTCCAGTTTCACTACCATGTTATAGTGCTTTAATTTAAAAGAAATTGACTGAAATTGATGGTTTTAACTTTTGAGCAAGGAGCAGCATTTTGATTTAGTTTTTGTTAGCAGAAGTGCTGTAGAATTCTAGAGCGGATTGAATTAGCTGAACTATGGCAAAGTAGTAATTTTATTTTTATTGTTTGACTAGAGTAAACAGAGTTCAGGGATATAGTCTGATAAATTAGTGTTTTGTGGTGTTTTCAAAGCAGCTTAATTGATTAGGTGGTGTTGCAGGAATGACTATTGTGATCAAGAAGAGGTTAAATTGGGAATTCTAGTATTTAAAGCCTTTTTTATTTTCCAAATTTACAACATTATCAAAGTAAAGAATTTTTTGATTTTGGTTTTTGAATCACTTTTATAAATTAAAAATCTGAAGAAGACAGGTGGGCCATTAAGCTAACAGTTCTTTAGAAATTCTACTTCCGAATTCTGAAGAATGATGTTTGACTAAGATACATGTTTTAACTGGCATGCTGCACAGCAGAAATGGATTTTATCTCTGGAGGTTACGATAAATTGTACGCAGTTAAATTGCTGCCTGTCAGAAGAAGCAATAATGCTTCACAATTCTTTTTTCAGCAAGTAAACACACCTGTGACTCCAGCAACTTTTCATGCCGCAATGGACACTGTATCCCACGTAGGTGGATTTGTGATGGGGATGATGATTGCCGTGATGGATCTGATGAAGATTTAACTCTCTGTGGTAAAAGTTTTAGATATATTTTGCTCATTCTCTTTATATTTTTCTTTCCCTTTTATTTTACCTGATGCTGCGTTTCAAAATGATGTGATTTTCTTTGACATGACAGTTGAAGGCAGGCTTTAGCCTCGGTTCCATTATATAACTTAAGCAGCCAGAGACAGATTTGATGTGCCTCCGTGTGGGGAGACGTTGTATTGATATCACTACCTCTGCATATTTTATCTATTGTATCTTGAAGGATGGGGAAAAAGAAGAACTGCTAAATGTTTGAGCTATCAAAAGAGCAAACCATCAACTAGCTTACTGTTTTGTGTAAAAGAAAATTAACTGTCCAATGTTTCTTTATCAATAATTTTGCACTAATATAGCATCTTTAAAATAATAAAATATCTCAAGGCTATTTTAAAAGTCTTGTTTATTGAAACAAAGTATGGTAACATGCCACATTAATATGTGGCAACTGACAGAAGATTGATCAAAGAGAGAAATTTTGAGAAATATCTCCGAGGAGAGTGAGGTGGAGGGAGGGAATTAGAGTTTGGGAGTTACAGAAATGAAGGCATAGCCATCAATTATGTTCAATTGTAACTAGGACTGCACAAGAGGCTACAATTAATGCAGTGTAGAAGGTTGTAGGATGGAGGAGATTTCAGTGACCGGGAGGAAAGCAGCTGTGGATGATTTGAAAACAAGGAATAAGATTTTTACAGTCAAGACAACACTTGACTGGAAACCAGTGTTGATCAGTGAACACAGGAGTTTTTGAGGGAACAGGACTTGCTGTGACACAAGACACTGGTAGAAGAGTTTTGGATACTTTCGAGTTTACATAAGGTAGAATATGATTGACCATCCAGTAGTTCGTTTAATTTGCACAAATATATTAATAGTATTACAGATGTTTTTGGATTTGATTCAAAGTGCAGTTGTAAAAAGGCAAATTTTGTCACTGTGAGCTACAGGTGATGATGTACAGTGCACATTTTCTTGTGGAACATGCTGAGGGTGCTGCAAACAGGAATAAAAGCTGGAAATGCTTAGCCAGTCTAGCAGAATGTGGAAAGAAGAGGAGTTAACATAGTCTGCAAAACTAGTTTACATCTGAAGTGTGGAAATCTGCTATGATAACAAATATTTGAGTTTGATTTATTGTTGTTGCATATATCGAGATGATACAGTGAACAGTAGGCAGATCGTATTGTACGTAATGCATCAGGGTAGAAAATAGAGTGCTGAATAGTGTTACAGCTGCGGGTGGTGCAGAGAGAGAGAGAGAGAGAGATCAAAATTAACATTGAAGAGGTCTGTTCAAAAGTCTGATAACAGCGGGGAAGAAGCTGTTCTTGAATCTGTTCATACATATATTCAAACCTGTATATCTTCTGTCTGACGGAAGAGGCTGGAAGGGAGTATAGCCGAGGTGGGGGGATTCTTCGATTTATATTGGTTGCTTTCCTGAGGCAGTGGAAAATATGGCTGGAGTCAGTGGATGGAAAGATGGTTTATGTGATGGACTGGGCTGTGTTCACGGACTCTCTCCCAGGAAGATGACGCTCTTGACCATCTCCACCTCTGCACCATTGATGCAGACTAATATACATTAATGTTTTGGCCCTTGATCCAGCTACACTTGCTTTTTCTAGTTGAATGCAATTTTATTAGTGCTTCATTGTTATTTGGGAAGGCAGTTTTACAGTTATTTGTATTCTAACAGTACCATTCAGTCTATTCAATATCTTAAGATGAATGACATGCCTGGATTAAGACATGTAATAATTCTGAGGAAGGGTCACTGGACCCGAAACGTTAACTCTGATTTTGCTTCACAGATGCTGCCAAACCTGCTGAGCTTTTCCAGCAACTTCTGTTTTTGTTCCTGATTTACAGCATCCACAGTTCTTCTGGTTTTTGTGTAATATTTATATATTATTAATCTATATTAATTATAGGCTGTCTTTATACATTTATGTTTTCATCCTTTTCCATTCTTTGACCCAGGAGAGACGCCCTGTAATGGATTTAGCTGTGATAATGGTAGCTGTATTGCGATGATCAAGCGTTGCAATGGTGTACCAGACTGTTTAGATAGATCAGATGAGCAAAACTGCAGTGAGTATTTTCAATATTTCTCAGCTATAATTAAGTTTGCACAATTCAGTTTGAAAACTCTACAAAGCAATAAAATTTAGGGGAACAGTACTGAACATGGTATTCCTCTAAAACAAAAACCCCTACATTTAGCTCACAATTGAGTGTTTACTATTTTGGTTGCATCCAACAAACGATGCCTGAGTATTTGTGCATGAACTGGAAGGACCAGATGTCGTCTTTTTACTATTGTAATTAACAATGAATTATTTTTGACCCGAGTTCTGCAAGGTTTAATTATTGTGTATAATTTACTTCCTAATATGGATTGATGTAGAAATCTTGTTCCTGTATCCTTGAGGCTCAAAAGATTTTTTTCTTTCTTTGAATTTAACCTATTTAAAAACATTCAAGTTACTGATTAAAACTTGGGCTGTCTCAAACTGAAAGGGACTTGCAATTATTTGCAACCCCCATTTTCCTTCAGGGATTCACAGGGATGCATTGCTGAACTTCCTTGTGACTGTTATCTTTAACTTAAAGCATGTTGAGATGTATTTTTGCTGGAGTGCTGTGGAAATGCAAGTTGCTGTTTTTGGTAATTTAAAGATTAACCCTGATTGCTTATAGTGTGATTTTTAAATTCCCCGTTAATCCTTCCTAGATCCATTGTGTTCTCAGTATATGGATTTTGTCTGCAAGGATAGTCGTGGATGCCTACACAGCTTCATGGTGTGTGATGGAACCCCACAATGCGAAGATGGTTCAGATGAAGATCCAAACTACGCTCACTGTTGTATGTTTCCGTTTAGCAATACTGTACCATATTAAAACTATAGGAAAAAAATCTTTTTGAGCATGACTTGCTAGAAGCATTTCATTTGTACAAGCTGTAGTCAGAATGAGTCACTTGATCTTGTGAATTTGGGGCAAGGTGTGGAGGGATGTGAAAGGTGTGCTTTATGATACCTGATCTATGTGGCCAAATGCATGATGCATGAGCTTGGCCACTGACTTGTAACCTGCTTTATTCAGTTATAGATAGCACCACATCAGAGACTTCTATTTTAGTTCACATAAGATATATGCACCTATCCTTCATATTTGGATGAATAATGAAAACAAGTGCCATCTTTCTTACCCAAAAGCATTCCAGGAGACTAGGGACAGTTATAGTTCCCACTTGCTAACTTGGCTGAGATCAGCAAATTCAACTCGGCAGGAATCAAGTCTAAGACTTTCTAGTCTGATTATAATATTAGGCATGTTTATGGGCTTTGCCCAACAAGAAAGTATAAGCTGGACAATAACCTTTAGTCTTAAGTGTTTGTGTTCACTTGTGAAACTTTTTTAGCATCTATTGTGCAGTTTAGAAAGGAGAATAATTGTTTGCCATACGCGACACATCTGTGCATCTGAATATGTAGCAAATATCTATTTCAAGATTGTTTTCATAACCGACTATAATCTATAGCTATGTTTATTGTACATATGAAAAACGTTAAACTCAAACCATGCACATCCCAGAATAAAAAAGTTAATTGGTAAAATACTGACTGGGCAATTGGAATTTGGAAAAAATACATAGAAAAAAGCAGATTTCAAAAACATAATTTCATTTTCCCAATCCAGCTTTTCTTGGAGGGAAAAATAGTTGAATCACAACTTCAGACACGAATGCAACTCAAGGTTTCCAGCAGGGATGTAGGACGTGCAACAATCTAGTTATCTGAAAAGACAGATTTTGACAAAGGGAAAATTGTAAATCTGAACTGGGAAAGGATTTAAAAACAAAATTAGAATTCTTTTTTTTTTCATCAGCCTGGTGTTTATCCAGGTGAAAATCCATTACCAAACTTAGTCACCCAGCTAAACTTCTGAAAGATTCTGCAGATTTAGCCAGTAGAGGGTGATCACTCTTTACATTGGAGCACAGCTTCACTTCATTCCAAACCATTACTGCACAGGCTAGCAACATCTGAAGCTTGGGAACCTCTGTGTGTGTGTGTGTGTGTGTGTGTGTGTGTGTGTGTGTGTGCAGAAGATGTGACTGTAGGAGGTATGATCAGTAAATTTGAAGTTGAGACAAAAACGTACTGGTGTGGTAAACAGAGGAGGAAGGCCTTAGACAACAGGATCGTGCAGACTGGCTTAGCAATGGCAAATGGAATTTAAGCCTGGAAAAAGAAAGGTGATGTATTTTGGAGCTAATGAGGCGAGGGAGTACATTTTGAGTGGCTGGACCCTAGGAAATACAGAGGATGTACATATCCATAGATCCTTAAAGGCAGTAAGACCGGCAGATAAGGTACTTAAGGAGTACTTGCCTTTATTAGTCAAGGCACTGAATACAAGAACAAGGAGGTTATAGTGGAGCTGTAATATAATGTTAGGCTTCAGCTGGAGTACTGTTTGCAGTTTGGTCACCATACTGTAGAAGGATTTGATTACACTAGAGATGGTGCAGAAGACATTTAACAGAATGTTGCCTGGGCTGGAGAGATTCAGCTGTGATAGAGACTAAATCAGCTGGGATTGCTCTCTGTAGAGTAGAGAAGGAAGAGGTGGTATACAAAGTCCTGTGGGGCAGAGACCGGGCAGATGGGGAAAAGACTTTTCCACACGGTCAAAGGATCAGTAGCCAGAAGGCACAATTTTAAGGTAAGGAGTATGAGTTTAGAAGGGATTTGAGGACATTTTTTTTCACGCGGAGGTTTGTAAGTATCTGGAATTTGCTGCCTGAAAGAGTGGTAGAGATGGGAAGCCCCAAAAGACATTTAAGAAGTGTTTGGATGAGCACCTGAAACACCGTGGCATACAAGGTTATGGGCCTAGTGCTGGAAAATGGTCTAGAATAGAGGGATGTCTGACTGGCGCAGACATGATGCAATGAAAAGTTTCTGAATTAAGTTCACAATGAAAAATTTTGGGGATGCTAAAAATCTGAATTTTAAAAAAGATATGCTGGAAATACTCAATAGACTAGGGAGTGTTAGTTTCACAGATGACCTTAACTTGAAATAATGTTTCTTTTAAGGAAAATTAACAAAAACAGAAATTGCTGGTGAAACTCAGCAGGCTTGATGAAGAGTTCCTGGACACAAAATGTTAACTGTGCAGGTCTGGCAGCGCTTGTAGGGAGAAAGCAGCAGAATTTTGCCAGCATTTTCTGTTTTTGTTTCAGATCTCCAATATTTGCAATTCTTTTCATTAAACTAAAACTGTCAGTTGGTGAAAAGTGGTAACTAAATTGGTAAAATATTTGAGGTTTGGCATTTCATAAAAACTAGAATTTTAGAATAGTAAGGTAAAGATATGCGAGTTGGTCAAGTTGTAAATGGAGAAAGAAAGATCATTCTGGGTTTTTGAAACCAGTGAAGAGTCCTACCATCCTTTCCATCCCGAAAGAGGTTAACCTATTTGTTTAAACCTTGATTTAACACATTCACTTATGTTTATTATATGATTGGTTTAAACAAATATTATGAAATTAATAGTCCCACAAATCTGAAGGTGGTTCTGGTTAAATTGTTCCTGGTGCATATCATGTAGGAAGGAATACTGCACTTTGAGACGTTGACAAATGCCTGCTAGTATGAAGTTAGTATCAAGACCTGTAACTTGCCAGTGTGATTTCCTTTGACTATGCCATGCAGTTAGATTATTGGGCTTGTTTGTAATCTAGCATGTTGGCATTAGTAAATGGTGATGTTAATTCTTTTTTGTTCATGCTTATATCTACAGCCCAGACAGGAGAGTTCAATAGAACTTGTGAACCCTTCAGTTTCAGATGCTTGAATGGGATGTGCATTAGCATGGAATGGAAGTGTGATGGGGTCGATGATTGTGGAGACTACTCTGATGAAGCAAATTGCCGTAAGTGGGGGGAAACATATAGTTGCCTAAAACCTGGTCATTGGTGAATATGCTTAAACCATGCAGGTCAGAATCTGTCATACATAATATTTCATTGCTGTAATGTATCTGGGGTATGATGGGTATTTTACTGAGGTAGAACTATGTTTCATAATTTTTTGTTTTACAGCTTAATGAAGTAAATTGTGCCTTGTTAATATTTTTGATTGAGGAATCTATTAATATCGATTTGCCTATTTTGTCCCAAGAGAGACACGTTGCCCGTTCCTGCCCTAGCCCATCAACACCATTTAGAGTTTATGGTGCATAATCATGATTAGCAGACTTCAGTGTATGTAATAGATTTGTTGGAGGTTTATGAGCTATAAGAAGGTACACGATGAAGATTGTGCTGCTTGTCTACACTATCATCCAAGGCTGGGCGTGCAAGATTATCTGGAATCTAGTGCGAAGAATTGCAGTCTTGTTGACTGGTCTACCTCTTGAGCTGCCATAAGTGAACCTGATTTCAGGTCAATAATCTAAGTTTCACAGTACTGGAAATGATCTGGCTGATGGGTGGCACAATGGCTCAGTGGTTGACACTGCTGCCTCACAGTGCCAGGGATCTGGGTTCGATTCCACACTTGGGCGATTATCTGTGTGGAGTTTGCACACTCTCCCTGTGTCTGCGCAGGCTTCCTCCCACAGTCCAAAGATGTGCAGGCTAGGTGCATTGGTCATGCTAAATTGCCTGTAGTATTCATGGCTGTGTAGATTAGGTGGGTTATAGGGGATGGATGTGGGTGGGATGCTCTGAAGGGCGGTGTGGACTTGTTGGGCCAAAGGGCCTGTTTCCACATTGTAGGGATTCTATGATCAATGAAATATCGGGTTGCCCTGTTAGCACAGAGCTGACTTGGCTGTAAAACTCTTTCCAGCATCACCTAAGGCTCAAAAAAAGTTCATTGTGGTGCTCAGCAGTTCACAAATTTGAAGTACAACATTGAGGTTTAATGTATTTTTTAATTGTCAAGTATTGATATTTACTGCCAGGAATGTGGAGAATCAATGTTCTGTCTACTTCTCATGCATTGCAAAGGAAGATTCTATTTAAGGGCAATTATTAGTTGTCCTCCGATCAGCGTTCACCAAGGTAAAATGTAGTTTGTACGGGCAGTTAATTGGAACTTAATTATTTATTTTGTTTTCTAATCGTAGAATCCTTTATTGGCTGATGTTGCATTTTTTTTTTAGGGAGTCACAGTGTAAATCATTTTCTTTGTGTATTGCTGTTTCAAAAAAAAAAATCCTTACCAGTTCTTATTTTGTCCTTCGTCTCTGCAGAAAATCCTACTGAAGCACCTTCTTGCTCAAGATATTTTCATTTTACCTGTCGGAATGGAAATTGTGTTCCAACATGGTGGAAGTGTGATCGTGAGAATGACTGTGGAGACTGGTCTGATGAAGATGACTGTCCTGGTATAAACATTAAGTTTAAGTAACGACATTATGCATGTGGGATGTAGTGTTCCAAACTGACTAAAAATATTTGTAAATTCTTCAGATTTTTAAAAAAATTTAAGATACCTCTGCATTCTATAACCACAAAACAACTACTGATTTGAATTTATTTTGTTCTTTAGCAATATGGCTACAAATTGGGGAGGCAATGGCCTTATGGTATTATCGCTGGACTGTTAATCCAGAGACCCGGATACCATTCTGAGGACCTGGGTTCGAATCCTGTCACAGCAGATGATGGAATTTGAACTCAATAAATATCTAGAATTAAGAATCTATGATGACCATTGTCGATTGTCAGGAAAAACCCACCTGGTTCACTAATCTGGTTCACTAATGTCTTTTAGGAAAGGAGACTGCCATTCTTACCTGGTCTGACCCAGATATGACTCCAGACCCACAGCAAATGTGGTTGACTCTTAACTGCCCTCTGGACAATTAGGGATGGACAATAAATGCTGCTTAGCCAGAGACGCCCTCATCCTATTAATGATTAAAGAAAAGAAATTAATTACAGTTGAATAACAGATTTCTGTATTGTAATGAAAATGGCCACTTTCATTTGGTTGAAATTCTCTTGAGGCGGAAGGTCTAGAAATATGGAACAACGAATTGGGTAAAACTTAATTTTGAAAGTTGAGTTAGTGTGTATAATTATTTAGCATCTGTCGTATTCTTAGCAGTGTGGTCAGTGTGAAAGTAAGGTCTCGCTTCATAGCCAAGTATTTTTAGCTAACTTTTTGATAGAGATAGTTTAATAGTGGAATGTTGGGCAGGATTCTGAGAAAATTTCCTTATTATCCTCGAGCTGTGCAGTGAGTTTCCTTGTGTTCGCTTGGACAGGTAACTAAGATCTTAGCCTAGCATCTTCTCTGATAGAGCAACACACTCAATTGGACAAAAGTTTCACTTTACATTATAAATATTTTCCAATCAACCTGCAGCAGATGGGACTTGATCTCTGGCCTCCTGGCTCAGAGCTAGGGACACTGCCACTGTGCCACGAGGGACCCTCATACAAGAAAAGGCCACTTTCCTTGGGGGGAAGAAAATGCACATAAAGTGTCATTAAGAAAATTAAGGCATGCATTGAAATGTTACAAATCAAATTACTTCCTCTTTCCTCCCTCAACTGAGGATCGTGGAACCATAGCTCAGCAATGAATGAGTGTCTTGGTGAACAGAAAGGACAGGCATATCAGTAAGAGGAAGGGTTGATTTCAAATGGGGAAGGGAAATCTAAAGTTGTAGATTTACTTCAGACCCCAGAATTTATTTCTTAACCAGAAACCTAAATGCTTTTTACTGAAGTGTTTGCAATTGTTTTAGGTTGGAATCCTGTTCAACATACGACTGAGGCTCCTTTGAGTTGTGGTCCCAACCACTTCCGATGTAATGTTGGAGGATGTATTATAAACAGTTGGGTGTGTGATAGATATGAAGACTGCACGGATGGTTCTGATGAGGAAGGTTGTCCCACTTTTCCAGGTAAACTAAAATCGGAAGGACCACCCATTGTTGCAGTACTTACGATTTTTGTTTCGTTGGAAACTTTTTGTTGCTTGCAAATAATTAAATGTTTTTTTTTTAAAAGCACTTTTTATACAATATCTGAATTAGAAACGTCCATCACTTTTCAGAAAGTACAAAGCAAATTCTGTTTCATTCCCTGATATTGCCATTTAGTTTTGATTACGGAAGCTTTAATTTTGCCACAATAGTTGCAGGCAATAGTCAGTGCTCATTGAGTACGAATGCTTATGCTTAAAAGATAAGTTGTTATCCTGCAAATTTTTAATATGCACTGAGTTTTATTCATTGTTTGGTATTGAAGCTAGTATCATTCTCATTTTTAACTAATCACTTGAAATGTTGTTTGTACCATTGTTTTAACCATTTAATAAGATTTTAAACATCAAGACTCTGTGATATTCGTTGGCCTCTGGGGCGGTTCCGGCAGATTGGAAAACAGCAAATGTAACGCTACTGTTTAAAAAGGAGATAGATAAAAAGCGGGTTACTAAAGCCTGATAGCTTAACTTTTGTAGTGGGAAAAAGCTTCAATTTATCATTTAATGAAGAGATATTTGCTGACATATTTGTATCATCGATAGCCACAGGTGAGGTGCCAGAAGACTGGAGGTTGGCTAATGTTGTGCCACTATTTGAGAAATGTGGTAAGGAAAAGCCAGGGAACTATAGAACAGTGAGCCTGACGTCGGTGGTGGGCAAGTTGTTGGAGGGAATCCTGAGGGACAGGAGTTACATGTATTTGGAAAGGCAAGGACTGATTAGGGATCGTCAACATGGCTTTGTGTGTAGGAAATCATGTCTCACTAACCTGATTGAGTTTTTTGAAGTAATGAAGAGATTTGAGGGCAGAGTGGTGGATGTGATCTATGTGGACTTCAGTAAGGCTTTGGACAAGGTTCCTCATGGTTGACTGGTTAGCAAGTTTAGATCACATGGAATACAGGGAGAACTAGCTATTTGGATACAGAACTGGCTCAAAGGGAGAACACAGAGGGTGATGGTGGAGAGTTGCTTTTCAGAATGGAGGCCTGTGACCAGCAACGTGCCACAAGGATTGGTGCTGGGTCCACTGCTTTTTGTCATTTGTATAAATGATTTAGATGTGAACATAGGTGGTGTGGTTGGTAAGTTTACGGATGACTCTAAAATTGGAGGTGTAGTAGACAGCAAAGAAGGTTACTTAAGAGTACAACAGGATCTTGATCAGATGGGCCAAAGGGCTGAGGAATGGCGGATAGAGTTTAATTTGGATAAATGTGAGGTGCTGCATTTTTGGAAAGGCAAATCAGGGCAGGACTTATACACTTAATGGTAGGGTTCTGGGGAGTGTTGCTGAACAAAGAGACCTTGGAGTGCAGGTTCATAGTTCCTTGAAAATGGAGTCACAGGTAGACAGGATAGTGAAGAAGGCATTTGATATGCTTGCCTTTATTGGTCCAGTGCATTGAGTATAAGAGTTGGAAGGGCATGTTGTGGTTGTACAGGACATTGGTTTGGCCACTTTTGGAGTATTGCGTGCAATTCTGGTCTCCCTCCTATAAGAAGTGTGTTGTGAAACTTGGAAGGGTTCAGAAAAGATTTACAAGGTTGTTGCCAGGGTTGGAGGGTTTGAGCTCTAGGGAGAGACTGAATAGGCTGGGGCTGTTTTCACTGGAGCATCAGAGGCTGAGGGGTGACCTCTGTAGAGGTTTATAAAATCATGAGGGACGTGGATAGGGTAAATAGACAAGGTCTTTTCCCTGGGGTGGTGGAGTCCAAAATTAGAAGGTTTAAGGTGAGAGGGGAAAGATATAAAAGGGACCTAAGGGGCAACTTTTTCACATAAAGGTTGATCTATGTATGGAATGAGCTGCCAGAGGAGGTGGTGGAGGCTGGTACAATTACAACATTTAAAATGCATCTGGATGGGTATATGAATAGGAATATTTAGAGGGATGTGGGCCAAATTCTGGTAAGTAGGATTAGACTTATGTAGGATTCTGGTCGCCATGGACGAGTCGGACCAAAGGGTCTTTTCCATGCTCTATATCTCTATGACTAAATAGCATGACACCTGGATAGAAAATGTCCCATCGGACAGATGCAGCATGGGTTCGTGAAAGGCAGGTCATGTTTAACTAATCTACTGGAATCCTGTGAGGGCATTATGAGCGCGGTGGACAATGGGGAACCGTGGATGTGCTATATCTGGATTTTTAGAAGGTATTCGATAAGGTGCTGCACAAAAGGCTGTTGCATGAGATAAAGGTGCATGGCATTACAGGTGATGTATTAGCATGGATAGAGGATTGGTTAATTAACAGAAAGCAAAGAGTAGGGATATTGGGTGTTTTTCTAGTTGGCGATCAGTGGCTGGTGGTGTGCCTCAGGGATCAGTGCCAAGACCACAATTGTTTTTAAATTATGTAGATAATTTGGAGTTGGGGACCAAGTGTAGTGTATAAATGTTTGCAGATGACATTAAGATGAGTGGTAGAGCAAAGTGTGCAGAGGACACCGAGTCTCCACAGGGATATAGATAGGTTAAGTGATCTGGCAGATGGAGTACAATGTTGGTAAATGTGAGGTCATCCATTTTGGTAGGAATAACAACAAAATTGACTATTATTTAAACGGTGAAAAATTGCAGCATGCTGCTGTGCAAAGAGACCTGGGTGTCCTTGTGCATGGATCTCAAAAAGTTGGTTTGCAGGTGCAGCAGGTAATTAAGAAGACTAATGGAATATTGTCCCTCATTGCTAGAGGAATGGAATTTAAAAACATAGAGGTTATGCTACAGCTTTATAGGGTATTGGTGAGGCCACACCTGGCTTACCGTATACAGTTTTGGCCTCCTTACTTGAGAAAGGATGTACTGCCACTGGAGGGGGTGCAGAGGGGGTTCACTAGGTTGCTTCAAGAGTTGAGAGGTTTGGCTTATGAGGACAGATTGAGTGGACTGGGACTATACAAATTGGAATTTAGAAGAATGAGGGGGATCTTATAGAAATGTATAAAATTATGAAGGGAATAGATAAGATAGAAGCAGGGAGGTTGTTTCCACTGGCGGGTGAAACTTGAACTAGGAGACATAGCCTCAAAATAACGGGGATCAGATTTGAGGAGGAACTTCTTCACCCAAAGGGTTGTGAATCTGTGGAATTCCCTGCCCAGTGAAGCAGTTGAGGCTATGTCATTTAATGCTTTTAAGGCAAAGATAGATTTTGGAATAGTAAAGGAATTAATGGTTATGATGAGAGGGTGGTTAAGTGGAGCTGAGTCCATAAAAAGATCAGCCATGCTCTTAATAAATGGCGGCGTAGCCTTGACGGGCCAGATGGCCGCCTTCTGCTCCTGGTTCTTTTGCTTTTATGAATGGGGACTGCAGGGAGGATGAGCAAATTGACCATAGAACCTTGGTAAAGGAAACCATTCAGTTGGGGTGAGGAAATAGGAATGTATATTTAGTAGGGAACGGTATAATTGATGGCATAGACATTGTTCTTTGCAGCCGTGAGCGGGAATCCAGATAAGAGCTCATGGTTTTTGAGGTAGTATATTAGCAAGAATAGAGGATTGCCTAACTAATAGAAGACAGAGATTAGGAATAAAAGGGGCATTTTCAGGATGGCAACCTGTAACTAGTGGAATACCACAGGGATCAGCAATGGGACCACAATTATTTACAATATATTTACTAATTAATTGAATGAGGAAAGAATATGAACTATAGTCACCTTTTTATGGATGACACAAAATAGGTAGGAAGACAGTTGATGAGGGTGACCGAAAGGAGTCTGCAGAGGAATCTTGACAGATCAAGTGAATGGGCAAAAACTTGTCAGATGGAATATAATGTGGAAAAATGTGAGGTTACGAACTTTGGTAGGTCAAATAATGGAGCAGAATATTATTTAAATGGAAAAAGACTGCAGAAAATTAGAACAGATGAATTTGGGAGTCCTTGTACGTAAATCACTAAAATCTAGCAGCCGACTTCAGTGGGTAATAGGGAAGGCAAATGGAATGTAAGCCTTTATTTCAAAGGAATGGAGTATCAATATGGGGAACATTTGCTGAAAGTATGCAAAGCACTAGTCGGGCTACAGCTGGCCACTTTTCTAAGGAAAAGTGTACTGGCATTGGAAGCAATTCCGAGAATGCTCACTGGGCTGATCCTGGGCATGGAGTGACTGCCTGATGATAGGTTAGGCCTGTCTTCATTGGAGTGTAAAAGGATGACAAGTAACCTTATTGAAATATACAAGATTTTCAGGGAACTTGACAGAGTAGATGATGATGAAAGGTTGTTTCCCCTTGTGGGAGGGTCTAAGACCTGATGGAGTAATCTCAGAATAAGGAGTTGTACATTTTAAGACAAAGGTAAGGAGGAATTTCTTCTCCCAAGGGGCTGCAAGTCTGCGGAATTCTGTACCACAGAGGGCTACTGAGGCTGGGTCATTTAAGTATGGTCAAAGCCAAGATGTTTAATTGGTAAGGGAACCATGGATTATAGGGAAAATGCAAAATGTCAAGTTGAGGATTATCATTGATGTTATTGAATGGCGGAGCAGACTTGAAGGGCTGAATGGCCTGCTTCTCCTATGGTTTTATGATGAGAACATGGATTATTGTGCTGTAATACAGATAATTACTTTCTATAAATGCTTTATAATTATTTATGCATGTAGACTTCCTGATTTGATTGCTCAGCTCCTTTTTATTTTGTTCACCCACTTTGTTACTTTCACTTTATTTCCTTTCCAGCGATCTGCTATTCCTTCAGAAGGTAGCTGTACGATCTGACACCATTGCCAGAAGTGGAAATGGTTTCATCTCTTGGTGCTAAGATGCATCCTTTCAAACACATTTGGTATTCTTTAATAAATTAAGAACTCTTGTGTAAGCCATTTTATATTGTAATCCAAGTTGATTGAAAGCTTCTTTTATCCACTGTCTGTAGAATTTACTATCTTTGCATAAATACAAGATTATAGTTTTGTCAGAATTTATGGGCCATTGTGATTCTGTTCTGTCTCTGCAGCAAGCGTAACAACCACTTCCACCACTACTGTACATCCAGCTGGAAAGTGTAGCTCTTCAGAATTCCGTTGTGTTCGAGGCCATAACTGTATCCCCAACTGGAAGCGATGTGACAGCCACAGGGACTGCCGTGATGGCTCGGATGAAGTCAACTGTCGTGAGTACTTCTATTAAAATAAACTTTCTGCTCTGGAAGCTGTTGAGTTAAATTGCTTATAAGGGTGCTTAAAATATTTCATTTCAGAAGCAGGAAGCAGTCTAAATTCAAGTTGGTTCAAGGCCAATCAAACTTCTTAGCTGGTCAAGGTCTGTTCTTAACCACCTCTGTCTTCCTCCACACCACTTGCCCTCTCCCCAGTCCTCTAACAATGCAAGGATATGCAATTGTTTCAATTTTTCTCTTACTTATTATGTCTTTTTATGCACCTTGCCACTGATTAGAAGATCTGGAATTGTCAATTTGTTTCCCCCTAACAGAGAATTCGAATTAGTGATTTGATACTTAAGAATTAAAGGTCAAGAATTTTACATTGTGAAAGGCAAACAAAAATTACTGTGCATCTTATAATGGAAGTCTTGTGTTTGACTCGTTGGTTAAATGTTTACTTGACTGAGATATCATCCATAATATTAGTGATTAATATAGATAACTGTACAAGTCAACTGTCGTACTTCTTTTTAAATTGCTAAAGCATCATTAATGAGTCCCCCCAATACCAAAGTAAACCATGTCCATACAATGCAAAACCTGGACAACATCAAGCCTGAGCTGATAAGTGACTTTGGAACATTTGTGCCAAACATAACCATAGCCAGGGAGAGAGATTCTAACCATTGCCCCTTGAAGTTCAATGAAATTACCGTTGCTGAATTCCCTGGTATCAACATTCTGGGACTTGCTGTTGTTTAGAAACATAACTGGAGCAGCTCGATAAATACTATGACTACAAGAACAGATCAGAGGCTAGGAATTCTGCAGCAAATAACTCAGCTATCTCCCCAGTGCTTGTCCACTGTCTACACATACAAGTCAGGAGTGTGATAGAATACTCCTACTTGCCTGGATGGGTGCAGCTTGATATCATTTAGGATAAGGCAGCCTGCTTGATTGACCCCCTGTCCACCACCAACATTCATTCCCTTTACCATAAATGCACATGGCAATGGTGCATACCATTTACAAGATACGTTACAATAAATCACCAAGACATTTTTGACAGCAGCTTTCAAACCTCTACCATCTAGGAGGACAAAGGCAGCACATATATGGGAACACCACCACCTACAAGTTCCCCTTGTCACTTGGAACTGTACTGCCATTCTTTCACTACAGCTGGGTCAAAATCCTGGAACTACCAACCCAGTAGCACTGTGGGTGACCCTAGAGGTTCAAGAAGGCAACTTAGCTAAAGCAATTGGGGATGGGCAGTAGATGCCAGCCTGCTTAGTGATGCCCAAAACCCGTGAACAATTTTTTTAAAGAAATTCTCCTCAATAGAAGTGAGTGGAAGCCCTCTTTGTAGTGTAGTGGTAGTGTCCATACCCGTGGACTAGGAGGGCTGAGTTCAAGTCCCACCTGCTCCGGAGGTGTGTATTAACATCTCTGAACAGGTTGATTAGAAAATTAGCTAGAATTGAGTGGAAAATTGCAAATTCAAAAATGTAGAAAACTGGAAATGTAGATGTTGATGGTTCTGTAGGAAGAAGGGAGAGATAATGCTTGCAAGTTTAACGTAATGAATGTTAGTCTTTTAACTTTCAAGTATTCATTAACCTGCTGCATGGTAGGTGTTTCATGTTTTACTTTCAGTGCATTAAACGTTTAATGTTTGTTAAGCCTTCATTCTTTCATTCTTGTGGAATCTAATTCTTAGCTACCCATGTTCCATTACGGTGTTTGAATGAAACGGTTTGTGAGGATGGAGAGACTTGCATAAGCCAACTGGAACGCTGTGATGGATTTCTGGACTGCTCTGATAACAGTGATGAGAAGAACTGCTCAGGTAGGTTACTAGAATAGGGGTTAAGAAGCTTTTAAGCAGCATCTGGGTTGGATTGTTGTGGTATTTCTACATGTCTGAAATGAACTTCTCCATAATGTCCAGTTTTCAAGGGTTGAGTTATATCTTTAATTTTGTTTAATTAATTGTACTGGCACTAATTGTATGCTTTCTGTTTTATTTTAAGCTGATAATGTATCATACAAAGTTCAAAATTTACACTGGGCAGTTGATTTTCGTGGTGCAATTTCTTTAATGTGGGAGAGCCCAAAGAATTTGCCACCATCGTGTACCTATGTTGTACTGTACAGGTAATAATCCTATAACTCCTTCTGTTTTACACCGTTCTCCATTCTTTTCCAATGCGATTATACAAATTGGATTCCTGGATCTGCGGTTTGTTTTCGGCTGTCATGCATTTAACTGTCCGAATGAAGAATTCACCTTTGGGCCCAGTGGTGAAATTTGTCATTTGAATTTGCAATCTTTAATTAAGATAAGAGTACAAACTGTTTAACATTATTAACTTAAGCTGTGTGTTTCAGACGGTAATTTGTTTTCATGTTGAAGGCTGGGACTTTAACTTCACCTCCATGCCATAATCCCAAAGATATGTTCAGTTAGATCAGCTATGGGTACTATTCCTACCATATATAACATTGTTGGCTTTTGATTGGAAAGTGAATATTGGATATTGGAGCTAACTAGACTTGTGATTTACTCCAGTACTCATCTGTAATTATCCCGTGACACTGTTGGGAGGGCTGTCGGGTATTCTGTCCATCGTTCTGCTCCCACCAACAGTAATATAAAAGAACAACTGATCAATGTTGCTTTTTTTGTGGAATCTTGTTATTCACAAAATGGCTGCCATATCTACCTACACACCTACTTTAAGATTCTTGTTAAAAATGTGAAGAGGTACTAATTTTACACACATTTCAAAGCAAAATTAAAATTTGAGGTTGCATTAACCAATGGATTGCTATCAGGAGAACAATTCAATGATGTAATAGTTCTGGGAATTTTTTATATTTATGTACTGGTTAATGTGAAATATCTGATTTTGAGAGGTAGGCAGCTTTCCTGTATTTGTTTCTGCTTTAATAATTGAAAACTATGTTTGGGATTTACTAATATTTGAGAAGTTTTTAGTGGTAAAATACTTGTGATTGTTTGGCAATATTTTTAGTTCTAGGAGTTGAACTTGTACTTGAGAAAATGTTACAAATAGTATTCCCAAACGTTCCAGCACTCTTGTCAATATTATTTGAGAGTTTCAATACTTGATTTACAATCCAGTGATGATTTTGGTCAGATGTATTCTTACAGTAACTAACATTTCATGAATTTCTAGGATGTGGTGGCATATGTTTCAGTGACGAACTTTCTTTCTGTTATAGTTTGGTTGGTGATGACTGGAAGAGCTTAGATGCTGGTGACAAAACTACAGTTGTTTTAACTGTTATGAAACCTGACACAACCTATCAACTGAAAGTACAAGTGCACTGCCTTCTTAAGACCTACAGCCCAACTGATAGTATTATATTGCGTACACCAGAGGGCTGTGAGTGCAATTTTCTAAATACTTTTGTTCTTTACAGAGTAAGCTAAGATTAAAGGTCCTAGAGTTGGTTTTACACCTCTTGCCATGCAGCCCACAATCATATTGTTAATCTAATTTGCTTGTTTGGTGTTGAACTCTGAGGAGCAGATGTTTAATGTGGTATTTTATTTTGTGTAGCACTCTGAAAATTAATGCATCAAAGTCACTGCAATAGCATCAGTGAACCTGACACACGCAAGAGCTGCTGATGAATGGAAAACTAGAACTATAAAATAGTTTAACTTTATGTTCTGGTGAAAGAAAGTAGAGTTGGTGATGTGATGCAAAAATAAGTTTGTGAGCCTTTCCTGAAGTATCCTTTGTGTAGTATTGCTGAAAAAATATGCATTTAAAATTGATGTGATTCCATAATTGGAGTGGAATCAAGCTTGCAAAGAATTACACTGACAAACATTTTTAGGATTGTCAGTCAATGTAGCATACTTGCCTGTGGAAGCTGTATGGGGCCCTGGTAATTGAAGACAGAATATGCCACACACTCTACCTATTTCAACTCAATAAAAGGTGATGACCATCTCTGGTTCATTTCTCAGGGCAATGACTTGAGCAATCATTGAGCCTGCCAAGTTTAAAGAAAAATTGGCAGTTAACTGCCAGTCATCATTAACTGCATTCTTCACAATAAAACCTCTATCAATCAGTCCATTTGCCAGCTAATTAGAGTTTTATTCCATTGCATATTTGTACTTGTATTTTTCTGTTTGAAGATCTTCTAATCTCTAGGCTGTTCATAAATTTTCTGAACTGAGATCTGGCATGGACATTTCCACCTCAGTACCTTTTTTTGTTTGATCAAGAAAAGGAATTACTTTTTTTTAAAAAAAAAAACAAATATTTTACCATCAAGACCTTTTGTGGTATTATTTATTATTCCGTAGTTAAATATTTATTTTATGATGGAAAGTACAAAAATTACTCTATTGCCTGGTGGTTATGCCTCATTTTTCTCATTTCATGTTGTCCTTTTTATTTATTTACTTTTATTTTTCACAAGGGTTTCTCTTGAACATTATCACCTTCGTTTAGAGATCCAAATTTCACACCAACCAACTTGCAATTTCATAGGAATTTTTCTTAGTATAATAAGATCTTAAGTGTGCTTCAGTCCTGTCAAAATCAGGACTGTTGACTAAGAGCTTGGTCAAAAAGAGAGTTTTAAGGAGAATCGTCAAGGAAGAGAGTGGCATAGGGAGAGAATTTCCCATATCCCAGGGTTTAGACAGCTGAAGGTTCAGTGTTGGACCTGTCAATACGGGATGGGGGTAGGGGAGTGGACAGTAGACAGAATTAGAGAGGTGCAGACACCTGAGATTTGGTAAGGCTGAAGAAAACTAGGGATGGAGAGGGATGAGACCCATGGAAAGAATTGAAAGCAAGGTTGAGAATTTATTTGGGACATTGCTGAACCCTAGAACCAAGGTAGATAACGTGCATGGTGACCGAATAGGATTCAGTATGAGTCTGACAGAATTAGCAGAGGTTTGGATAAGCTCAAGTTTATGTAAGATGCAGTCAGGCCAGGACATTTTGATTCAGTTTTGTTTCGCAGAAATCACAATCAAAAGCATTAGATTACTTGAAAATATTGGCCATGGTGTAGCAGTAACTTGTATCAGTAGAATGTTAGCACCATTCTACTTTAGTTTTCACATTTGTATATGTCTACTTAATTTTTTTGTAGTGAAAGAAGAAACCAGATCATACTGACATAGTGATCACTCCGTTTCTCTTTGCAGTACCTGATCCACCACAACATCTCCAGCTGTCTTATAGCGAAATGTATGATGGTACTATATTCTGCCAGTGGAGTCGCCCTATCAATGCACATGGCCTGATTCGGGAGTATATTGTGAGTTTGTACAAATCATTAAAATGAAGTTGTTGAAGTATTTACATTTGCAATATCCGATTGCTTTAGTTTTAGTTTTTGAATAGAAAATGCTAGGGCAAGCCTCATTACATTGTGCTTCAACATTCATTGCCATATAACTGAAAGTGTGAAGTAAACTCTTCTTGTTCCTGAAATCTGCTTGGTTTTGTCATCATGACATTGCTGATGTGGATATCTTATCCCACATACTAAGAAAGTGGCTGATAAGTTCCATTTTGACCTCCTAATGAAAGCTGAACAGATTTGTTACATAGTTCCATCGTTAAGCAGTAAATGTTACTCTGCACCTAAAGTAGCACTTAATAAGATTTTTTGAAGCTGGATGCAGAGTCAGGTATCTTCTCCCCAGAATTATAATGAATATATCTCGTTGACTTGGAGGTCCTATATGGAATTACAAGTTAAAAGCCTCTGTGGGGTTGTAGACGTGTGTTCCGTCAAACCTAGAGCTTTTTCTTGTTTTTTCTTGCCCCACACCAGGTGTCATACAGCAGGCATGGATCGAATGTATGGACTTCCCTGGAATCCACTGAAAACCACATAAACATTAGAAATTTGGAGATGGACGTTATGTATGTAGTCAGGGTAAGTGTTAAGGATTGGCAGCTGGCACCATTTTGAATGTTCAATTTGTTCTGCTTGAATTATGCTCAGTAGCCAAATTATAATGCAAATGTTTTGAGCGGGTTACACCTTTTGCACTAGTGTTTTGATTCTATTGTTCTTTAATTTGTTTCTTTTCTCTTCCTGTTTTCTTTTTCTTTTCTCTTTTGTTTTTCCTTCCCACCTTGCACTGTCATTTTCTTCCCTCCATGTGTAACTGCTTTGCTAGGCTATTGCTCACGCAGGCAGCTATTATTGGAGAATATTAATGTGCTATTCTAATATACAGGACATGAGTGACAGCCTGCTATCCTCACTGAAAGCCAATAAGTAAATTTCAGCAGCAATCAGAGGTGGAGATAGCATTTCACTACAATTCAGTCGGAACTATCACAGATTTATTACTCTTGTGTAGATACCAAAAGAACTGCGGATGCTGTAAATCAGGAACAAAAACAAAGTTGCTGGAAAAGCTCAGCAGGTCTGGCAGCATCCGTGAAGGAAAAAACAGAGTTAACGTTTCAGGTCCGGTGACCCTTATTCACCGTCCCTTGTAACCTTCCGCTCTCCGATGCTGAACGCTCGGTACTCGGCAAAGGCCAGCTTTATTTCTCTGCGTACCCACCCTAACAATTTTCGGGCATGACATGACGTCGAACTCTTCTTCTGCCATCTTTGCCTCCGTGCCCATTTCTTTGGACAGGAGTCCTCAACCCGTCCCATAGACCCCTTCGCCCAGTTCTGAGGAAGGGTCACTGGACCCGAAACATTAACTCTGTTTTCTCCTTCACAGATACTGCCAGACCTGCTGGGCTTTTCCAGCAACTTGGTTTTTGTTTACTACTCTTGATCCCTGCTCTAGGAACTTTTGCAGTCATGTTGGCTGAGCTTAAAAGTTTAGCAAAGTTGGGAACTTCCTGAAATGCATGGCTCAGATACTTATTTGTAATGCCGTATGAGGACGTAAAATTTATAATCTGAGTGCTTCGTTGTATAATATTTACAGTGCAGAAACTGATTATTCAGTTCAAGCTGGATAATGTCTGCTGATCAGTAGCAATGAGGCAATGCTAATATACCATATATTTCAGTTTTGTAAGCAATCCATGGGATTAATTTAAATCGGAGTTTGGAGGGAGTAGTAGGGCCCTATATTTGAACAGATTCTTAAAGACATTTCTTCCATATTTACAGGTTGCAGCTGTTACAAGTTATGGGATTGGCAAGTGGAGTGAATACAAAACTATTATGACAAAGAAAGGTCAAGGTACAGTACTTCTAAATAAGGATACCAGTTATGTGCAATGTTCTACAAGTTGAACTCTATTTTACTGTAACAGTGACACCCAAAAACAAACAAACAAACATATTAGGTAGGCTGACCCGATTGTCGCCTCCACTTCCCTGTCTTCCCCCTACACCCAGTTGTTCAGCATCTCCTGCCACCCTGACATCATATATTGGACTTACCTTAGCTCCTCCTAAATGGTGATTTCCAAACTAGCAAGTTGCTTCTAGAAATGCAGCTTTCTGACATTATGAAGTGATGCCTACCATCCAATTTCAGGTAAGCTTTGACCCTCTGTTGCCTAATGCACGCAGGGAGAATGCCAGCTATACTGATTTTCTTAAAAAAATTCTAAATTACATTTTGGGGAAAATATGAATTATTCTAGGTGCCAGAAATTTAATTTGAAAAAATGAATAAGTCATAGTTACAACTCAAGTTTCAAAGGGCCTAAAATTGCTGCTGATATATTGAAACAATTCATCTTGCTCATGAAACCTTTGTCAATTGTTTCTGTGAGGAATACTTAAGGCAATAGGCTAAGTATAGATACCTACAATTGCTGAAATAGATGTAAATATTGATGTTTGCTTTTCTTCTCCAATAGCAATTCCAGTGCCAACAGTTACAGTCACAAGTATAAAGGAAGATTCTATTGACTTGAAATTACAGATGGATGCCAATATTAAGGTACATATTGTGCAGGAGAGATTTTAACGCAAAGTTGATGTTTCATTTTCTTAGGATGAAGTAAATATTCTAACTCCTTTGTAATTGCCATATGAAACTTGGATGCAATAAAATCCTAGTGAATTTAATTCGAGGAAATCATTAGACAAATTTTGCATTATTTGGAATTTCCTTAAGATATAGGAGCAGAATTAGACCATTTAGCCCATTGAATCTGCTCTACCATTTGATTACATTTGCTAGATGAGGAGGACCTTGTATAACCCAATTCGCCTACAAAACACTCTGCCAAAGAAAATGCCAAATGCAAACACTGTGAAGTGGTAGATTTGTGAAACATGTCTTTATTCACATTTTACAATGGCATGACTTCCTATGAGGCATTGAAAAAACGTCAGGAATGAACTTCAGCACAAGCTCAGAATGACATGAATGACACTTGCACATGTTTGGCTAAGCTGGAGTTACTAGTGCAGAATTTTGGTATATCATAGGCTATTTTGCTGGCAGGAATGGCTAACAGTTTAGACTTAATTGGAGCTTTGTGTCATCTAAATTTGACTCCTGATGTATACAGATAAATCACAATGTAGTTATGTTATAAAGTGGAGGTTGACCACCCCCCCCGCCCCTGAGATCCAAAACCAAAGCACCCAAAGAGGACCACCTCACCCTATCATCTGTTTAAAAGGGGTGTGAAAAATGGTGTAACCTGTCTTTCAGCAACTTCCAGTGGTTAAATCAAATAAATCCCTGACACTCACTCCACAATCAACAAGTATCACTTTATTTATCTAATCTAACAGTGAACAAATTAACTAAACTATTAACAAACCAAACAAATCCCTTCTAACTACTAACTATTCCCACATAATGCAAGATTCTGTTCCAATAAATAGAAGACCTACTTATATAACAAAACAATAGAATTTAGTCTCTTGAATTTACAGCCAGGTTATGTCTTCCAGAACGTTCTGTGTCTTCTCCTTCGATTCTTCTATCAAGAATGTTTTCTGTGTCAATTCTTCTGTCAGGAGTGCTGTGGTACTGTTGTGAATAGATGGTGCTTTCTCTAAGAGCTAAGAGCAGTTATCTCTAGCAGATGGCAGTTAGCTCTGCTGACTTTCCAACTGCCCCCTTCTTTTATACCCCTGATGACATATCTATTTCTTATAATTGGATTGGTCCTAGGTGTCAAAACCATCAGATGAGTTTTTTGGTATCTAAGTGCCTGGTTCATATTGATTGGCTAAATTCAAAAACCTGTTGTCTTGCTAAAAATGTCGCTTGGCCTGCTAACAGTACGGCCTTTCGATGCAAATGTTTCAATTCGGGTGCTCTCTGTACTTGCAAACTTTCAAGCTGCTTATAGACGTCTCCAAGCATAGAAAAGCACAATCTTTTAAAGGGACCACACAATGCTTCCCCCCCCCTCGCGTTTTACAAACACCAAATTCAATCGTCCTACCTCCCAATCCACAAATACTCTACCCAACTCTATAATAGGTAGTGCCAGATTTCATTAGAAGGTTTAACTAAAAATGGCAGTAATGCTGTTTGCTTAGGATCTACTCACCAGTTACAACTTCATCTTAACAAGGGTCGTTGTGGTGCAACATTATGGTTTACAAGTACCCTATTCTGTGCTGCTTGTCATAGGATAAAGGCTCAAACTGAAAGTAAGGAGGCAGATCCTGAATCCACCCTGCCCAGTCAGGAATTGAACCACGTGCTGTGAGCACCAATCTGATCCACCCTGGCCATCCATTCAGTGGGACCCTACAAGAAGCTTGAGATGCACTTTTGCATGCCTCTTGTAGCCTGAAGCTATGAATAATAAACACTGTCTCTTTCTCCCATGACATGCACCTTAAAATATACTTTTGAGCACCTAGAGGCTCTCATATATTTCCATCACATGGCTAACTACAAAATCTGTCCTGCTGATACTGCCTGCCAATGGCATGGGTAAAGAGAACCTGTAACCTGTTTTGGTTGTATTATGAACATCCCTTCTTAACCATCCGATCCTGGACTGGGACTTGGAATGAAGAGCTTTTGGCTCAGAGACAAGAAAATTACACAATGCGCAACAAGACCTTAAGAATCAAAAACAGGAATTGCTGGAAAAGCTCAGCAAGTCTGGCAGCATCTGTGGAGAGAAATCGGAGTTAACATTTCGCATCGAATGACCCTTCCTCAGAATTCAGGGTTCTGAGGAAGGGTCACTCGACCTAAAATGTTAATTCTGATTTCTCACCGCAGATGCTGCCAGATTAGCTGAGCTTTCTCAGCAATTCCTGTTTTTGTTTCTGATTTACGTCATCCACAGTTCTTTCGGTTTTTATTTAAGACCTTGAGAATGTTATATGCTTCAATTCTTCTAAACTCCAGAGAACAGAAGTTTATTCTACTTACCTTTACTCATTGATTCCTTGGATGGGAGGAATAATGTAATTATTGAACAATTCAGGACAACGTTTAAGCCATTTTTTATTTCATACATACCTATATAGGTCTTTAGACACTTGTGACACAGTGGTCGTTTCCCTACAAGCCAGGAGGCACAAGTTCAAGCCCCACCTACCCAGATGTATGTCATACCAAACTGGTTGATTCAAAATTACTATAGCCAGGACTTCGGTGTATGTGTAACCTGAATATTTGTATACCAGTAAATATGGCCGCACATAAAGCATTTCTCTGTAACAATCTTTATAGAGTCAAGGAGTCATACAGTACAGAAACAGACCCTTTGGTCCAACCAGTCCATGGCAAACATAATTCCAAGCTAAACTAGTCTCGCCTGCCTGCTCCTGGTCCATATCCCTCCAAACTTTTCCTATTCGTGTACCTATCCAAATATCTTTTAAACATTGTAATTATGCCCCCATCCACCACTTCCTCAGGAAGTTCATTCCACATGAAAACCACCCTCAGTGTAAAACAATTTGCATCTCATGTCTTTTTTTTTTTAAGAAATCTCTCTCCTCTCACCTTTAAAAGCATGCCCCGTAGTCTTGAAATCCCCTATCCCAGGGAAAAGGCAACTACCACTAACTATCTATACCTCTCATTACTGTATAAACTTCTATCAAGTTGCCCCTCAACCTCCTACACTCCTGTGGAAAAAGTCACAGCCTATCCAGCCTTCCTTTTATAATTGAAACCTTCCATACCTGGCAACATCCTGGTAAATCTCTTCTGAAACCTCTCTAGCTTAATAATATCCTTCCTATCAGAACTGGACACAGTACTCCAGAAAAGGCCTCACCAATGTCCTGTACAACCAAAACGTGACTTCCCAACTCCTACACTCAAAGGACTGAGTAATGAAGGCACGTGTGCCAAACACCCTTTAAAGCCATCCAGTCTACAGGTGACGCAAACTTCAAAGAATTATGTACCTGCCCCGCTAGGACCCTCTGCTCTACAACACTGTAATTTACTTTGAATTATCTGAATGACTCCTTTCCTAATTGTCTGTTCCATATCCTTTCTGTTTCAAAACTAAAGGCTTTGTGTTTTTCTCAAAGACCAGGTTATAAATAATGAATCTGGATTCACAGTAAGAAATAAGAAATATCAATTGCTTCTGCACTTTCTCTTTTTTTTTTGCATATGAATTACCATGGACATTTGATCTAAATTAAAGTTGTTATATACACACGGATGTTGCTAATATCCCAGATAATTTAAAGGGGTATACAAGGTACTGAAAAAGTACTTATTTTCAGGCAGTTAGACATATTTTTCAGAGAGGTAAGTTGAAATTTGGCAGCAGACCACTGGAGTATTTAACTACCATCTATTGGAGTTCCATAACATTTGTAATTGAAAGTTTGCATGTTTCTGTTTCTGTTGGATGTGATTTATACAATAATATTTGAAATGCTGCAGTACTTATTTTTTGTTTCCCTTTTTCAGGTGGCAAGCTATGCAGTTGATGTGTCATGGATATTTGATACTCATATAAAAGAGAAGTGGTCATGGGTTGTTGATACAGTTCAAAAAGTTGATGGGCCAGTTACCTTACCTAGTATGTATATTATGTATTCAAACATGAGGTCATATCAATACAAAAGATGTTCCACAATATTTTTAATTGTCAATCAGGTCTTTGACACAGGACGAAATTACGTTCAGTTTGTATCAGTGTTGCCTAGTCAGCAAAGGCTTATTTAATTAAAATTTTCAATGTAATGATGTTTCTAATTTATATGGAGTAATGGGAAGACAGTGAGACAGTCTGGGCCGCTTGCTCTTTTGATTGAATACATTGCTGAGCCTTTTAATTAGATGAGATTATGTTAACACACTTATTATTTATAATTTATTTTTATTGTACAGTTTCCAATTTAACTGCTGGTACAAATTATGAGATTTCCACTTGGGCTAAAACTGATGCTGGTGATAGCCCGATCTCTTTTGTACGTATTAAAACGAAAGGAACCAGTCCAGCTCCTCCGAAACTTAATGCAGTTCCAGTCAATCAGACTGCTGTGGAGTGCACTTGGAATGGCCCAAAGAATGTGGTAAGTGTGTTGTGCTATTCTAGGGTTCAGATCTTGTAGACACATTTGTCAGTGTTTTTGTTGACCTTTCAAGAATATACGCATTGTTACTGGAGAAACCTCATAAAATGCCCTTTCTCATGATCCTCTGAAATCATAAAGTCTTTTTGATAACTTTTTAAAAGATTAAAGTTTTATAATCTTGTTGCACCAGAAATAGTGTTCCAGGTGTTGCCAAGTTCATCAAAGTGGTCATTCCACATTTGACCCTGGATAATCAGTATTAGCAGATGTTTTAGAGCATAAAGTTGATGTGGTTATATTGAATCCTGTGCTCACTGACTACATTGGCTCCTGCTTAAGCAATGCCTCAAATTCTCATCTTCATTTTCAAGTATCTCCATTGACTTGTCCCTCTAAGCTTCTCTTGCCCTGCAACCCTCAAATCTATCTATGCTTAACTCAACTTGGCCTCTTGAACATGCCTGATTTCACTTGTTCTGTTCATGACTGTGCCTTCAGCTACCTAGACCGTTAGCTCTGGGATTCCCTCCCTTACAACACAGCCCAGATCTTTCTTCCATTATCTCTTCGAACTAACTTTTGAATACCAAACCTAATATAACGTTATGTGGCTCAGTGACAAATGCTGTTCTGTAGCGCTTCTATGAAGTGGTTTTGGGCATGTATGGAAGGTGCTATATAAATGTGCTGTTGTTGGACTGTACTGCAATCAGCTAACTGTGCAAACAGGAAATTAAGTCAAGGTTTTCTGGTCTGTATGACCTGATGGGGCCTTCGGGCATTATGCCAGAGGCCATCATGTGTCACAGTTGAGGAAATGAAATTCTTTTTACATATGGTAAATATTGATACATGCTAAGATTGAAGAAATTATAAATAATTTTAACTATTATTTAAATTGCCCTTCTTAATGCTGCCTTTGCTAAACTACATTAATTGTTTGCAGACTATCGTACTAAAATGAAACCTATTGCAGCAGTAATTAATTAGGATGTTTATTATTTTAGTCACAGGTACAATTAGAATAGCAGTCACTGCTTAAGATGTTTGTTTTTACTTTGATATCCTTGTGTCCTCCGTGCAACTTTCGAGTAAATCTTGGATTGTTTAACAATTACTTATCCAGAATTTTCTCAACAGTAAATGTCTTCTTTCCTCAACAGGTTTATGGAGTTTTCTTTGCTACGTCATTCTTGGAGTTGTACCGAAATCCAAAAAATGTCACATCAAGCATTAATAACCTAACGGTGACTGTGAGCAGTGATGAGCAGTATCTGTTTTTGGTAGATATCTTTTTCATTGCGTTGGTTTCATTTGTAATATATTTCAGAAAAACTGGTGTTATATGAAATATCTATGTAGAAATCAGATAAAACGGACTCTTGATTTGAGAGTTCTGGATCAATCTCTGCTATGCTTATCCTGTGGTCTCTCAAATTGGATTAGATTCTTTTAAATCCACGAAATTTAAAAGACAGATTAGCAATGATGGTAAACAAGTTATACCTGCCAAGTGAAGCTGGTGGAAAGACCACAAGAAATATGCTTTCTGCCTTCTGGCGATCTGCAGATGTCAGATGTGGCCACAACATCAGTTCATCGGTTCTTGAAACTGGGCAGTAAAATTCAAAAATTATGAGAAGAGATGTACGTGGTGGCTGGCAGCAAACAGCAGTCATTTTGTGGAGCTACAAGGAAAGCTGTCTTTATATCTGAATCTCATGTTTCTGGTGATCCAGTGATCTCACTGGGTACTGTCAAACACCTGAAATTACTGACCATGTGCAGTGCATAGTGCAACCAATCACGGATAGATTTTATAAAGACAGCCTGAAGGAGGCTTCCCTGGTTTTTATCCATGCAGCAAGCCTAATGTCCTTTTCAAACGCAAGCTATGGATGTCAATGCAGTTGCTTTTACCAGTGGCACATGTCGCAAACTAAATTAGGAACATAGCCACTGGACTTACCTCCAAATCATGCTTTATCAAGGTGCTGGTGTTGGACTGGGGTGGACAAAATCAGAAGTCGCTGCTCTTTGTTAGGTGAAAGAAACAGTGCTCTGAAAGCTTGTGATTTCATATAAACCTGTAAACTGGTGTCGTGTGACTTCTGACTAATGAAGCAGGCATTGCACCATCGGACTTTTGGCTGAGTTTAATCAATACGTTTGAAGATGTTGTGAGAGAGGCAGTTTGTGCCCAAATTAATGCCACAATTCAGTACCTATTGAAATTAGGTTTTCTATTTTATTCTCCTGATGATTACTTTGATGCAAAAACATTGATCTGAATTGTGTATGAAATGTAAAATGTTTGAAATGTAAAACTTTGACTAAGCTCACTTCTTTTTTCATCAAGGTTCGTGTTGTCATCCCATATTTTGGACCACCCTCTGAATACATTGTTGTTAAAATGATTCCTGATAACCGACTGCCACCTCGCCACTTGCATGTCGTGAAAGAGGACAAGACATTTGCCGTACTGAAGTGGCAACCTCCATATGACCTGCTGACTGAACGTTTAGTGAGTACCTTCACATGGGTAAAATTAGGAAGTTTTTATTTACTTTACAATTGCCTCTGTTCTGTGCCCTTTCCACCTAGAAACTGTAGCCTTTGTATAAAGCTGAGGGACAGGAGAGAAAAACGCTCAGGGATCCCATGTTTCTTTCCAAAATAACTTCAGATATTTTACTTCCACTAACTGTTTTATTGGCAAATTCTAAACATTTTTCACATATTTATATTCTCTAAGGAATATTGGGCTTCTTAAAAATACTCTATTTGATAAAAGCCCAGAAGTGTGCATGATTGGGTAGAATTTGAAGTTTAAATGTTTTTGAAAACCACGAGAATTGTTGGCTTTGCTGTGCTAAACTGCTGCTAGCATGCAGTAGGTAATTGAGCAAATTGTGATTTGAGACTACTTTGCATACCAATACAGATATTTATTAAAATCTATTAGTAGTGGCATTTTAATGTTGCCCAAGAGGAATGAGTGGTTCCTGGCTCTATTTGCAGCCACCCCTGCCAGCAGGCTACTACTTCCCTAGAACAGGAGCTGCCTTCATTCTGTGATATTGTAAATGCCATGTGGATATCCAGCTATGGAAACTGAGTCTCTTTAAACACTTGTGTTTTTTGAAACCTAGTTTCTCACTAGGTTAATAACTAAATCACAAGTGTAGTTTACTGATCATATTTGTTTACTTTACCCAGACCTATGCAGTTTTTGTGAAAGATACTATCCGTAAAAGTGAGAAGAATTACAAAGTGAGCTCAATGAACAACACGGTAGAATATATAGTGAAGCAACTGGAACCAGGTGGAAAATACAGTGTTGTCATCAGACTGCTTAACATGAGCAAGGAAGCAAGTGTCCCTTTAAACCCAGGTAAGATCAATTGTGGGACCTCTGATTTGACAAAAAATTATTTTAAGGACGGACAATATACTCCCAAGCAAAATGATTGCTATTGAATATTTGTAGGCAATCAAATATCCTATATGTACCAGTAAAATTTAGTGTAAACTTGATAGAAATTGCACTTCTACAGTCGACGCCTTTATATTTTAAAATAGGTCACGTACAATAATTTACTTGAGTGTAGTGTAGTGTAGTCCCTGTTATGAGACAGACAAACTTGGAAGCTTCTTTGAATATCATACGATCTCACACCTTCTCTCTCAACAACACTGATAGTCAGTTAATAAATCAGCGATGCTTTTGGCTGAAGGAAAATGTTGACTAGGATGCTGGGAGAATTCTCCCAGATAAGTCCACAAGCTCTTTACCATCCACCTCAGCCATCAGGTCGAACAGATGAGAATTGTTCTAAAAGACAGCAGAAAATGCAGACGTATTGTAGTGGTAGTATCTTTGTGCTGAGATCTTGGACCGGAATGTGCATTCTCAAGTCTCTGAAGTAGAACTTTGAGGACAGAGCTAAACCAGCAGATGGCTGGTTGATAAGTGTTCACGGTATTACATGTTTTGTACACATCACAAATTCCAATGTTAACAAAGCCTGGTGCCATCTGGCGGTAGGAATTGTATTTGTGCAGCTAAAGTGAATTAACTGTATGTCAACATTAACTACAAGGGTTAGCTTGTGTTCTACTGTTTAAAAGCTGAAAGGTTTAAAACAGTGCACAAGCATACTTTCAAGCACTTTGCTGAAGTAGCAAGTCATCAAGTCATACAGCATGGAAATAGTCCCTTTGGTCCAACTAGTCCTTGCCGACCATGTTTCCAAACTAAACTAGTCCCGCTGGTCTGTGTTTGGCCCATATTCCTCCCAAACCTTTACTATTCATGTACTTTTCCAAATGCCTTTTAAATGTTGTAACTGTATCTTCATCTATCACTTTCTCTGGTAGTTCATTCCATGCACTAACCACTTTTTTTTTGTGCAAATAAAAAGTTGCATCTCATTTTTTTAAAAAAAATCTTTCTCCTCTCCCCTTAAATCTATGCCCCCTAGTTTTGAACTCCCCTACTCTAAAGAAAAGACCCGTGCTATTCACCTTATCTGTGCCCCTCATGATTTTATAAACCTTTATAAGATCACCCCTCAACTTCCTACATTCCAGTGGAAAAAATCCCAGTCTATCCAGCCTATTTTTTTTTAAAATATGAAACCCTCCATTCCCAGCAACATCCTGGTGAATCTTTTCTGAACCCACTCCAATTTAATAATATCCTTCCTATAGCAGGGCAACCAGACTCATACACAGTACTCTAGATGGGGGCCTCACTAACGTCCTTTACAACCTCAATATGACAACTTCTATACTCGAAGGTCTGAGCAATAAAGGCAAGTGTGCTAAACATCTTAACCATCCTGTCTGCGTAACTCCATCAGTCACTCCTCAGCCCTTTGACCCAATTGATCAAGATTTCTTTGTATTCTTAGATAACCTCCTTCATTGTCCATTACACCACCAATTTTGGTATCATCCACAAACTTACTAATCATGCCTCCTGTATTCTCATCCAAATCATTTATATAATTGACAAACAAAAGCAGGCCCAGTACCAATCCTGGTGGCACATCGCTGGTCACAGGCCTCCAGTCCGAAAAACAACCCTCTACCACCACCCTTTGTCTCCTACTGTCAAGCCAATTTTGTATCCAATTGGTAAGCACACCATGTGATCTAACTTTACTAATTAGTCTACCATGTGGAACCTTGTCAAAGGCTTTAATAAAGTCCATGTAAACAACATCTACCGCTCTGCCCTCAATCTTTTTGGTGACTTCCTCAAAAAACTCAATCAAGCTGACTATCCCTCATCAGTCCTTGCCTCTGCAAATGCATGTAAATCCCATCTTTCAGAATCACCTCCAACAACTTATCCTCCACCGATGTCAGGCTCACAGGTCTGTAGTTTTCCAGGTGTATCCTTACAGCCTTTCTTAAATAAAGGCATAACATTGACCACCCTCCAGTCCTGTGACACCTCACCCATGGTTATAGATGATACAAATATTTCTGCTAGTAGAATAGCAGAGTTGAATGCTAACAAATGGGAGCTGTAATGAACACACTGGGGTTCAGGTTCAGGTTCAGTCTTTTATTTGCTATGTGCTATGCAGTGTTGCCATAGTGGTTGTTATATAGAAGCCAAAGTTTTTTGCATAGTAGAATGTATTCTTTGCCAATACAAAAAAATGAACATTTTTAACTGCTTTAGAGTAATGTTAATGGAGTCCAGGGAACTAATGATTCACCTTCTTGTGTGGGTAAATGTTGAGGATGGGAAGAATGTTTCTTTTAAAATGCATTGTAGAGGGTAAGATGGCAGTTTATATTTTCACCTGAGTAAAGCATGGCAGTAGATAATGTTTTAATTTGGTACTTGGATAAAGATCTGAATTTTTACAAATCCTTAAAATGATATTTTGCTATTCCATATATTTCATCTTGTACTATTGTAACATTTTTTAAGCATCAACAGTGAATAGTCTGGGTGGTTTGCTCTCCCCCCCCATTTCCTTTTCTGTTTAGCATCAGATGCAATACATGCATTCTGCAGATATATATTATGTTTTAGTGAATACAGTTAATATTTTGATGGTTTCAAAATAGTCCTGGGTATAAATCACAATGAGATCCAATTTCTAACTAAATTAAATTTCTTGACAGGTACCTCCAAACTATCCTACATTCTTTGAATTTAATTCCATTCATGATGAACTCCATAGAAAATGCTGAAGTTTTGCTCCCTCACTTTACAGTGTTACCCTTGTGTGCTTTGAAAGCAAAGAACGTCTTGATTCTCAGAGGGTTAATTACATGTATGCGTGCAAAAACAGACTAAACCATTGACCACCTTCAACCCTACTGATCCCACAAAATTCTTGCTAATGTTTAGGCTCTGCCAAATTACTTCAAAATGCATCAGTGCATAGCTGAATTTTCCTCCTGTTTATGTGCCGCAGGAATGGTGACAATGACCCAAAGAAATTGACCAAGATCATTGCTCAGGGGCCAGACATGCTTGAAAAATGTATCAGGAATGCACTGAACAATGAGTTCTGTCTGTTGGGAGGGATGCAGGAGGCAGCTGGTGGTATTCTGGTATTTTGATAGCTTGAATAACTCATTGTGTCCATATTTTTATTTTGTGTTCTCTTTACGGCAGTTCCTCTGTCAGCACCAGAGTCACTGAAAATCTTACCAGAGAAAGACCACATCCTGCTGTTCTGGAAAAGCCTCAAATTAAAAGAAAAGAACTTTAAAGACAGCAGGGTGAGTATAAAATATGATCAAACATTGCTGCTATTTATTTTGAGCTAATTCCATTTTTACTTGAATTCGAATCATGGAATCATGGAATTTTACAGTACAGAAGGAGGCCATACAACCCATTATGTCTTTATCGGCTCCCAAAAGAGCTACTATGCTAGTCCCATTCTTCAGTTCAACCTCCACAGCCCTCTAAATTCATCACTTTCAAATATATGGCCAGCTCTTTTATTTTTTTTTTTTTTTTTATTTTTTTTTTTGGGAACATCCTATGGAATCTGCCTTTACTCAAAATTTCAAATGCCTGGGAGAGGAGTAAAGAAGTTTCTCCCCACCTCACTCCTAGCTGGCAGTCTTGAAATTGTGACCCCTAGTTACTGACATATCAATAGTGAAAACAGAATATTCTCCTTTTACCCTATCAGAATTATTCAGAATTTTGAACCCCTCGCTAAGGTTACTTCTTACTCTTCTCTGCTCCAAGGAGAATAAGCATAATTTCTTTAATCTTTCCTTGCATCTGAAATCCCTCAATCCTGGTATCAGTCCAGTAAATCTCCTTTGCATTCTCTCCAGGGTTTTAACATCTTTCGTTAAATAAGATGCCCAGAATGAATGTAGTACTCCAAATGTGGTCTGACCAATGATTTGCAGAGATGTAGCATCACTTCCTGGTTCAGAAAAATAAGCCAAGTATTCATGGTCACGATAGTAGTTTATTCTGGAGTGCTTCAAAAATTTTTTTATAATATTTTTGCACTTTTTCACTCTCAAATTGATTTGATTTAACATCTGCTTTGATGATTGAATTTTCCAGGGATACAAAGCAGTTGTGTTTAGGGATGTTCCACTAGTGATAATTCTATGTAATGCAGTTATGATTAGCTACTGCCTCAATAAAAGTACCCCATTAAATCCTACATTAGTGTAACTAGAGAGAGTGACTGGTGCGGTGAGTTTGCCTTATTATCTTCTGGAATGTGTTAAGGTTTGGCCTTTACAAACTTAATGGTAAAACTTTAGTTGCAGCCTGACTTTTGAGACAGCGTGAATTATTGTTCTCTTGTGCCTGATTGTTGCATGAAAGAAACTTCTTACTCCAATAAAATACCTGTTTCTTTGATGCTCTGTTCCCTAATAGATTAATACATAATAAGGATAATCAGTTGTTGAATCTGTTGCTTCAAACTATGTTATGACAGGGAATGGCCAAACCCCTCCGATAATTAAACTAAAACTCCAGCCCCAATCTGTTCTGACAGGTGTAGGGGTTCCCCTCTAATAATTACCCTCTAAACACCCAGAGAAGCTCATCTTTCCCCTCATAATCTATTAAAAGAGGGGTTAAAAGAAAGAAAATCCTTGATCTCCACTTTGTGAGTAACAAGAAACAAAATTTTATTTATTTAACCCAACAATGAACAAATTAACAAAATTACTAACAAACTGACAATTCCCCCCTAGACTACTGATTACTCCCTAATTGGTCTAAATTCTACTGGAATGCTGTTTAAATAAAGACAAGTCCCACTAACATAAACCCAATTAATAAAAAGCAATAAATTATAACTTAATCACTTCAAGCTTACACAGACTGTGTCTTCTGGAGTAATCTGTCATCTCTGCTCTTTTCACAAACCCCTTTCTTGCATTAATTCTGCTGTCCAGGATGTTTTATCTCGATAATTTCTTCAATTAGGACTTTGAGCTAAAATACCGTGGTACCTTTGATTAATTAGATGGGTTTTCTCTGAGAGCTGAATGGTGCTAACTGTGGCAGGTAGCATTTGACTCTCCCCAATTTTCCAAATGCTCTTGCCCTTATATATCCATAATTGATTTCTTATAACATGATTGGTTTCAGGTTGTCAACACCATCAGAATTAAATTCAATTGGCTTTCTGTTTCTAGGTGCTTTGTTTAAATTAATTGGCCAAATTCAAACTCGTTGGCACAACATCACAACAAGACTGCTGTTTTGTTTGCCACCTGTAAGGGTTTTTATTTGATACACTTGTTTCACTTTTTGAGGCTCTTTGTACTGGCAACTTCAGCTGTTGCTCACAGACATACGTTTTTAGAAAAATTTCTAAGTACAGGCAAAGCACAAATCTCTTGAAGGAACCACATGTTTTGGCTTCCTGCTTTCTACCTCAAAATTACTCTACCCAACTTCATAACACCTATTATTAGCTAGTTAAAATGCTTCAACACTTGCCAACAGCTTACAAGCCCGAGCTGTTCTGAAGCCAGCCACTGGAGATTGCGAGAACATCCAGAGGTGAGGGCTCCTTTCCTGCTCTCTTTTTTGAAGTTACATCTGTCCATTGTTCCCCATTGCCGGTACCAAGATGTCGTATTACTGAAGGATGCAGAAGGACTATTGGGAAACAGCATGTTGATTTCAATGTACTGTACCTTGAATTGCTGATGAGGTAGCTGAAGAAATAATGCAAATTTTCCGTGAGAAGGAAAATGTCTGATAACCGTTTGCCCTGGACAATTTTCACATCTGTCAACAAACTTCCTGTATGATGTTATCAGTGCCTCAATGCCATTGAATTTTCAATCCTCCTTATGTATGAAAAAAAACATAAATGTGCTGATGCTACACCTCTGCTCAAGGACAGTCAGCATAGATTTGCAAATAACATCTAAAAAATATATTTGAGTATCTGTGGAAATAAGAATTTATGGATATGGGAAATGTAATGGATTTCTTAAATGGCATTTAATAAAGTCTATATAGTTGTTTGTTGGTTGCATCATGGCACAACATGCTAAAAGCCAGGTAACTGTTTGGGTGAAAATTGGATATAGGACACAGATTTTAATAATGATTTAATGACTGCTTCTGAAAATATTTCCTATTAAATGCAGTGCATGAAGTGGTTAAAATTTGAAAAAGGAATATTTAAAGTATGTGAAACGAGAAAAAAGGAATCAATAAAGTGGATAACCCTTTCAGATTGGCTGCAATTTATGCTAATAAGATTTCATGGAAATCATTCGCCATAAGGAGAATAAAGTTTTTTTAAACGCAGGGTAAAAGACGGATGTACTGTTAGGGAATGACATTGCCTTGCAGCGCTTAATAATTAAAAAAAAATGAAATTTACTTTTGTGTCCTAAACACAATTCAAAAATATTTCCAGATTGGAGCATCTTTTTGCACCTATTGAATCTCTGACTCGAACTTCTTTTTAAACGTGATCACCTTGATTCTGCTCCCTTTTGTTTGCTCTTCTTTGCGTCATTTGAAGTCTGATTTCACTATTTTAATGATACTAATACTACAGCCTAGGCATAGTGTTGCAAGGAGGAGCTTCCAGTAAGTCAATGATAATAAATTTGAATCTGAAGCCTTTTTCAACAACAAATTTTTCTGTTATCATCTTTCTTCAAATTCTCAGTGTTGGTATTTTCATTTTTGCCTATATTTTGTATTAGCGTAACAGTCCTAGGTCAATATTTTCCACTGAAAAGTTGCATTCATCTGCAGTGATACTTGTCTGTTTGTAAGCAACACATTTTGAGATCCCTCACCCTTTAAATCCGAGTGCCATTTATTTTAATGGACCTGTGATCTGTCTCACTCTCTTAGCTATAAATCTTACTCCTAACGTTCCCCAGTGTTAACTGCTCTGCATGAATCAGTGAATTACATATAGAATAGGATGAGTCAGTGCTTGCATCCATGTTGCAAAATAACCATTCTCTAGAGGGCATTTCTTCTTTACGATGATTGAATGGAATTCAGCACACTTAATTACTCTTGTAAACAGTAATATGCTGGATGAGTAAATAAAAGCTTTGTAAGGAAGTGTTTCTGGTTTATAGCTCCCATGAGGTCATTCAGGATATTTTATATTTTGGAAGATTTAATGAGTTTCCAAAATAGATGATCTTTCGAAGGGCTGCTTCTCCCTGCTTTCATTGATGCTAATGCAGTGAAAGAGTGTGAGGTGTGTATAACAGCTAATTGAGGAATCTACTGTTCCTCTACCTGTTGACTGGTGATCATTTTAAAAGGGTTAAATCTGGCACGGGAACTGTATAGAGATTCATGAATGATCTGTTTTTCAGTTACTGAGAAATTTACCCAAAACTTTTTTTCTCAGTAAGAGAAGAGGAGAAAAAAGGTATAAATTTAAAATAAGTCTGTTTTCTCAAACCCACGAAAGCTGTTTAGTTGATTAGCCCAGGGCAGAGAATAAAAACTGTTGGAATGTCAGTTTTGCATCTGTTTTTTGCTTTTTTGTTGATTCCCAGTTTGATTTATCTTTTCCGAAGTACCTGAAATATTATCATAGGCACTTTTTAGTTTGCCTGCATCTGGATAGTAACTGTTTTCTAATTTATAGAAAGAGTGACCAATCCTACATTTTCTCTTATAATCTGTTCTGGGACAATCAGCAAGTGAGCTATTGAATATTGTTGCAAAACAACATCTGTATTGGCACTGATCTAATCTGCATTTTAAAATATTTTGCTCGCAATTTATTTGGGTTGTATCACTGCGTATGTGTGAGTGAAGTAATGTATGTGCATCTAATGTAGTTAAATTGGCTATATTTGTTTGATTTCTCAATGTTTCTATTTTTATGAAAAAAACCACAGGAATGGCTAAAATTGGTGCTCAAGAATGGAGTTTCATCACAAGTGTGTTTTGAATGAATCTGGCTGAAGGTTAAAATCTCTGTTCTAAATCTGAGCTTTTTTGTGTTAGGGTCAGATTTTCTATATAGGGAACAGAAAAGAGCCTTTTTTTGTTCTGTTTCCTACCTATACTATTATATAGTATTTTGAAAGGTGTTTGCCTTGGGTCACAAAGCACTAAATTTTACTTGCAGTGATTTTTGTCTACTCCTGTTTTAACATTTTTGGTAGCCTGCTGAAATTTAAGAAAGCTTTCACTTCTGCTCTTTGGGTAGGAAGACAGAGGGAAAACTTTTGATTTTCTCCCTCTGATCCATTGCCGTGTGAACTGCAAAATCTCTTGAAGGATGGTACCAAGAAAATTGGAGAGGAAATACATAACTTAATACCTTGTCCTTTGTTTGACCTCCAGGGATATGAAATCCACATGTTTGATCATGCGACTAATACAACGGTATGCCTTGGGAATACAACAGATAACATCTTCGAGATTTCTGATCTGAAGCCTGGCCACAACTATACATTCACAGTGCAAGCCAGATGCTTGTACAATGGACAGATTTGTGGTGAACCTGCTTCCCTGCTGTACGATGAACTTGGAAACGGTGAGGCCATGAAAATTTGATAACTTAAACCACTGAACACAAGTACACAGCATCAAAACTAATTCTCAGTTAGCCTATAAGGCAAGAGTCTAATATGCATTTAAAATAATACTTGGCTATGGTGCTGTATTTTCCTACACCCAGCCAAGTATGCATTAGATACTTGAGGGTTTCACAGTATTTGCTTTGTTCTTGTACCAGCACGTTTAATTGTTATTCCTGTATAGAAGTTTTACTTACATGCTGTGTGTTTGTGCCCTTTAACACATTTAGCCCTGGATTTCATTTTGCTCTAAATAAGTGTCCTTTAGACCTTTCCTGTACTATTCTAAATCATAAAATCATGAAGGAAATGTCCTGGCTTTAGAGTATCTTTTAGTTACTAGCTTTATTCTTAAGGGGGATTCTTAAAGGAGTGAAATTTAGTTTTTATTTTTCATGTTACCATTCTGGTCATTTTAGAATTTATTTTAATGTGTACTTTCTAAAAACAAGTTGCTTCATTTCTGTCCACTGAAAAGCACAAATGCTGAGCAACAATGTACTGAACCTTGAGAGAGAGCGGTAACAAAATATTTTCCTTTACCAGCAAATGTTTGTAAAGCTGTATGTTGCTGATTAGAATTTTAGCCCTAGTAGAGGTTTTCAATTTTACCTGCTTTGTTTATCTTAAATGGTAATTTCCATTTTAGTTTAGACTTCAGGAATTTTCATTGTATTTTTGTCAGCAAATTAAAAATGACAAAAGTTTTACTCAACTACTTTACACACTGCTTTGATCCTAGATATTTTTGGATCATAATCTAAATGTTCTGTTTTAAATCTATCAGCATTTGTCAGGATTTCCACACTGAGCTGCTCTCCTCCACCCCCTCCCCCACCAGTCAACCACTCATTTTTAGTTTAGCTTTATCACAGTTCACACATCTATCTTGAACTACTGACAGAAATGCACACCTCAAATCTTAGTTAAAGTGAAGTCTTTCCAATGTAATTGTGTAACTCATTACTTGTTCTAACTTCAACCAGGATCTGTTAAATCTTGCTGGCAAATTAATGTATCATATTTGATTAAGCGGACAGATTCATTGCATTTACTTGGGCTAGTTTCTACAAAATTGCTTAATGATGGATCTACATACTCCATTTCTTATCTGGGAAAGCTTTGCAATTGCTACATCCTAAAATTCACTTCACATTTTGTACATTATTTATACCTTTGTAATTTGTTGCTGTATCTGTCTAAAACCACACCCCATTAAAGAGAACAGTAAAGATCAAGATCCAATTGTTAACTGTAAGCAGTTTCCATAGGTTTAAATAGTTCTACTCGGTGCTTCTGTGATGCAGTTTTCTAAATTATACAGCGCAGAGTTTCCAACATACAGTAACTGTTGGAGTTTCCTTATAATAGAAGTCAGTTTTTGTATCTGCATGGGAGCTTGGATCACCCTGGTTATTAAGCCTTTGCCCTCATTGAGTGAAGGCAGTGCCCTTGGGAAGCTATGCAAACAGGATGTATGTCACATAGCAGGTTGCTCAGTGACCTGGGTGGATATTAGAACTGTCCTCTGGCTCATCTAGAGTTGACATTATTTTCAGTGATGCCACTCAATGTGTGGCCATGTTGCCTTCATTCAGTTGTCTAAGATGGTCGACAATGTCAGGATTTCCACACAACAGTGTGATTTAAAGCAAATGGCTAGTGGTTTTGAGCTACAGAGTTGAACTGTCAAGCCACGAGAATTGTTCACTATCTGATAATCTCTGATTTGAGTCTGCTGATTATGTGTTATGCATTTCTGATTTTCATTTCTTTGTGATTTAAGAATAACTTATTAGATTGTCGACTACACAAAACTAGAAAATGACTCCCAACTTTATGCAATAACCATGGGACAAGAATATAAGTATAATTAGGAGACAGCATATGGGAGAAGTTTTTAGGCCACAATTTAAAAATTTTAAATGCCTCTTGGTGTTAGTCTGCATTTGCTTAATAGACTTAATTTTTGTTATTAAAAAATTTTTTTTAAAAAAAATCAAAATCAGGAAACGTGGAAGAACTATTGATTTAACAGTTTGGATAATATGAAGGTAAAAGAGAAGCTCACATCTTCAGTATCACCCATTTTTAGAATGCCAATTTTGATGCAAAGTCCCAGTCGGTAAATAACTTGTCTTTTACTTTCAGCTGTTGACTGACCTGATGTTTGTTTGTTGAACTTAATGTTTTACGTGTACTCTATATTTTGACTTTCGATTGGGGTCACGTTACTGACTGATTTTAAAAATAAGCTGAAGTTCTTTCCAGGTGAATCTCTAAATTGGAATACCGTTTATGACATTTAGTATTTTATTTTATTCTTTCTTTCCAAATTACAGATCCTTCAGCTTCCAAAAATCCCAAATCCACAGATGTAGCAGCCATTGTGGTACCAGTAATGTTCCTGCTTCTGGTGATGTTAGGTGTTGGATTTATTGTGTTATATGTTCGTCATCGAAGGCTCCAGAACAGTTTCACAGCTTTTGCCAATAGTCACTATAATTCTCGACTAGGATCGGCTGTGTTTTCTTCAGGTGATGAGCTAGGTAAGGATTTTGTCAGTTTAAACTAAGAGATTACATGCATAAAACAGCCTTATCGTGGCTATGCATAACAGTCAGTTGATACAGGCTCTTTGGTAAAGTGTTCCACGTTTTGGAAATCGGTTCCAATGAGCCGAACTTCTGTCTTGAGGCTTATAACGTACTTTGGGTTCTTGAAAATCTGGAAGTTACTGTTGTTTTTTGTTTCTTTTTTTTTGTGTGTGTCTCGGTTCAATATTAGCATTTTTGGTTCCGTGTGCTGTGGGTTCCATCTCTACTCCTGGGGATGCACAAAATCTGTTTGGAGGTTCCTTCCAGCACTGAGCCAATACTGCTGTGTCAGTGGTGCTTCGAGATGTTAAAACTGAGATTAGCATAAAACATTGCAAAAGAATATTCAAAGGTTTTGGCAGACTTGCTGGCAGAATCCTTGGATTCTATGCAATATCACTCATTTTGACAACAGTAACATAGAACTTTTCCAGTTTAGGTTCTTGGTTGACTTAAAAGTTAAGAAGTCAGAATGTCTGTGCCTTGAGGTGGTAGCGAACAAAAGTTCATTTGGATTCCTGACTTTGATTTTCCCATGAATAGACAAGGCCTGTATACTATCCAGTTTAGAAGAATGAGAGAGGGTTCCATTGAAACATAAGATTCTGCAAGGGTTAAACATATTGGTTGCTGAAAGACTGATTTCTTTGGTTATAAATGCTAGAGAGAAGGGTTGTAAACTTGGGGTTGAATGGATGCTCATTTAAAACTGAGATGAAGGAGAACTTTGCTTTGAATGCTAAGTTTTTTTTTTTTAAATTTTCTCATAGAATGTGAAGTGTCACTCACCATCCTGACTTGGAAATATATCACCATTCCTTTTACTGTGGTTGGGTCACAATCCTGGAACTCCCTCCCTAATGGCATTGTGGGTCTACCTGCAGGACATGCACTGCAGTGGTTCAAGAAGGCAGCTCACCACTACCTTCCCAAGGGCAACTATGGATGGGCAATAAATGTTGGCCCAGCCAATGATGCCCACATCCCATGAGTGAATTTTAAAAAAGTTAGCAAGGCTAGCATTTGCTGCTGATCCTTAACTGCCCCTGAGAAAGTAGTGGTGAGCCACCTTCTTGAACCGCTACTGACCGATTTTAGTGTAGGTACAATCACAATGCTGTTAGAGGATTACAACAACTAATAACGGAAGAATAATATAGTGACAAATAGAACAGAGCATGACTGATATACAGCTGAGTATATTCAAGGCTGAGCTTGATGATTTTTGAATACTAATAGAATGGTGTGATGCAGAAATCAGGCATTGAGTTAGAATTGAGGATAAAAGATCAACAATGAAGTTATTAAATGGTCGAGAAGGTGTGTGGTATCCTATAGTCTACTCTTCTTCATAGAATCATTTGATTCCCTACAGTGGGAAGCCGACCGTTTGGCCCATCAAGTTCACACTGATGCTCTGATGAGTAAACCACCCACACCCACCCCCACTACCCTATCCTTGTAACTCTGTATTTCACATGCCTAACCGACTTAGCCTGCACATCCCTGGACACTATGGGCAATTTCCCATGGCCAATCCACCCTAACCTGCACATCTTTGGATTGTGGGAGGAAACCAGAGCAAACCCTTGCAGGCACTGGGAGAGTGTGCAAACTCCACACAGACAGTTGTCTGAGGCTGGAATTGAACCCGGATCCCTGATGCTGTGAGGCAGCAGTGCTAACCGCTAAGCCACCATGCCGCCCCTCTTATTGCTCATGATCTTAAAGAAGGACATTAGAGTCCATCTATCAGATTGAATTAAAATGTGGGACTTCATCTTATTTCACCCTTGTAAAGTCCAGTTGAGCAGGTGAGCCAATAACTATTTGGGCATATTTAGTCGTAAATTACCATATCTTTCTCATCAAGGCCCTCTAAAGCAACAACTGAATGTTTTTTTCCCAAAAAAGAATTACTAAATATGCTCTACACTTTCAAACTGCCAGAAAACAGGAGCTGCATATAGATGGGAAAGAATATCTAGTGATTTCAGCCTGTCTACCTGCTGTTCTGGTAGCTTCAGTTCCGTGCCCCACCCCAGTTCTGTATTAGGCATAAAATAAGATTGGGAAATTGACCTTTCATTGCGCTCAAGATATGTACAAAATGGTGCAGAGACTGGTTGCTTAAACAGTTTGAAATGGGGCCTTTGGCACTGAAGAACTCAAATGATTGGTGAATGGGACAGAGGAATGGATTTTTAAATTTTGTTTCTTATTGATTTGTTTTTCACTCACTGAACAGTCGCGTTTTAAATTTCTCCTGCTTTAGGCGATGATGAAGATGCACCATTGATTAACGGTTTTTCAGATGATGTGCCGATGGTACTTGCATGAAGACCTTGCCACGTACAAGCAGTGCAAGATTTCTTTGAAGAAGTTTCAGGAGCAGAAAAAAAAACCCTTTTTAAAAAATGCACTTTTCTGAGTTGCAATACATTATTTTTATATGGACCAAAATTTAAAATTTATTGCAGTAAGCTGTAATACTTAGGTAAGAATGCAAGATAAATAGTGCAGTCCTGGTCCCTGACTGTAGGCTTTTGCACAGCTGTGCTTGTGTTGTTCGCCTTCAGGCACCGTTTAATTTTCAGGTTATTTGTTTGGTGGATGTTACAGCTGCAGATTCTCTTTCTGATGGTCTGTAGATGCCATTGCATACACAAAAAGGTTAGGTTTCAATATCAAATCTGATTTTCCAAGACATCAATATTGATTTAAATCACTTTTTAAAAACTATAGCATCATTAATGAAATAAAATAAAGTCACACAACTGATGTTAACAATTATACAGTTATTACAATGATTGAATTTGCTCAATGATTTTAATTTAAAATTAAAAATAGTTTTTAAGTACCAAAAGGGAAAATCTGATCCATTATGCAATAGAACCTTCTATGGAAATTGAGTAGTTCAGTGGGGCAGTGCATTTAATATTTTCACTATTTCTTTGTTTGAACTTGATACTCTGTCAATATTTTCACATCAAATTGATCAAATAATCTATATAAAAAGAGAGGGTGTTTGGCAAATTGCAGAATAGTTTCCAACAACACAAAGGTTGCAAATACAGTCTGCTATAATATTAAATTTACATTGCTTGCAGTTTGAAGTCCTGTGGTGTCTACTGTTAAATCATGATAATTTTAATATAGTTAATGCATATCCTAACAAAACTCAGTTTCACAAAAACATCTTGGGTTGCTGACTTGATTGTATGCCAGATTCAATCCTAAAATGATTCTGTACAGAAGAAATCATTGAACATGGGGCTGCACTTTGAAAGGGCCATCCAATTAATCCTGAAGTCCATTAATTTTTTTTTTCTACTTTTGACAGTTTAACCAATGCCTTTTTGAAAGTTATTGCTGAATCTATTTCTGTCAGCATGTACCAGATCATTGTAACTCGCCATTTTTTTAAAAAGGAAATAAGATTTTCTGTATCTTTCTACTGACTCTTTTGCCAATGTCATGACAGTGTCACTAATGAAAGTGCACTGATTCTTGAGCCCCGCTACTCATGAGGTTGTCACAGAAGTTAAAGATTTAATTAGAGTACTCAAATTCCCAATTTGCCTGTCTGATGGAATCAGGTTAACAGAAAACTCTGACCAGGCTTCTGTACTAAACAAGAAACTGCTATTTATTACAAAGAAACTGGTTCTAACCACAATTAAGCAAAACATACTTTTTTTTTTTAACATACTTTGTTAACATACAACTCTGCTAGCTGAAATTATAACTCCTTAAACTCACATACAGTCAGACACAAATAGACAGACAAACAAACATGAATCAAGTCTTGTTTCTTCATTGTGGAACATTTTATTTTTCAAGGGATACCCAAATTTCTGTTAAAAAGAAAACTGATGAGTTCATGTTCTGTATGTGTTCCTGATGTCTTCACTCAGACGTCAAATTCCATCATTTAATGAAATAATTTAATATTCTTAAAACCTTCAGTTTTTTTAATCCAACTGCATGTGTTCTTGAAAACATTAACCAAAGTATATTTTTTTGGATCTAATCATCTTCTAGAATCTCTCTTCAGCCACAAAACCTGTGTATAAGCCAGTCTCTTGCACTTTTGAGCTAGACGCGGTTGTCTGAAGAGCTTGCAATTGCCCGCTAATTGATGGCATTGGAGCAACAGTTCTTTTGGTTGGCTTGAAGCCAGAATTGGCAGAAATAAGTCTTTGTGTCCTTTGCAGGATTTCTTGGTAGCCCAGGAACTTGTGTGTGAGCAGATAGGTCAAAACAAATGTGCCAGTCCTGTTTGTCTTACAATTAACTCCAACTAATAACTGAAATAGAACTGTTCATTAAAAGATTGTTATTATTCTCTTACAGCCATCAAAGCGCACTCACTCTCATTCTGTCTGTCTCTATTTGCGTCCCTACACCTCACCCGCCCCAAAATTCAATATGCTGTCCAAACAATTTATGATTCACATCAACACCTGGACTATAACTGTGAAATTAAATTGTTTTCATCCTTTTAACTGGGATAAGTTCATGGACCATCAGTAAGTTGCATTTGGCAAACTTATGCTTTTAAATTCTCATTTTAGAAAAATCAAACAATCTTTGTTACAGTGAGACATTATAAATTCAGTGGTTATATTTTTGAATTGACATATAGATTGAATTTAGTAGGTTTGGTTTTAATTGTCTATAGTTCATAATGGAGACTGTAATGTAATGATACATGATTAAATGATGACTGAAACAAAATGATTGAGTTCATTTTAAGCTTTAGATTTTAATTGGTGAGGCATGATAATAGCTTGGCCATCAGAAACAGAGTGCAGCTTCAGTTTTGATCCTGCTACAAGGCTGCTGGGAGTTGCCAATTCTGTGTCATTTTCTGATCATGGTTTCAACATTAGTAAGAATGTAATTATTTTATTGTTGCTAAAGGATGTTTGGAAGGGTACAGTTCCCCAAATTTTATACAGATGCCCAACACGCTGCAAGCTGGTACTAATTCCCTCCACTGGACCAAATATTCCATGAGTCACACTGCAAAAACATTCAGAGGGCTGTAGTTTTGTTTTCTCTAGCATTCAACCCCAGCTATAAAGGATGAAGAAGCATTTATGCCTTCACTATAGGCCAAATGCGAAATCTGTTAAAGTATGGTGTCCTGGTTGTTTCTTAATTACAGTGTGCATGATGGTTGCAGTTCTTAAAGCGTTGTTGGTTGGATCGTCAAGCTTCCCTCTTCTAACAACTAAATTGCAGTTGGCTTTTTGTCAGACCAAACAAACTAAATTACAGAATTTTCCAATATAGTCCTTCATAATTGTACTTTGTTGAGGGAGGATTTAGAATCATCATTATTCCAGGTTTTCGTGGTTCTTCAGTAGTTCTGAGTCATATTTTTACTGGAAAAAAACCTGAACTGCCCACATCAAATATAGATGATTTCCCTTATACCCTCTTAACCATGTAATGTAATTCTCCAAATATGTTTACATAATTTGAATTGTCAATGAAATGTCGAACAACTCTAATGTCCCTTGTGAAAAAGCATTTACTGTTCAATTCTATTTTGGCAAACCAGCAAATAATGTGTCACAAATAGAGAACTGGCCAGAGAATTGCAGTTGTTTCTTTTAGCATGTTTCTTGATTTCAGAAAGTAGATTTGGTTTAACTAGTAATTCATACTTCTGTCAATCAGAGCTTTTGTCACTTTGCCTCTTGAGCATAGCTGTAAACTATTAAAAAGAACTTACATATGACAAGTCTCTTAACTATAATTTTGCTCAAATGAATGGGTTTGCTTATATAAGCAAATATCTGAGGACAAATATCTCAAAAGAATTTTGAAAATTCACCTCCCTTTTCAAAAATATCAAAGTATATAGTTTGGATCACACTAACACACAGCCTTGGTCATTTCCCTACTGTATGGTAATGTTGAACTTGATCACAACTTGTGTGGAATTTTGCCAAATGTGCATTATGTGAAGGAAAAAAAAATGTTCTTTTGGTAATTGTGTTTCTTCTTGAGCTGGCAAGCCATCGTGTGATTGCTGACAACCTGCTGTCTTGCATTAGTTTAGCTTCACTATGTGGTAGTGTTTAGGTCTGTGTTATAGTTACTATCTGAAATGGAGCCATTTTTATTGATCTATAATTTGTTTGCATTTTATTTAAGTCACATGAATGTACTATTTTACTGCTGGGTGCATGGAGGGGAAGTCCAGCAGGGCTGCTTGTTTTAACATATGGTACTACTTTTTAAAGTTTTGTGTTTTCATTTAATTTTCTTGCCTTAAAACTGGAGTTTTGTTTTAAGAAAATGCTTAAAAGCCTTTAATCATTCTGCCATATCTGCCTTACTAAGTAAAACTTAAGTGGTCTGTAATTTTGTGCATCAGCCTTCAATGATTCCAACGTTTGAATTGCACATATGGATACACATGGTCAACTCCATCAGCCAGCCACCAGAACCTGAGTGGTTTTGGTGTGTCCGTTCTGCTTCATTTTTGTAAAAAAAAAAAAAAAAAATTGATTGCTTCAACTTGTAGAGAAGGAAAATGCATATCAAATTCCAAAGTTGCAGATTGTACAATGCACAATGTACAACGATGGGGTGTTTTGTATAAATGGAAAATGTTTTTAAAAAATGTAAATTTTGGGAAATATTGCTGTGGATCTATTTTTATGTTTGGTAGTGTTTAATTACAGCACAGTAGACTGTTTGCATGGGAATGTGGAGGGTACCTCCTATATAATGACTACACAAGTCTAGTGTCACACATGATGTTCTATGTAAAAATAAATGCAACAAAGGAAACCTTGAATTAAGCATAGCTGTGCCAGAAATCAACCATATTGATGGTACTGAAGAAATCAGGTTCAGATTTTTCATTGTTTTTGATTTTCAGGCTGTTGTGCTGTGAGACTTTGCACTAATAGAATGTTGGACAAATTGTGTAACAAACCTCTGAATTCTTTAATCACCAATTGCTGTACACTTTTGGAAGGGGTGCCATGTGCTTTAAATGTGAATTTTTTTCACTTAATAAATCTCACTTGGGTCAAGAATTTTTCAAGTCTTCTCATTTTCGATGTGATCAGTAACTTGCAAGTATTGTCATAGGTAGCTTGTTCCTGTCATTGCCTTTTATTGCCCTGTATGTTTTGATGTTTTAGTTTCCTGTCCAGCTGCTGCCTTTTTACCATTGTCACTTCTTAATACTTCATTCTTCCACCTTGTACCTTTTCTCTCCCCTTCTCTCCTGAAAAAAATAAGTTTTGATTTAATTGATAAATCTCAGCAGTTCCATTGCCTGTTATACAGCAACCATTTGTCACCTCAGCCTTGGACAGTGACCCTCAGTATTCAAACATTTATCACTGTAGTGCAATGTGTTCACTCATTGTCTAAATGGGGCAATTTACAGCCCCTGAAGTTAACCAAGGTTTCACAATATTAAAATAGCCTCCAAACCATTCTGATACAGCGTGTAACCAATGTAATAATGTGCGCTAGGAATAAGTGAATCTCAGGATTAACAGGTTCCTATTACATTGATTTAAATTGAGATCAGCAGTTCCTCTTCCAACTTCACCATGTCCCTATTTCCTATCTCCTAAGCCCGTCTTTTCTCCAGGTAGTTTTCTAATTGTCTCTTTTCAATCTGTTTATTCTGCTTGCTTTAATGTGCTTCCTCCAACTTTAATTTAGTCATTCTTTATTATCCTTTGATATGTCTTCTGTGATGTTTGCTTGGACTGTTAGACTGTTTTCTGTAAATTGCCTTAATATGCCATCTTATGATATTCACCTAAGGGTTATGAAGAGATGATGAAGCATGTGCTGGTCATCACACTTTAGCAAGCCTGTGAAGGCTTTGACGTGGTACAGCACAGATTTACCGGGACTTCAGGGATCTGGAGCTTCAGTTACATGAATAGATTGCACATGCTGGGGCTGTTCTCTTTGGAGAGAAGATTTAAAGGAGATTTGAAAGAAGTTTTCAAAATCACGAGGAGTCTGCAAAAAGATGGGAGGTGGAGCAAACTGTTCCCATTAGGGGAAGGGCTTATCTTTTTAAAGTTATTTTACACAGGGAGTAGTTAGGTTCAGTCTGAAAGTGGTGAAGGTCAATCATGGGTTTCAAAGAGAATTGGATAATAATCTGAGAAAAAAGATACGGATGCATGGCAAAGGAAGGGATGCGGAAATGAGTGAACTGCTTCTGTAGAGAGCCTCTGCATGGACATGACTGGCTGAATGGCCTCATTTTATGTTGTAACTATCCTGTGTTTATTGTCTGTCCATATTTCCAGAAACCATTTCAGAAGTTGCCTCAATATGTTATTGCAGGGATTTGTGTTAGGGCCATAATTCTTTATAAACTGTTAAAAACATTGGGCAAAGGTTTTGTGGTAATGCTCTGCAGGTTTGCAGACCTTGCAACAGTGGAACACGTTAACTAAATGCAAGCAGATGTAAACGGACAAAATGGGCCCTGATTTGGCAAAAGGCATTTAACTTGGAGAAGTGTAATGTTATGCAAGTGAGTAGATGTAACAGAAAGCTCACTTTCAGCTTATGAGGAACACAATTAAAGACTGTTGAGAATAACTGTTAGTATCTTGATGTATTGCTCCAAAACCATTGGGAGAGTTATATCATGAAGTTTCAGTTGAAACGTTACATAGTAGGCTGAATTCAATGCACTATTCACTGCAATGTGAAATGTACCATTTAGTACATGAGTGAGCTTCAATTAGAATTGTAGCTTTGCCCCCCATCCCCCTGCCATAGTGAGTGACATTGAGGCTTCAGAAAAAGTTCAGAAAACCACAAAAATAATCCCAAGTTCAGTTGTTCAGACTTGGATATGGCTCTGTGTCTATACTTCCCTAATGTAGAATAATGATTTGATTAGGGTTCATAAAATCATGGAAGGACCGGATTGTGGCAAGTTTATTTTGATGGACTTAGCAGTTCAAGAGTAATTCTGAGCAGTCTGGTGAGTGCTAATTTGCTATATATATTTCAGAGAGGAAGCTGGCCTGGTTAACCATCTGAAGCAGAGATCTTGGTATAGAAAGGTAGATATGGAATGAAGGAAGTCATGGCCTATAGCCTGGAGTAGTTTTGCTCATCCAGATGGATTGTATTGGCATTTTCCAATTGTTTTATTTTTCTCACGTGTCCTCAGGTTTTTTTGATGTGGTTTTTCACCCCTCATGGGTATTGATGAGGAAGTGCAGGGTATGGCAAAGAAGACTTTTGGTATAATGCATAGATGTTGCAGTTGGATGAGACAGTCTGGGCAGACTAGTGTATCTTTACCTGTCTGGTATTTCTTTGTTTTGTACTTGGCTACAGTATAACCTCTCTGTACATCTGGGACCAATGTGCATATTTACACCTTAAAACACAATCTTGGCTCTATGGAGAGAGAGCGGCCCCAATCTGGGTTTTGCTATAACTTGTGTTTTGTTTGAAGGGCTGAAATTGACATTTCCTGGAATTAACTTCTCAGATCTTGCTGTTGACGCAGAATCCACAAATCTCCTGTCCATTTGTAAATGTCTAGTAATATTGAAATTCAAAAGAATTGTTTCTAATGAAGTATTCTTGCACTTTGTTGAAACACATCTTTGCTTATGCAGTTGGCTCTTGGCCATAATGGGCACTCACTGCTGACGCAGTGTTTCATGAACTCTGGCCTGTTAGTGCTTTGAGCTATGTTTGAGAGGAGTGCAAACCAGGCAAGATCCATATGAGCTTTACACCCTGAGCATCTGCATTGCAATTGATACCTCTTTTAACTCTTCCTGCCAGGTTATTGTATTTCTCCCAACAGACACTAATCTATTCCAGGGATGTTTTAGAGTTTGGCTTAAACTGGTCATTTTTCCTCTTGTACAAAGCTGGTAAACTACCAGTGTAGTGCCACATCTGAACACTTGTTTATAAACAATTATCACTTGCTATTCTACCTTTAATATTAGCAAAACATTAAACAGTACTTACTGGGAGAGTAGAGGAATGCAGTGGTAATGAGCAATGAAAGGATTTGAGAAAGATGTCAAAATATGGGTGGAGAAATCTTAGGGTTTTGAAAGTCATGAGATGCAGTAAACTCAAATAATTTAGGTAAAGAGGGTGATGATTGAGGCTCTGTTAATATCTGCCTGAACAGCTCTGGTTATGGAACGATGGATGTGGGGGAGGGAGGGATGAGTATTGTGTGAATTGTGAAAGACGTGGGGTTGTCAGATGAGCCATAGTGTTAGGGAGGGAGGGTGAATTAAAAAACATGTTAAAATCAATTGTGTTAGTGACAGGAGACCTACAGAGGTTGACAAGTACAGGAGTGACATAGGGTTACATTAAAATAGAATTGCACCCCTAAATATGAAAAGGATTTCAGCAATTCTGAAGTTTTTCGATTTTGCAAAGGAATCCTAGAGTCATACAGCACGGAAACGGACCCTTCGGTCCAACCAGTCCATAATCCCAAACTAAACCAATCCCACTGT